TGGACTTTAAGAAAATGATATGTGCACATTTAAAACGCCAAGATTGAAAAAGACCGGTGCAATTGACGGCCGAGAAAAAGGTTCGTGCTAGAGAAAAATTTTTGGACTAGTTTTTTTTTGATCGTAGGGGAAACCAAAGACCTTCCCAAGGTTCCTCTCTGATGTCCTCTATCATTCTGGAATGATGGAAGTGGACATAAACTATCTGCGTTCAAAGTGCATAACAATACACGAAAAAATAAAGACTGTCATCGAGGCCACAAAAAAAAATGTTTACACATTTCGTCTTGGATGATTGAATAATGAAAATATGACACAAACTGCTACGAACTTCTAAACCTTTTACGAAAAAAGATTCGTTCCATATTTAGGGACACTTCTGTATTTTCATCGGTTTCTGCTGCCTTCATAGCATATAATCGTACTCATCAAGACTCACATTATACGGAATATTTTAGAAGTAGCCCACTTAGCAACGTAAATTTGCGAGGTGCTGTTTCTACCTGGATGGCAGCGACGTCCGGTTTTGGAAGCTTAATTAACGCATTAAATGGCCGGGAAGCATGCTGGTTACTGAGAAAAGCGCCCAGTTTTCGGTTCCGGACAGATTTAGCTATAGGTACACACCCGCCGCGTTTCTTTTTTTGGTAGTCAAAGTGCATTTTTCTGTTGATCTTAGTCATCCTGAGTAAAGTTTACGTACCTCTCCCACTTAACTGTTTGCACCGCTTTCGGAGTGAGTTTCGTTCAAGTTTCAGTGATTTTATTTTTCGCTTGATTCGCTATTTGAACACAAATAATTGCTGTTTCAGAAAGTTTATTCATCACTGAAACTTCATAGTTAATTTCTGGTTACTTCTAATTTCTGCAATTTTCGAATAATTCCAGATTAATTCTGATAGGGCTGAATCTGTTTTCACTCTAACTGCCTATCAATTATAGAAAAAAAATTTTTAAATGAAAAACTGAAAAAAAGATCCCAAAAAAAATTCGCAGGATTAATTGTCACTCTACATATAATTTGTGTCGTTTTTCTACTTTTTCTTTCTATCCCAACCTTTTTTTCAATCGAAAAATCTTCGAAGCAGTTTTAAATCAAATTTCACGCTTCAAGAGATTTTTTCTGAAGAAAAAATTACTTCCTTGATGAGTAATTTGTCCTTTTGGGCGTTTTTCCTTCCAAACATATTATTCTGCTTCAAAAAGTTCAAAGAGAAGGTTAGTACTGTCAGTCCCAGAAAAAAATGTTGCTCAAGGCCCTTGAAAGAATTTCGTTGTAGTTCACTTCCTTATAAGACGCTGAATTAGATTTTCAAAAGCGAGTTTATAGATATGGCCATATTCGCGAACAAATTCCTGCATATGAGCAGTTAGGATTTCTTTTTTCCGCAAAAAGAGTCTGGCGGCAATTTTCCTCCAATATAAACTTCATTTTGAGATCAAATAAGAAAAAGTTGTTTATGAAACTTGAATTGGTCAGTCGTTCCCAAATTTTCTTGCCGTTTTTTGGGCAACAGCAGCTTTTCTTCTTGGACTTACTAAGGTTCAGTTCGGTTATTGTAATCTTTCATCAAGTTGTACAAAAATTTCTTCTAACTTAAATTCCTGAAACTCGAAAATCATGAACTCCGAACTTCTGATTTTATCAGGCCGCACCGCTGGTTAACTTTGAATTAAAATGAAATGAAGCTGATTTTTTTCCGTGCATCTAAAGTTTAACAGAGAGTAGAAAAAACAGTCATCACAGCTTCAGAAAGTTTCAGAAAAACTGAATTCCTTACAAGAAAGTTTTGACCAAAGTTTTCTCGTATTTTTTCTGACGGAACTGTACTTTCGGCAGTTCCTCCGTCAGCACCGAGTCAATTTTTTGATAGTAAGATTGAAATTATGTTCCTTGGAACAACACATTTTCGTCTGAGAGTAACGGAAACTTTTTGGTTTTCAATTTTTTGAACCTTTGATTTTGAGAAGAATCGAATTAGACTAAATTTTCCAAATACCGTACCGTGATATGAAGCTTCAAACAGGTGTCTGTCGGAAAAATTATTACCTAACTCGATTACAGGAACCCATGAGGTCCTTTTAGACGTCAAGTGTTCGCGCGGCATTCTAATGTGCCGTTAATACGGTTCTTAAGGCTGAGGCGGCTCAAGCGTGTGTCGCGTGTGTTTGTACGAGGTCCGATTTAGCATTGTCGACCTCACTCACATAATAGTCACACTCAGCGGCCATTCCCGACAGTCTCTAACCAACATTGTTCGAGTAAATACAAAACGAATCGTTCCATAATGTGGGTCAGCGGCGCCCAGAGGGCATTGTGCACTTTGCGCCACCGAACACCTCCGCCCCTTCTACAGTGCTCCTCATCTACTTGTTCATTTTCTTGCTTTTTTTCGGATTTCATTCCTGCTGGAGTTGGGTCACAGTTATCAGTACAAAATTCTTCTTCTTCTAACACAATAGTTGTGATTTAGTTTGGAGCTCAAAAAAGTTGGAAAAGTTTTTCCCGAAAAACTTTAACGCAAACGAAACTTCTCTGACCTCATTCAGCGTGAATTTTTGGAACTTTCAAAGAATTTACCCAAAAAATCGGTGTACTTCTAGATAAAGATCATTCTTGGACGCTACCTGCGCAAACTTTCAAATTTCAGTTATGAATCTTTAAAGTTGGACGTATAGGTTTCAGATTTGATTTTGATGCAAATGTTGAAATTTTTCTGATGACAAAAAAATATAGATTTTTGTTAAGGAACCACTATAACAACTTCCCATGTTGGTCTTCAAAGAGAAATTGATGAAATTTTTGGAGAAAATATCAACTTTCTACTTTTTATTACCTTTTTAGCGAGAAAAATCTGAGGATCCCTAATATTGAGTTGGATAATAATCGATCAAAATAGGTGAAGATAGTTTTTCTTGATTTTAAATTATCCTGCTCGACAGGATTATGCATTATTTGTGTGCATCATAACGCTTTCAAGAATTTGATCGTTGACATCAGATATTTAGAAAGTTATTTCCCAAGTCTTGGCCATTTTAAGCGGTCATGCCCTTAAAATTATATTTTCTCTCAGACTTGAATGGCTATAGTAGCAATTTGAAGGGCTAAACGCTTTTTTGCTACTGAGCGGTTACTCGTCCGACTTGAAACGACTTTTACTTGGTGTATCAAAAAGCATTAGACCAAGCTTTCCAGCTGATGAAGATTCCAGCTTTTCTAGTTGGCATCACGGCTTTTTTAATTCACTGGAGTTTCAGTATGTTTTTCCGTAAAAATTGAACTGAACTTCATGAAAAATTTACTATATAAGAAACCATTCAAAAAAAAATAATCCAAAAACGCAAAGTGGTTTGTTTTTCGCCTTAGTCGGATGATGAATTCACTATACACCGAACCTTTTTTGAAGAATTATTTGGGCTTGACAGCTTGAAAACTAAGCTGAAACTTCACGGAATCAAAAAAATAATAATAATAACTTCATGTGCTTCTCTAAAAAGTCGAGTCTCATGGGAAATTTCTAATGAGTGCTTTACGGATTACAATTATTCTACTGGCTACTTTCGAAGCGAATCGAGAAATTTCTTTTCTACTCAGGCTTTCAACATACGAAAATTCAAAAATGTATATTTTTCGGTATTTTTTCTTGGCTAATGTCAAAAAACAAGCGTGACTCTCAACTTTGATTCTCGTCAAATCAAGCATCTTTCTCGAGGCAAAAATTTTCATGACGCCATGTGTATCAGCATTTTTTTTCCGATGGCATTGTTTAGTGCGTGGACACTATTTTGAAAATACTCGTTTCATGCGCAAGTGACACCTTGTCGAATTGAACAAGGCACCCGCGCAACTCCCCATGCAAACAACTCTAACGTCTTCTTTGCAACTTTGAAACGTCTCAGGTATTGATTTTACTATCTTCCTTTTTTCATGATCTGAAAGTATTTTTAACTCTTTGCTCACTCTACAAAAAGTCAAAAACATGAATTTTTCGCACAAGTTGATTTTCTTTTTCATTTTCTTGTCAACTATTTTGAAATTCGTGCAGCGTAAATTTTTAGTATCAAACGGCAGTCAATCAATGTACCTTCACAAACACTAAAAATTGTAAAAGTGGCGCATAGGCAGACGATGATACAATAAAAGGCAAGTCAACTGAAACACCAAGCTCTATTCAGAAGTCAAAATTTGAGAAACAGTTAAAAAAAAACTTTGAGAAGCGGTTTAGTCACTGTTTCGGAACCATTTTATCAAAAAGCTCTCTCTGGGTTGTTGTGCAAACGGTTAAATTTTAAAATTTGAATCTTTAGCAGTCAATTTTGCCAGGATTCGAATATTTTTAATTTGTCGAAATTTTTTTGTGTTTAAAATTGGGCAGTTCATTTTGAATTGAAAAAGATTTTTCTTTATTGGCATTACAAAAAAACGCCCCGCTTGAGTTAAAATTTTCTATTCGATACTAAAACAAGTTATTCAAATTCCGAAGGTCCTTATCAAGCTTCAGAATTTCCCAAAAAGCGATTTCAAAAACGTTTGTTATCACAAACCTTAAATTGCCTTTAGAGGACTATGCAAAGCTTCTATTTTAAGCGTTTTTCGACATTATCATACTTTACGCTCTTTTGCGATTGCATTTTTGGCGAACAAGACTGATATGAAGGACGAGTAACGGTTTTTTTCTTTCTTTTCTCGCACACTTCTATCCATCATCGCCGTTTTTCAGCATTCGAAATGACAAGCGTTAGTGCAGTAGAGAGTAGGTATCGAAATGAGTTGATTTTCCTTTTCTCCCAGTGGAAAAAAACAAGGCGATGTGATGTCCTATTATTTCTCGTCGCCTTTCAGCAACTATTTCTTCTTTTTTTCTGTTGCTAACTCTTCGTAATTTGTTCACCGCCGTCTCACCTTTCATGAAAACCAATATTTTGTGTCGGCCGTTTTTTTTGTGCTGGCAAATCCATGAATAAACCCTTTTGTTGCAGACGTTCATTCTTCGTCCAACATGCAACACTATTTAGTGTTAGTGTTGCTTTTCTCCTTCATACATCTCTACAAAGCGGTAAATTATCAATGATAATCTTTTGCAATAGGAAAAAAACTTTTTCAGGAAGACGGCGAATGCAAGACCGGTATCTACATGATCGATCAAACCAAAGTGAGGATGATTTTTTTATTTTGGGAAAATGGAATTGTCTCAAACTCATTTTGCTTATTGAAATAGTTCAAATCTACTAATTCAATTCTCAAATTTTGATGGCCTCTGCCCTTTTGACTTTTTCATTTTGTTGAGTGGTCTGACTGGCGTCGGTATCCGCATGATTGACCTCGTTTGTTGCAACACTGTAATTACTCTCGCTGACGTCCATGTTGCTCGTTTCCGACAAACAAATTTAGTTAACGTTGCAAACATGGAAAAACTTCCGGTTATGTACTTCTCATGCTGCCGAATTGTTGATAAAAAGATTATTAGCAAGAAAACTGATAAGAAGATAAGAAAGTCCTAGTTCATGGCCAACCGAATAATTTATTGTCAACAAAAAACTTTAAACAAATAATAATGGTTTTAATTTTCAATTTACAGAATGAGCGTAAATCCATTTGTGCGACTGAAAAAGACTGTGCCAAATTGGAAAAATGCATCACGAGGACTGGACACTCTGTGGTTAGTTTTTTCAAGTTTTCAATCGAAAATCCAGAAGGATTTCAAGCTTTTTCTATTTATAAAACAAGTAAGCCTCAAAGTTTGGTATTTGAGATTTCGAGTTTTTGAGATGCAGAAAAATTGCGGAAAAATGAAAGTAAATTTACTACTCCAAAGCCCACAATCTCTAGAAAAAATTTCGTAAAAAAAAACCTTTGAGAAGAAGGAAAAAAAAAATGAGATGTGCCAAAAAATAAATACAATTTTTCGAAGAGTTATAAATATACTAAGAATTCTGAAAAGCTTTCAACTGATTATTCTAGATATTAAAATACCAATTTCATGCAAAAAAATCCAGAAAAATCTGAGAATGCAAGTCTGGCTGGAATAGTTAGCAAACTGGAAATCTCTGTCTTCCGGGAGTCGGGATTTTTTTTGAAGATTCTGTTCTTTAGCATCGGAAACTTTTTGATTTTTTTAAAAATATTTTTGAAAATCCCAAAAAAAAATTTTCAAAGCACTTTATTTCAATTTATTTTAGCATATTTCCGATTCTATATTCTGAAAAAAAAAAAACGTTTTAGGGAGTTTGCTGCTTTTATGAAGACGAAGCAAGCACTGGTGGACGCGCTAGCCGTCACGTCAAGTTTGTCACTCAATTTGATTTTAATAATCTTTTTGCTTCAGGAGAGCGGAAAATTCGACCAAGACAACTTCTGAAGCTCCATTGCTCTCGGAGGCGCTGAAAGATGCCGATGCTATCAGTACTCTCCCGCCTCCGGCTCCTAGTCCGACTCTCGCCAATAACGGAGTTAAACAGGTTTCTGAAGCCGAAAGAGCAGCCGCGGTCAAAGTTGAAGAAACTCCCACAGCTGAACAGCTGTCGCAGGAGCGGATTGTCGCGGCCCCTGAAACTTCCGATCAGAAAACGACCATAGTTCTGCCGCCAACCCCTGTCCATTCTATCAACCTGCCAACTACTACGACGATCACGACGTGGATCCCAGTTGAGTCGACTACAACGTCGACTACAACGTCTACCACAACTGCTGCTCCAACAACTACCACCACCACTCCTACAACGACCACTCCTACAACGACCACTCCTACAACGACCACTACTACAACAACCACAACAACTACTGATAGACCAACCATCACTATAAGAACAACGACCACCACTGAAACGCCCGAGACTTCTGCTCCTCCTAAATCATTGTTCGCCGCTCCTTATGACTCTGAAGAAAACCTTAAAGAGCCGGAAACCACGACGGCTGAAGAATATGAGACAGACACTCACACATTTGCTCCTAAACTTCCAGTTGGAGCTGAAGGATCGGCCCCTGTTGCGTTGACTGAAGAGAAGCCTTTGACTGTTGAGGTATTCATTTCTTAGTTACATGAAAGAAACTACAGTTTGGAGTAAAAAAACCGGTATGAAAAAAACACCGGCGAAAATTCGAACGGCGACTTTTCCGATTTTTTCATATCGCTAGGGAACTTTCCGACGGCCACCTTCCCGACGAATCTTTTCCGACATTTTTTCTCGATAAAATCTTTGTTTTAAATCTTCCTATATAAAATAGGTAGTTGGTTTATGATTAAAACACGAAGAAATAGGAAAAAGGTTTATAGATGTTTTATAAACCAAAAAAACATAAGTGAAAAAAAGTCGGAAAAGGATCCGTCGGAAAGGTGGCCGTCGGAAAGTTCCCTAATGATATAAAAAAATCGGAAAAAGTCGCCGTTTGAATTTTTCGCTGGTTTTTTTCATACCACCAAAAACCAAACTTCAAACTTAAAATAAAAATTTTTTTGAGCTGACGGAAAAGTTCTTCACGTCGAAGGCACTAATTCAAAGTTACGCAAAAAAACTTAAAAAAACAAATTTGGTGATTTTTTTCCAAAAGTAATGAAGTTGTGCGTATCCAATTTCAGAGTCTTGTTAAAAAAATTTCTCATTTTGGAAGACCTTTCGAAAAAAATTTTTCCATTTTAATTTTTAAAATCAGTGTCTGAAAGTTCTCAAAAAAAATTTGAAAAAAAATTTTTTGTCAAAAACCGAACTTCCAAATTTGAGTTTACGTTTTTAATTTCAGAAGACCGTCAAACACGAGCACAAAACGCCTTACGCCGCCCTCGCCACAACGGGTTTCCTCATCTTGCTTGCCATGGCTATCGGGGTCTACTGGCTCAGAAAGAGGTTCTCTTTCCGTTAATTCTTTACATTTGTTGGAACTTTCTTTTCAGACATTTGAAAGCTCAAAACCAGCGATCGAGAGATGAGGCCAAGGAAACTGCGACTGCGATCCCTTTGATCGACAGAAATGCCGCTCGCACTTGATTTTGTTCGACTGAAAAGGAAACCTCAAACTTTTATTCAACTTTGTCATATTAAGGTACGTAATGTGAAATGACCATTACGAAGTTCTCTCGCCTCATATCAACATTCTTTTATTTGTAATGAAACGCAACTCATTTATCCTCCCTAAACTGATAATCAAATTTGATCACCCATAACACTTTTTCCCGATTTTTTCCAGGCTCTATGAACTCATATGAACTCCCAAGTACTCTATTATCTAAGTACTTCTGTTTGCCATCATTTCGACATGATTTATTTTTTTTTTCAACTCTGTTTTGTCGTGCAATAAAACTTCAAAAAAATTTCAACTTCACAGCTATTTTTTTATTCCTGAAGTCGAAGAAACAATTTAAGGGGCAAAAACTAAAGCCGTAATAAATTTTCGAATAAAAAAACAATAATACTTCCATAAAACGGCTGAGTGTTAAAAAAATCAATTTTATATCTCAATACTCTATTGGATTCAAAGAATAAAAGCCATGTTTTATGTCCTGCGAAGATTTTAAAACTATGGTCTAAACCATCTTTCTCAAGTTTAAACACAGTATTCATAGAGTATGAATCCAATTTTACTTTTTTTGTACAGGGTTTAGTTAATTTTTTTCAAAAAAATTCGAAAAATTGACCTTAATTCTTATCATGAAAAAAATATTATTTTTATCAACTCAGATTTCGAAACTTCTGGAGAAACGTTGAAATGTGAGAGATCCAGAAGAGCGACTATGATTTCAACCAAGCTTTTAGTTGGCTTTGGTAATTAAAGAAAAGATAGTAGCCCATGGTATTTTTGCTACTTCTTCATTGGCCAAAATTGAGCTCAACCAGAAAGAAAGGCTTTTTCAACTTCGAGTGGCCATTCATTTTTAGTACGATAGAATTTTTGAATTAGATGCGGAGTCAGCAAAAAATTTCGCCAATTGGTGATAAGCTCATCCAAAAGCTTAAGGAAACTTTGAGATTTAAAAAAACTCGCCCTCACAAGGAAGGTATTTTTAGTGTAAATTTCGAGATTTGCTACAAAATTTGCGTTCAACGAAGTTTGAAACTTTGTAGCTCTCGTGGTGAGAATTTGCGCTGGTTATTAAGATTTAAAGAAACTTTATCTTAAAAGAGGAGGCTTGGGAAAACTCATTTTTTCATAAGTTTAACTCTCTTGTGATCTATTGGAAAGAAGCTTTTGTGACAATCGTTTCAGTAGTCCAGTGCGGGAAACAGCTGAAAGTGTCACAACTCAAAAGGAAATGACCTCTGGGGTTTCGGGAATCGTGACAGCCGTTGGAGCCCGACTGCAGGCATATATTTGGGGGTATTATGTGGTGAGAAAGACTAACAAACGACGTCTATTAGCTGCATACGATTTGGTGTCGAGAGGAAAATTAACAAGCGTGTCCTCTGGACTCCATTGGCGGTACCGGTTCTTCCGGCCTTGTATTTTTCCCGCCCTGAAACCATTATAAACTGTTTGCCGTACAGGCCAAGGCGACTCTAATTTGCTGCGCGTGATGGAATTTCAGGTAAGTCTTAATGCAAATTTGCCCTTTTTTTTGAACCGCAGTAATGTTTTTTGATTTTTTTTTGTCTCTGAATTTTTTACCCGGGTAAACAACGTTTTTCATACGTGTAAGCTTTCAAAAATGATGAGACGCTTGATCGAAATTTTCATTTTTGCAACGAAAACATTAAAAGAGAACTTCGATCTTTGGAAACTGAAAACTCCCGTCTTTTCTGAAAAAAAATTCGCCATGAGGTTTTTTCTTGCAATTATTTAAACGTTTTTTTGTGAGCTTTTTGCATGAGTGAAACTTTTTGGGAAAAAGTATTTTTTTGTGTTATAATTATTTTTTTAGAAAAAAATTTTTTGTCATACAGAAAAAAATGTTTTTTTGAAATTTGGATTTTAACGATATTATATAAATATCATAATGAAAAAAACCTCTCTGTGTTAAATGAACAAGAGATTTTTCTGAGAGTTGTGGGAAACTATTTATTTATTTTTCATTTGGAGTTCTTTAATTCATAACCGATTACTTCAAAAGATATTTTCTTCGTCTCACTTTCACTCAAATAACCATCCTCCTACACTTGAAATAGTAAATACAGTCGGAACTGAATGACTAGTCTGCTCAAAAGTTGTTGACACACGGTATGAATACCCTTTTTCATCTTCGAAATTCATAACCAACCAATCCTGCAATGTTTGCCCATGTACACGGATCTAATTTTTCTCAGCTTTCCCTTCTTTCTGGATTTTTTCGAGCGGTGTTCGACTGTGGAAAACGTGGTGAGAATGAATATTTTATGATGTTTATTTGTAGGGAAGGAGCAAAAAAAAGTCTTTGGAGCACAATTTTCTCTCGTCTTTTTCACGATTTTTCGCATCTATTTATGAAGCGACGATTAATGAGAAAGTTCTTTTTTTGCAAACTTCTGAATATTAATTTTTCCATTTCGAGTCTTTTTCCAGTTCTATTCTACTTTTTTAAAAAAACTTTCATCCGTTAATTTTCGATAAAAAAATTTATTGGCTACTAGATTTTTTTAGAAAAAAAGGCATCTTACGCCGTTTCATACCAAAACGCGTTTCTAAAGTTCTCAGAAACTTCAACTGTCCAAATTTTTTGAAATTTTTAAAGGCAATTGTTCTAACGGTGTGTTTTTCATGTATCGTAGATTTTTGAGATTGGGATCTCTGATTTTTCAGCTTCATTTTTTTTGAATAACATATTTTGCCAAAGTGACCTTGTCTGGCCATTATTTTCCATTTTGAAGTTCTCACCATAATTTTTTTGAGATTTCTTCCCACGCTAAAGCCATATCAAAACAACCTCTTCCGCATGGATGTTGATGACTTCCAAAAACTTAGTTTATTTTGAGTTCTTTTTATTCCATCAACAAAAAAGGTGTTTGACGGAATAAAGGACGGAAATTGTTTGCGCATGAAATAAGTAGCTTGTGGTCCAAAAAAATTCCGAGAGTCAATGACCAAAGGCATAGCACATGCCCACTGAAGAATGAGCGAAAGCGGGCGGGAAGAAGCAAGAAAAACGCGCTCGGCAGCCTCCGCTGCTTTCCGCGAGATCAATATGCAACCGCGAGTTGCTATCCATAGATGTTCCTATCTCACACGCTCTCCGTTTTTTTTGTTTCCCATTCTCTTTAGTTTGTTTTTACAAAGTTAATTTATAATTAGTAGTCCTCAGAGTCTATCTGAGCTAGGCAGAAAGCTTTTTCTGGATTCCCTCAGCAGTTGGTCATTGCAGAGAAAAGAGATTGATGGATTTCGAAGTATAAGAAAAACGACTTTTTTTCAAATCAGAAAAAGCCGTCCCAGAACTCTGAGACTCCTCAATTTTTTTAGCCGTAAAATTAAATAGTTTCTACCTTATGATCCAAACTTCTTTCTGAAGTTTCTAATTATAGATCAATTTTTTTATAGGGAAAAAAATTTGTAATCTCTAGAGAATAGAGTATAGTTTGTGCAAAAGCTTTCGCTGATTTTTTCGAGAAGCAAAAAGAGATTGCTTAAAGACACACTACTTCCCGATTATAAATTTCGCTTGAAAAAGTAATTTACAACAGTCTCAAGAGAAAAAGATCAAGTTTTTTATTAGAAAATGCTTTGATAATCTTGAGAAGTTGTAATTGTGTAAAGTTCATATTACATATATTTTTTGAGCTAGCGTTGATCGAATTACAAAACATAGTTATTTCGAAGCCAGCAAAAAAACGCACTTTGAAAACCTAACAACCGTTTCCCAAAAAACTTTGCAATGGCGTTCAAAGACGCATGAGCTGAATAGAATAACGATTCCCAGTTAGAAAATCTGTTGATGAGGTCTCTGGCCGAAAAACATCTGCAATTCAGCCGTATACTTTTTAAAAAGTTTCCAGCTTTTCCAAATGGACGACCATCCCGACGTCCAAGAAGTCTTCATCGATCTTGCCAAACAAAACCATGGTAAACCGAAATTTCGAATTTCTGGCCGGTATGAAAATTTTCAGAGAGCGTTTTTCGTAACGAGTTGATTGCTCTCTGTGTTCTTGTCGTCCTCCTGATCATCGGCTCAGTCATCTACTTCGCTTTCCGCTCGATGATCTACATGAAGAAGGTTTCTAAATAAAAATATTTCTTCTAAAAAATTTTTCCTTTCAGGACAAAGGTGAAACTGCTCCAATCAACACCTTCGTGCCCCTGCATGCCTCTTGAACTAACGTCGAGTAGAAAACTTTCATACGGACCCAAAACTGTACAAATCCTACGATCTCTTTACCCGGTTGTTATTTCTTCAATAAACCTGTGAACAAAATGAGAATTTATTAAGCATTCGAGAATACATTGCACAATATCGGAAAAGTCTCGAGATCATTCAGCATTCTTTCACTTCAACAACACCGTCAGAGGTCCTTGTCTGAAAAAAATTGTTAGTTTTTAAAACATAGTAATGTTTCACCTTGACCGGCTTCCCATTGACTTTGAAACTACAGTCAGACCACTCGGATCTCTGAAATTCAAATAAGTTTAGGACAGAAAAAAAAGGCTCACTTCGGTCTGTGAATTATCAAAAGATTGGGCTACGGGTGAGGAGTGATAGCATCCATTTTCGATCAAAACTGTGGCCGGTGGAGCATCCTCCACGAGTTCGACAGAGCTGGGACTGACATCGAACAGCTCACATGTCTTCTTTTCCGAGTTCAAAACGCTGCTCTGAACGCAGCAAGATCAAAAAAGTTGCGAGAAGAAAAAATAATAAAATCTTGAAGTTTTTCAATATTGACTGCGAAACAATATAACTAAAAACCTAAAAACTTTTATAGAAAATTAATTTCTTAACATTTCGAAGCTCGCAAACTGAACGATTATCTCAAAAAGCTTCAATAGTTGAGGATTTTAGAGTCTGCGAAGTTCAAATGAAGAACCTAATTTTTTGTCTTTTTGAAGAAAGTCAAGGTCAACTCAATAAGGAGAAACTTCTCGTCATTCAAAAAAGCGCTATCCCTCTTATTTTTTTTAGCTGTATACGTTTTTGATGTTACTTCCTGCATAATCTCACTTGACATTTCGGATTGGAAATGCATTTGGAAAGACAGTCCGAGACGCTGACAGCTTCCGAGGCTCCGATTCTCCTCTTGGAAATAGTTTTCTGAGCGTGAAGAATGAAAATCTCGTCTTTCTGGCACTTGATTTTAGCATCTGAACAGCGGCGTTCGTCTCAGAGTGTAAAAACGACTTTCAACCACCTGGCAGGCAAAACTTTTCCGCGTAGATAACTTTGTCGTTCTGAAGAAGGTTTCCTGTGCCGTGAGGTTCAGCCAGAATGCTGTACAGTTCGCATTTGTGGTCGAGTGGGAAGTAGTTCAAAGAACGGCACTTGATTTTCTCTCCGTCAGGACCCTGGTTCCATCAGTTATTGTAGATAATGAATGATAATTGAAAATTAAAATTTTTTTGGAAATAGGTGTTCTAAAAAAATAATAAAACTGAAAAGTAATTTATCGGTCAATTGAAAAAATCTCAATTTTCCGAATTACGATATTTGGTTTTAGTTACTCTGGATTTTTTTAATGCTAATTGAGGGAATCAAGAAGTTCGAATACTGTCTTCAAACCAAAGGATGAACCTTTTTTGGCCTAGCAAACGTTTATAACCTGGTTCTGACTGCAGAAATTCGCACAATTGCCTTGCTCGACCCCATTGTACACTTTGACGTCGCCATCGCTGATGGACATGGCGATTTCATTGCCAACAACAACGTAATAACCCATCGTCGTTCCGCAGGCCTCTTCTTCTGTTCCAAGATCCTCCATATTACTGTTTTTCTAGTAACTCATTCATTGAATAAAAAGCTCCTCGAAGTTTTCATAGGAACGGGACACATGCAACTTCTTTTGAAGCAGGGTAACAAAAGTTACTTATCTTGCTCAAAAGAAAGTGAAAAAAGTCACAGTTCTTGATGAAAATTTCGCTGGGTTCTACTTCAGAACTAGAAAAAATTTTGATTTCCCATTTCTGTGTAAATTTTTCTACCTATTGGCTGAGTCATTTCCTCAATATTTTGTCCTGTTGGAATCGAACGGAGAACGTCTCGGTTATTTGCCTTGACGCTGAAAAGTCTTAATAAATCATAAGCTGGAATTTGTTCTCACATTGGTGCGCTCAGTGCTCGCGACTTGAGCAGGAAGTCATCCATCCTGAAGGAAGTTTTTTTTTCATAGTTGTAAGAAATCAAAGTCCCACTCTGCTTCCGGCAAGTCCCCGTTTGAAAGCTCCTTTTTTGGCGTTTCCAGTATCGACTGAAGGAAAAAGTTTAAAAATCTTAGTGAACAACGCTTGAGTGGCTCAAAAAGTGAATCGTGGAGTTTTTGAATTTTAAAAGAGGTTTTTTGAAAAAAAATCTTCTGTTCTTTTACTGTCGAACAAAAAAAAAAAGAATGACCATCCAGAATCTAAATTCCACTTTTCAAATCTCTTCAGGCTTAGCAAAAAATAGATGGCACTCGATGAAAACTGAGAAAATATAGTCTTTTTTTCTTGAATTTTTGCCTTTTTAAATGATCTTTCCAACTTTTCATTCTTCGATAGGGAAAAAATCTCACTTTTTGCGGCTTGTTCTTGAAATCAGAACGAAGCATGACAAAATTGTGGTTTATTTTTTGACCAACGATAGGGCCTGAAAAAGGGAAATGCTGAGAAGGAAATGGAAAAATATTTTCACCTGCACAGTCTTCAACATCCGAAATGCGTTGATAGAAATCAGTTCCTATAGCCGGATGGATGATTGCAGGAACCTGGCGAAATTGAAAATCGGAAAAAAAGGAAATGGGAACCTTGTTTCCGTTGTGGTCGTATAAACGGCAAGTCATTGTGCTAGGATCAAAAGTAAAAGATTTGCAGGTAGAGCCCTTAATCGATTGCTCTAGTTCGACAAAGAGAGAATCGAATCGAACCGTTTTTGGCTTGTTCCCAGCAGCCATTATGCAGTGTTTCATACAAGAAGAAACAGATTCTCGTCTATATTCGGCGATCGGAGGATCATTATCCACAGACCTTCGTGGTATCCTTTTGAAACAATTTCTGACTGAAATTATAAAGCTCGAGTGAAATTGGGATATGAAGTTATTATTCTCAACAGCCGTTCATTATTGAAATAATTTTCATCTTCGATGTGCTTGAAAATTTCTCAAGAGAGAAGGATCGTGAAATGTCGAGGGAGATTTTCATTGCACTACGAGTTAATGTCCTTACCGGTTACAAACAAAAATTCAGCTTTTCAGAAATATAAAAGGAATGATTTCGCGTTAAAAATATTTTTTCAGTCGCTTGACCAGTTCTCAGTTTTTTTTTTCAACTTATTGACGGCTTTGAAATGGAGTAATTTTGGAAAATAGATTTTGAGATAAATTTCGAATGCCAGAAATCTCGAAAATTAACTAAGAAATTTCTCCCGAAGTTCGACAATCTTTCTATCTGTATTTTGAAAATTGCGGAAAAATGAGAATTTTATGTGATGAAATCTTGAAAAAAAGGTTTTTCTGCGCTCAATGACTCGTTGATCTTTTGATCACATTAAAATTTTTCTTGAAAAATCAGCAAAAAAAAATTGAAGGCGATTGAAATAACTCACATGAAACAGAAGAAGAATCGACAGGTATCAACAAAACCAACAGCAACAGGAGAAATGCCATAACCTGAAAAGAAGATAAATGAGTGATAAAAACTCAAATGGGGTCATAAAAGATGCAAACGATTTGAATGGTCCGGAAGAAAGGGACAGTGACGAAGGATAATTGAGACAAGCGGGGAAACTGAATGGAAACGCGAAGGTGAAAAGAAGCGTCGGGATTTCCGAGACGTGGCCAATCCGGCTTGGCCTGTCGCCGTCATCTACACGTCTTCGTGCTGTCTTCCTTTTGATAAATTGACCTTATACTAATTTGATAGTTCACTTCATATCTATCAATCGGAAAAGTTTTTTGTTTCAAAATTCGCCACTTTAGTTTGTTTGAAAAAATTCTGGGTCTTTGAAAATCTCGGCTTTTGAGAATGGACGACTTGAAGAGATCATCTTGCATTCTATCAAAAAAAAAACTCTGAATTTTTTCTGCATCTAAATCTAAAACTAATGTCCTTTTTTTTATAATACAAGTATGAATTTTAATTTTTAGTCAAACTTCAAATATCATGACTTCAATCAATCAAATCATTTATTTTGTTGTTTTAGTCAAAATAGGCGGTGAATAAGAACTTTGAAAGCTATAAAGAGCAACCGCCTTTGGCAAACTAGAAGACAAAATGTCTAGTCAGAAGAGTGGAAGCATGGCCTTACAGTCCTTCGTCTCGTTGTTCTGCGCGGAGTCCATCCAGTTGCCCCTTGACGAGCTCAAAATGTGGCGGATCTTGTGCTGGAGCCTGGAGACCGTCGTGTAAGTGGAAGCCTCAGAATGAGAGCGACCACTTTGAGTGAAGAACTTATACGGAATGAGTGACATTTTTCCTTTCGGAATGTTTTGATGAATCGAATTCGAAAAAAAAATCGAAACAGTACTCATATTAATGTTGGCTCGAACCTCTTCTCCGTTCCATGTTTCTGCAATTTTATTTTTTTCAGATACAGATCTTTCATTGAAAAACAAACAAGCTTCATCAAACTTCATTTCGATAAATTATAAAGAACAAAAAAATATCGAACAAAAGTGAAGGAAATAGGAACCGATCGCTTTTTTGCAGAATTTGGGGCGCAAGCACTCTTGATACAGTAAACGGGAAAAGATAACAGTTGAAAGATGAAAGTCTCCTTTCTCTCTTCTCATCTCTCGATTCAACTTTGCTGGATGAGAGATGAAGGTTGAAACATCTTTTTTAGACTATCGGAACTGATTTCGTGGCTATATTTGGTTGGATCGACGTCCAAATGACACAGATGGCGGTTATTAGGGTGGAGAAGGAGAATTTTTAACATCTTTCCATTTGAAGGTTTTCTTCGCAGTCATCGCAATCGCGCTGACGAACTCGCATCTGGAACCGTTCATGTGAATATTATTAGCCGGGAAGATGAAAAAAAAAACTTACTCGTTTGTTTTTGACTCCATACTGGCAGAGACTCCATTCTTGCCACTGGCCGCCTTCTGCTGATTCTGAAGACATCTTCATATGAAATTTAAAAAGATCGCAAGAAAATGAGGTGAGTCAATTCAAAAGAAGACAGTAAAGGAAAGTGCAGAAACATTTTCGCAAATAGAGCCTGTGTTCCGCGACTTGGAATTTCACCGAGCGACATTCCGGTGTTCCGCAGCGCGCCTTTGCAAACCTTGGTTGCGCTTTTAATTTTTTTTTTTCTTTCATTAAGGTACTCTACTTTCATGTGCTCCCGCATCAATAACAATCAGTTGAAAGCGCGACCTAGATTCAAAAGACGCTTCGCGAACGCACGCAGCGGAACAGCGAAATGTCGTTCCGTCAAAATCAAGTCGTGGCACACAGACTATATTGTAAGATTCGAAAGTGAAAAATTCCTTCAAAAATTTTTTTTTCCGTTTGTTAAACATCAAGAGAAATGATTCAACTTATACTATTTAAGTACCTTCAATGTCCGCAGGAGGAGGAGGAGCTGAAAAAGCCTGGCATCCGTTTTCGATGACCATTGTTTCTTCGCTGCCATCAACGAGAACCGTCGAATCCGTAGAAGGCGATTCCGAATGAAGAATACACAGTCCTGGCTTGTAAGTTACTGCCTAAAACTGCTTTTCTCATTTTCAGCGCTCCGAAATTATATTTCACCATGCAATTGATGTCATCGATGCATTCAGACAAACAAGCGACTTTCGAGTTTAGGCCAGGAATGTAAGAAATGATTTTTTTGTGCATTTGCTTGTACAAATGAACAATGTATGTTGATTCACTGGCGCAGTCTTTCTTGGCTGCAATCCATCATTTTTCTCCTTTTCCTGATGTTTTTGTCAAACTTTGCAGACAAAACTTGTCAGCAAAGGTGTATTCTTCGTCTCGTTCCACTTGTGCCCAACTTTGCAGTTCTCTTTGTTGTTTCCCGTACAATTTGCAAACTTCGTTGGTGGGCTCGAAGTTGACAGAATAGCAAGGAATTACGTTGCCGATGGCATTCTGGAAGTTGCTATACTCAAATAGGCGCAAACTTGCAATTTAATTTGACAGCTGGACTTTTGAGGGTGTAATGGCGGAAAACCAGGGAATTCCGTTTTTTCTGGAAGAAAAAAAACGTAGATTTGAAGTTTTGTCAAAGTTAGCTTAGATGTGTTTTGAAGTCTGTGAAATCAATCCGGTAGTTTTCAATTAAACTGTCCGCTTTCCTGTCGAATGATAAAAATCACGAAGTTACGATCAGCGCCCAATTACTTTTTTTAAATAAAAAATAGAAAAAAGACTAACTATGTTCTGACTGCAGTACATAATACAGCTGCTCTGATCAACACCATTCAGAAGCTGTGGCGTGGCGTCACTCGAGAGCCGATAGCCCTCCAGAACGAAGTAGGACACTTTCTCATTTTTCGAACATTCTAAAAAATTATCGATAAACTGTTTCAAGAAAATAATAACGATACGATTTTCGTGTGTCGGATTGCGAAAAGCTGTTTTATCTGTTTTCTCAGGAGCCTCAAGAGACGCTGGCTGAGGCTCAGGGATCGATTCTCCATTTTTCGTGGGGAACTGATTTTCCGTGAACTTAAGAAAATTTTCCAGAAAAATTAGAGAGAAAACTCACATTCGGAACCAATTGCAAATCGATCGAATTGTTCTGCGCTTGAAAATTTTTTGAAATAGCAAGAGGATTTTCGAATTGTCCAAAAGTCGGGGAAGAAAATTGCTTCGGGCGTTGTTTGTATCCACGTTTTGGACCTTTGATGATAAAAATGCTAATTAATACATACATTAAACAAACTTGTTTTATCCTGACATGTTCCTTCCCAACTGCTCCGAATGTAAAAGTCGTGAGTTTCAATGAATACGACTTGGGCTCCTGTGAAATTTTTCGTGTATTTATGTTCTCAATTTGTAGATTAAACCATTAAATGAACCATCATGACCATACAACTGGCAAGTGTTGTGTTTTCTATGAAAAACAACTGAAGAGCAGCCATCCTAAATCGAACAAGCTAAAATGAAACTGAAAACTTTTGATTCAAACCCCCATGGATGCCGCATTTGATATGCAATAGTTCAGACATTCTCCAGCGGTGACATCAAAAAGTTCAACAATAGGATCGGAGTTTGAAACTGCGTGACTTGGATGAACATTGAAGCATTGCACTGCAAAATGTTAGTATCTGTTTTTGAAGTCAGTTGAAACATGTATCTTCAAGAACTAGTTGACTTTTAATGTAATTGGAAAGAAGCGCAAATAGGAAAGAAGAAATTAATTTGAAGACAGAGTTAGATTTCTATTTAAATTATGGAAAACTCAACCACCTCAAGTGTGATTTAAGTTTATGAAAATAAAAAAATAAGAGCGTCACTGAATTTGAAATAAATTTTCTTCCTATAACGCTGACGAAAGTCCTGTCCATTATAACTGCAAGTTGTACAGCACGAAATTATAAATTAACTTCTTGCAGAAAGACTTATCAGTTAAAAAAAGCGCATAAAAAAAACTTACACGAAGCATCGACCGCAGGTAGGAGAAAAACAGAAAAAATCAGCAGTATTAGTTGCATTGTTGGAGAGTCTTCAGGGCAAAACGCCGAGATCCGGCGGAGACCTACGCGATCCACCACGTGACCTGGATTCGTAGCCATGTTTCTCGTATCTTCTGATTTTCACCGCTTTTCAAATATCAGTGAAAAATAGCCCAAAAGACGTATATTTGAAAATTATCACGGTTTCATGTGAAATCTCAAAATTCCTACATCCTTGATTTTTTTTTGTGTGGATGAAAAATATTTCAAGTTTTCACTATTTTAGTTCAATACTTTCTTTTCGAATCATTTTTCGTACGGAGAATGCTTCTGGAACGACGATTCTCCTCTTCTATGATTTCAAATTCAATATCTTGCTGAACTTGAAATTAACAAATGAAATATTAGTAAAGCCATTTACGAAAACTTTTTCTAGTACTCTCTTTATAGTACCAGCATTTAAATTAACTTTTTTTAATTTCCTATTAACTTCTCTTTCATTTCAATGTTATCTCACAAACTTTGAGATTCGATTTTCAAAAAGAAAAGAAACATCTCAAATTTTTTGTTCCACCAAAAACGCTGTCAAAATCACTCAGAACACTTTATGACTTCTCGTATTGGTTTCAAAACAAATATCAAAGAGTTTGAAATATTCGGGTCGGTTGTCAGCCACGTATTTGTACATGAGGAAGATGCAACGTTCGGTGTCACATTTTCGAATGGCCGGACCGATTTCTTGAGCATCGTACGGCGGCAAGTTCTGGTCCACGCAAGAGGCGGCCCAATCGCGAATGAACTGCATCTGAAACCTTCGCACTGATGGTTTTTGGTGTTCAGCATTTTTTAGCGCAGTTATTGTTCATCTTTTGGGTTTAATGATCATCACTAGCTGGTGCTACTCATCCTGAAGGAAAAAAAAGGTCGCGAGTAAGAGATCACTAATTACAGCAATAAACCAACTTTACAGAAGGTCGTTCCAGAATCATTGTATTGCCTAGAATAACAAAGAAAAACTTACCTGCATTAAGTCAAACTTGGAAAAGCAGCTCCCACTTGCCAACAGGGCCAAGAAAATGACGGAAAACTCGAAAGTTCTCATTGAAGCTGACGAGGTGTCACGTTCAAACCGCAACGAATATCTGAGTGAAAAATAAACGCTCCAGGTATTTTTTTTCGCCATTAAAACACGTCGGTCACAAAAGTATCTGTGACGGGAAAATTGTCGACGGACGGTTAGAAAATGAGTGTAACAACTACCTAAGTTTCACCTAAAGCGTGGCGAAAGTGCTTCCGTTCAGGCAACAATTTTTGGTGTTTTCGTTGAGAGTTTGAGTGCAGACGAACTTCGAAAAGTTATTTTTCGATTGCGATGAAATTTAAAGTTGAAAAAATAAAATGATTGAAAATAGTTGAACAAAAATGATAAAACCTCAAGCCGAATCTTGCTTTTCCACTCGAAAAGAGTCGAATTTTTCTTTGTTGAAACTCAGTAATAAAATGTATTTCTTACTAAAATTAGACATCTGTAAAATCGTTTTTTTCAAATAAATTCCATATGGATTCACGCAAAATTTCATCCGTAATCTCTGAATATTGAAAAAAACCTTTCAGAATATAGTTTGGTCTACTCTTCCCTTCAAAGAGTAACTAACGTTGAAGAGACCTATAAAAGGCTAGTTTTTGTTTTTCGCAAAATATCGACATTTACATGATTTCAACCTTCAAAAACTTATATCAAGCTGAGTCATGTACGCTTTTTGTTCCGTACAGAAGGCCGAGACAAGGAAAAACGTTAATTAAAAATAGTGGCAGAAGGAAAAAGCGTGCTGCTGTTTGGCAGGGTCGTATTTCTTCTACAGGATGCCTAACTGGCATGAATTCTCAGTACTGCTCGTAAGCCAGGTTGCTCTGATATTCGCGGTTCAAAACGTCTACCTCATTTTCTACACCTACGGAAAAGAACTCGAACCTTCGGATAATTATTTCCAAGATGCCGCCAATAACCCTCGTCGAACGGACTTTTACCGATTTGTATGTGTATCGATATCAGAAACACTTTTTAATTTTGTTGAAGAGTAACGTTGAGTCTTTCTATTCGGCCTACCTGGAGTTTCAAACAGATGGCCAGGACGTCGAAGTTTTTTGGATCAAACATTTGATGAGCATACAATTGGCCGGCGTTTTTCTGGGATCTCTCATCTTTGGTTTTTTTTTCTTCTGTTACAACTACTAATCAATAACTTATCAGGAGCTCTTGCCGACTACTTTGGCCGGAAAAACGTATGCCGCGCAGTTTTCTTCATAGGGACGGCACTTCTTGCCGGAGAAGGTTTCAGAAACTTGAAACCTAAAAACTTTTAATTTAGGATTTATTCATAACTCTATCGTCATAGCGGTGGCCCGGTTTTTTGTTGGTTTATTGACCGGAGGAGTGATTGTGGTGACTTGGAGCTTCACCACCGAGTTGATACAGCCTCAGACACGGTTCCTGGCGCGCGCTTTTGCTAATTGGGTGCACTAAACTCCGAAAAAAAATAGTTAGACTATTTATAGCCAAATGCTCGTCTAATCCTGACAATAATTTGCTACTTCACTGGAAATTGGCGGCTCACGTTGCACATTTGTGCCGGAATCGCTTTTATTTCGTTTGGATTTTACTGTTTCTTCTTGCCCGAAAGTCCCACATGGCTTTTTTGTCAGGTAAACAAATATTTAATTGTTATTTTTCTTGAAAGAAGTTGTAAAAACTTGAAAACTTACGGATTCAAAATTGATTTTGCCTTAAGCAGGTATTTTTTCGGAATTTATCAAAAGCTCAAATATTTTTGTTGAGCAAAATATACTTTTCGCGACCATCAAAATTGTAGCCATTCCAAATTTTTTTTTGAAAGGCTTATTTTTCACACAAGTATAGTCGATTTTTTGTGACTTAAAGGAAGCGGGCGTAGCGTGTTCGCTCGCGGTTCTCGGCACGAGATCAATTGAACCGACAGCGAGTATTCTGAAAGCTCGTTTATCGCTCTTTTTATTTCTTTTTTATTATTTAATGATTTATTTCATTTTTGCATCAAAAAATAGTAGTTTTGATGCAAACAAGCGGTGAACAAGCTTTTTAAATAGTCGGTGGTGCAGGAATCTAACTCGTGCCAAGAACGGCGTACGCACACGCTACGCGTCCCGCACACTTTTCCACCTCCCTTCTTTTTCAAGTCGGAATGAATTGACTATATTTTCAATCAAACTTTGAGGAAGTCAAATAAAAGACCATCTATCCTCACTAATACTCTTGTTTTCAGAAACGCTACGACGAAGCCGAAAAAATCAGAGAACTGATAATTCAGAGATCTAATGGCGCTTGCGATATCAGTGATGCAAAATACGATCTTTTATCAAAACAACAAAAAAAATTCAGAGCTACCTGATCGAAAGCCGACAAAGCACTTGACTTTCATTTCGATTTGGCAGAAATCCAAATATCGAAACATCATGCTTTTGTTCGGAACTGTATGGATCTTGACCAATTTCACAGCTGCTATGATCGACTACACAGAAGTGAAAATTGTTTCCGGTTTCTTGAAGAGTCAATTTTTAATCTCGGGAGTTATTGCAGCTTCAAAAATAGTATGATTTTCATTGCTTCACTTTGTTGAAAACTGAGGATTCAGATTCTTGGAGTTACCGAGATCATGTTTGGGATCATAAACAGAAGAAACTTACACTTGGTTTCCTTACTGATCAGCATGGTTGGAATGACGATAGCGGCTGTTATGGTCACTCTGAAGCTGAACGAAACCTACAACGTCGCCTACTGCTTCGCTTTCCTCACTTCTTTGATCTTCGCCGAGTTTGTTTGGGACGCTTGCTATTTGTGAGAAAAATATTATGACGTATGGAAATAAGAAAAAATATTCAGATGCGTCATCGAGCAAGTTCCGACAGAAGTGAGGAGTACGGTGTGTGGAACGTGCTCCTTTTTCTCGAGAGTTTTTGGGATCGCTGCTACTTTAATGGTTTGGATTTCCTTAGGAAAAACTTCATTTGCGGGAACATATAATTTTTGCTGCATTTGAAATCGCTCAAAACATTGTAGTTCTAAAAATAGGGAAAAAAGTGAGTGACAAAAAAATCAATCTTCTCTGAAAAACTTTGCCAAATCATCAAAAACAAGAGTCTCGTATCCCGAAACTCATTTCTTTAGGTCTACGTCAAAAAAGAGTGGGCTCCTGCGCCTCTTTATACCGCGACCATTGCTATGGCCATTCATTTTCTGATCGCCTTCAAGTTTTTGAAAGAAAGCAAAGACGCAGACCTTTCGGAGGTTTCATTAGAAAGAATGTAAATTTTTAAAAAAATCCGATTTTTTTCAGGTTGGCTTTGACTTGCGCCGCTTCAGTCAAAAAAACTATCGAAAAAAACTCACAAACATGAGAATGAGGCGCAAAAGTGCCGGTTGAACACATGGAATAAAAACTCATAATTCCGTCGTTTTATTGTTTTTTTCTATCAACCTTTACTTATTTGACAGAATTCAATAAATACTATAATCAAAAAAATCATTCTATAAAGAAAAAAAGAAAAAAAGAAACGATAATCTTTTTGGCTACTTTTTCGTTTCCTTGTTGCTATATCATCTTTACAGTAGTCTATTCTGAAGCTCCATCGCTTTTTCCACGTATTTTTTTGCTCGAAAAACCAAAAATTTTCACTTTAAAATGTCCGCCATCTTTTTTTCCAATATTGATTAAACTATATTTTTTTAAACTTTTTTTACATATTTTTTGACAAGCTTTTTGATGATCAAGTGCTTCGACCTATTCAGGCCAAAATTTCATTTATACTTTTCACATTCAGAAACTTTTTTTTTTCTGTTTTACCAAAGTCAGTTCGAAGCTGTAGTTGGCAACAATTACCACGTTGCGTGACGCTTCATACGGGCTTCATTTCGTAGATGATATCGAGCTCCGTTTCAAGGTTTTCGGTTAAGATGGATTGAAAAAGTCAAAAGGAGTTTGCAAACGTCTAGCATAAAAAGAATCTGCAAACGTCTCACTAACTTAGAATTAAAATAATTGAAAGATAATCAAATAATTCCAATAAATCTTTTTGATACTTTGCTTTTGGCAGTTTTTCTTATTAATATTATTGGTTTAATACACATTGAAATAGTTTATTCTGATTCGAGATTGAGACTGGTCGAATGAAACTAAAAAAACGACGTTGGTTTCAACTGAGCCCCAGATTAAAAAAATGCAGTTCTAGCTGAACTGCATGTCACGACATCTCTGCAACCGGCAATTAAATCTTTTTAAATGTTGGTTACAAACTTGATTTGTATTTCAGAATATTCTATACGACAACAACTTTTTTCTTTTTTTCGAAAAACTCCGTAGAGATAAATGTCCGAAGAGGTGGTACCAAGAAACCTGCCTTTTATCTATTACAATGAAACGGAAAAGAACTTAAACAGAATTGTGGATAGTGTTGTTTTTGAATATTCTAATGTCTTTTTCGCCTTCATCTACATCGTGTGTCTTATATTGTTCTACATGATTTGTTGCTCTGAACGTGATGCGAAAGAAGAGGTGAACTCAATTTTAAGATTTTTTTCTTTTAATATCCGTGTAAAATAATGGTGAAAAGCACAAATGGTAGTTCATAGACCGACAACTTTGTGTTATTTCTGACATTATTACCAAGTTTCAGAAGACAATTGTTAACGAAGTTTTAAAAAAACAACAAAGAAATTTCACCGAAGTCCATTGACGAAACACGCTATTTTTTTACTATTTATCTATTTTTCACACTCTAAAATAATCTTTACGCAAAACTGCCCTGCAAAATTTTCTAATGTTTTTTTTGCGTTTCTTTCGGCTGAATTCGAATGAATTTTTTTTAGTTAAACTCGAGAAAAATTATATTTTCAGTGTATTCATGTTCCTATGCTCAAACATTTATGGCTGTGTGGTTTTTTTGATTTTTTGAGCTTTACCAGTAATATTGTGTTCTCGATAACTGTCTGTATCTACAGGCTCAACAATAATTCGAAAACATTTTTTATATTGTTCATCTACTCTTATCCTTTCGCATTATTTTCTAATGTAGGCAGGTTGATGGTACCCACGCTCTTGCTGTTGCTTTTGATGCAAAAAATATCTCTAATTTGCGGACTGAAGCTTAGTTCGCGACTGCAGGGGTTTTTCCTTTTTGAGGTTACTTTTACAACGTTTTTCAGGAAAAACCTATCAAAAACGCTGAAAGCAACATGGGCTCTCGCATTTCTGATTCATTTTTGGTTTTTTTATAATCAAGGCCTTGACGAAATCCGTCTGGTTCTTTGGTTCCCAAACTCATTTTTTTGTCTCTATTTGTACAAGACTATTACTAAATCGAATCCGGATATCGCAGTTGTCAAGATGGGAATGATGATTGTTCGACAAGTTTCTCTACTTCTCATTGTTGAAACGGTTCGTTTTGAAATTTTTTTAAAGCTGCTTGAAAAAAAGGAAACAACAAACCTTTTTTTATCTTTTTTTAATGGTTTCCGCAAGTTCAAAATTCGATCAAACAAAACACAAAATACAGATCGACTAAAATATCAAAAAAATATTTATTTCTTTCTCAATCTTAAAACTGTATTCAAAGGCTAAAAAAAGACTAGCTACATATTCAAAAAAACTCCGGTAAATATTTGCGAGAAATATAAAAAAAATCAATTTTTTTCTCATTACTAAACTGTTAAATTTCTCACAGTTATCTACTTGATGAACCCAGAAAAAGCAGAAAAGTTGAAAGGAAAAATAGAGTATTCATCAAAAAAAACGAAAATTGTTTCTAAAAGGAAGAAATCTAGTTCAAAACAAAAATATTAGTGTTTGAAAGCAACACTTAAGCGCTCACCTTCAAGAATTATCGTTTGATACATGCCCAGTTTCTCTGAATAACATACTAGAATATTTTCGAGCATTCACAACTTTGTTATTGAAATTTCTTAGCGAATTTCAGTTATTATCAATCTTTTACTTTGGAGAAACATTGTTAAACTACATCGGAGTTCTTGTATCGAATAAGTTTCAAGGCGTCATCAATTTGTTCGACGTAAACGCTCTACACTTGGTCTGTATTTCAATCTCTTTTTTGGCTGGGAGCGGCCGCATTGGTCATTACTTTCGTTTATTTTGTCGAGGTCAACAGGTGTCTCCTCAAATTCCGTGAAAACCGGCAATTTTGTGGCTTTGAGCCAACATTTTATGCAAGATATCCCTATTTTCATTCGTTTTTTTTAAGTTGTATTTGCTTTATGCCTTTTTTGTCAACAAAGCAATAAAAATATATTACGACTATGCAGAATTACACAGCAAAGCTTTATGTGCCATGCAATTCTGAAATTTGATCAACACTTGAAAAAATGAAAAAAGGCGATCACGGCAACTATTTCACCTCCCAACAACTCGTCGTCTGCTCGCCGGTGGTTGCAAACGGCTCAATGAGTAAGGCGCAACGGAAGACCGCCCACAGAGTGGACGACCGGCCACCGCTACATCTACAAAAAATACAAAATGGTCCGCGACTTTATCCGTCAAAATCCATGAAGGTCTATAAGGAAATTAGCTCAGAAGAAGATAAATTTGACAAGGGTCCGGGAAAGCGTCGCAGACAAACTTGAAAAAGAGGCGTTCAGCAAAAGGCACTGCTCCCATGGGCCAGGTGACACTTTGGACACCACTCATATATTTTCCAACAAGATACAGAGGCCAAGATCGTTTAACAGTGGTGCAGAAAGGAGCTTTCTGGCTTCATCGACACTTTAGAATGGCCGCCCTATACGCCGGATCTCAATCCGCTGGATTATTCTGTTTGGGATAATCTGAAGTTCAAGTCCTATGCTACGCCACATTGTAAGATCGAGCCGCTGAAGGCTTCCCTTGAGCGAGAGAAAATCGGCGCCGATTACCTTTCCGCCACGGCGCTTCCCAAGCGTCTTCGAGTCGTATTTGCAATAACGGTGGTCTCGTTGAAAAAATTCGAAGTTATTTTGTTTTTAATGTTCTAAATAAACTATCCACTAGAATTTCAATCAACTCGATAGTGTTACGCTACTTTAACTGTCAATTACATTTGCTTCAGTAGTTTGCGCGCACCCTGAAGTACATCATTGAGTTTTCCGGCCGATTTAAAAAATTTCCGAGGTGAAATAAAATACCAATAATTGACGGAGCAGCTGACTTCTCATGAATTCGATAGGAAAAAAAAACATATTTTCATACTGCCTTGAAAAAGTGTTCCCATCATAATTACCTTTCCTGCCTTGTAATGCTAGAGTTAAATTCACTTCCGTGTTTTGAATAATAGGCAGAAACAACATTCAAAAAAAAAGGTTAATTTTTTTGAAAAAGTCCTTTACAATGATGAACTGACATCTAGGAACAAAGTCGGTCTATGTAATAATTGCCAATCAAAACCTATTTAGAAAAAAAATCCACATCTTTTCGCCAACTTTCTTGAAATTCTCTCTATTTTTTTGAACTCTTCGTTTTTAGTTTTTCAATGTTCATGGAAAAGTTGGTTCTGTTACAGGTCTTTCCGGCCTTCGAACTGTATTATTATTCTTATAAAATAAATGATGATGAAGAAAGCAAAATATCAATTCGGTCTGTCACAATATATTCTGCAAATGTCTTTTTAGATAAATAAAAAATATCGAAAAAACGAGCCAGTTTTGCCGCACAGAAAAAAAAAAACTGCGTGTTCTTGAAGCTCCGTGATGTACCGGCTGAAGATCCTAGGCAGCATTATTTATTTTTGCAATCGAGAACATTTTTGCAATCTGAAAATTAACCTAACTAGGGAGCTACTCGGACTCGGGTACGGGTTTTGAGTTGAAACTTTAGTGGTTTATAGACCCAAGTCAGAATATTAAAAAACAAGAGAGAATAGCTGCTAAACCCGATAGAAAACTGAGAAAAAATTAAAAGAAAAAGTGAAAATTAGGCCTAAAAATTTTCAAAACACTGCTTTCTACCTTATTGTATATTTTAATACAATCGCCTTGGATGATCCGGCTATGATAAACACTAAAAAACTTTTTTCCAGCCAAAAAAAGAAGAAAAGCAGAAATTTGATAATTTACAAGCCTACACCGTTCATTTTCAAAAAGTTTTTTTCTAGAAACCATGGGGTTTAGCAGATAATCTCGCTTGTTTTCAAGTACTCTTACCCGGGTCTATGTTTCAACTCGAAACCCGTACCCGAGTCTGAGTAGTAACTTCATGACTAGCAAAGAAGCCTAATAAGGAATTGATCAAAGGAAACCGCGAAGGAGAGAATCTTTATTTTACTTCATTTGACAATGTTTTGATCGTTGCTAAACCGTTCCGAACGCAAAGTGATATTAACTTTTTAGTTATATATTATTGCGAAAGCGCTGTTTTGCAGATAGATAATAAGTATGATACCACTATCGACTGAGGAGAAATGTTACAAAAACTTTGCAACATGCGAAACACGCTCATAAGTGTTGGTTACGATTTCATTGCGAAGTACAAGATTCACACGATTACGGCTTATTGTTACTTATCTAATTCTACATTTTCCACTGATAGTAAATGTCAGACAAGCTAGAATCAGCAAAATCAGCTTTCTTAAGCAACAACAAAACAATAATGGAGTTCTATCAAATCACTGACAACCCAGGTTTTCTATATTTTATGATCGTTTCGGCGTTTATGTACTTTGTACTTCTTATGCTTTTCTACTTGGTCTGCTGCTTTGAACGTCATAAAAAAGAGAAGGTTAGTCCATTTCTACTGTTTTTGTCACTGGTTTTTATAATTAATTGTATTTTGAGCACGTCCATATTCCTATACTCAAACACTTGTGGATTTCTTGTTTTTTTGGTTTTTTAAGCTTCACGAGTAGTCATGTGTTTCCAATAATTGATTATACATATATTAGCGACAACGATTCGAAAGTTTTTCGTTTATTCATTTATTTCTGTTTTTCATTTTTATTATCTGCTACGATTAGCAAGTTGATGGTACCCATCCTCTTGCTGCTGCTCTTGGTGCAGAGAATCCTTTTAATTTCCGAACTGAAGCTAAGTGCATGGCTGCAGGGGTTTTTTATTTCTTTTTGAGAATTCCGCAATAAGGTTTGTTCCAGGAAAAGCCTATCAAGGATGCTAAAAGCCGCATGGGCTCTTTTACTATTAATTAAATTTTTTTCTGTTTATGAACCGGATTTCGAGAAACTCTTGGTTCTATGGTTTTCGAATTCAATTCTTTGCTTGTTTTTGTACAAAATGATTTCTAAATCGAAGATGGATAAGGCGGCTGTAAGAGAGGAAATGAAAATTGTATGGCACACGGCTCCAATTTTTCTTCTGCAAATGGTTTGTTCATGTAAAAAGAGAAGGCAATCATTCTTTCCCGGAACACCCAAACAAACTAGGAAACTCGATTCAACAAATATTTGTTTGCTTCTGTATCCAATTATTAGTTATGTATATCAAATCAAAAACTATAAAAAAACCGAACCAATTTCGAAGTAGTAGGGGACTTCGAAAAACTGACCGCACACTAAGAGAAAAATCTGCGCAGCTCAAAAGTCAAATCAATCAATCAATCAATCAATCCATCATCAATTTCCTCAGGTCCTTTTTTGCGGGCGTTTATAAGTAAATTAAACTTGAAACAATTAATAAATAGAGTTTAAGTAAAAACAAGTGCATTACAAAAGTTCAAAGGAACTTTTAAAAAAATTTGAAAAAATATAAATCAGCAATGATTCTTTTTTCAAAGACCCTGGCAGGACATGACTCGTCAAAATAGGAAAAGAAAAAAATGATGTCAAGCGCTTCGCAAAACTTATTTTTTGTCATCTTTTGTCCAGTTTCGTTATTTTTTTTTCAGAACCGTTATCAGGGTTTTTGAAAGCACAAAAAATAAGCTCGGATGATCATCAATTCAAGCCTTTCGGAAAACTTTGAAAATTGAGTATCATCATTTTGAAGCTATTAGGAACCGTCACTGAGTTTCGATGGATTCGAAAAATCAGTAAGCGGTTATTAAAGAATTTCAAGAGTTTTCCGTGGCAAGGATAAAATATAGACAGCTAATTTTTCCGCTGTTTGTGCTAATCAGCTATTTTTATATATTTCTCCGTGAAACTTCAATCACAAAATTTTCAGCTCTTTGTGATCTTTTGCATTGGGCGACCTCTGGAAAACTACTTCCAAACAGAGATATTCGGGAAGCTACTCGAGGTCAGCGAATTTTCCAATCTGGACGCGCTACAAATGATCTGCGTGCCAATATCTTTTTTGGCCTCAAGAGGGCACATTGGAACTTCTTTCAAGATAGAAGGCTCCAAGGCCAACAAGGTGTCTTCTTATTATGAAGGTGAAAAAAAACGGCCTCCAAAACCAAACCGATACATTTTCAGGCTCAGTAGCCACTGTGAGTCAGTTCACTTCAGTGGTCTGATTATGATATCCGAAGTTAAATATTGATATGCTTTGCAACTATTACACGAAATTTCAATCTAGTATGAGTTTCTTGGCGTTTTCTAAAGAATGCAACATTAAGTTTAAAAAACTATTAAATTTTCGAGTTTTTATTCTTGCCGGTGTGCTTTTGTTTAAATAATTTCATAGTTATCCATTTCTTCGGAAGGATGAAAAAAGACAGCATTTGCTACACTTTTTGTATACCCGGATGTGTACGCTCTAAAGAAATGTTGTTTGAAAAACTCCCACAACCTGCGAATTAGACGAAAAATGGCATTTGTAGCTCACTCTTCGAGATTCGCTGAACTACATTCACTGAATTTTTTTCTTATTCCTGTTTTGAAGTCATTCGAAACAATTTTAGAGGTTTTGATCAACAAAACCAACTGGAATGGATTTTAATCTTACCGAATTCGAAATTCATTATAATCAACATAATCGTTTATTTTTCTATTCAGATTTATTTTACACAGTTTTGTACATTATCTGTTTATTTCTTTTCTACTATGTATGCTGTCATGTTCGTAATGAAGAAGAGGTGAATTTACTGTTTTGCAAATGTTACGAATCATCATAATAATGTCTTTTCCAGAAAAACCACATTCCCATATTCAAGCATTTGTGGTATTGCTGTTTCATGTACTCTGGGCATGTTGTCAATGCAAATTTGACCAAAATTTTCGGTTTTTCTTATCACGAAACTGTGCGCGACAGTAGAACAAACATTTTTCTAATCATAGTGCTTCTTTTTTTGGAAATATTTTTTTATTTCTTTTTTTCTTGTGGCAAGATGTTATTGCCTTTTTATAATGCTACTGCTCACACTTCAGAGACTTACAAAAGTCGCCGAATTATCGTTGAAATTCTTGTTGAAAAGGTGTGAGGGTCTGGATTGAAAATAAGTAAAAGTCTGTTTCTTTCAGAAAAAGCCTCTCAAGAATACTCAAAACTTCCTGGCTTTTTTTCTTTTGCATTCAATGTTTCCTCTCGAAATTTTTGAAAAAGTAACTGAAGCCAAATTTTTCCTTTAAAAAATGATTTATAGTCCACATACAACGATTAGTGTATTTCGTTTGGTGATTTGGTACACGACTTCGTTCTTGTGTTTTCTTTTGTACAGGACTATATTTAAATCAGAGTTGCATACCACGGCCGCCAACATCGAAATAATAATTGTTCGACAGATGCTTCCTCTTCTTGTTTTTCAAGCGGTTAGTTCATATAAAGATCTCTAATTCTTATTCTGCTGACAATATTCAGCAAAAGAATCACGATTTAAAAACCCGAACTTTTTTCTGAAACTAACCAAAAATCACAGATCTTCAACCCCAGATGCAAATAAGTTTTGCTCGATCCATCTATTTTAGATCTGATGTAAAAAATGTCGCTCAAAGAAAAAGCAACACTACAGTAAACTTTCTCTTCCCCAGATTTCCTGAATAATTTTGTTCTTGTAACGTTTTTAGTTATAAACATTTTCAGATACTGTCCATCGTGACCCTTGAACAAATACTTCAGATCTCCAGTCGAGTTGTATTTTTGAAGTCGCTGATAGACTTTAGCCTTTTGGTTGAGCTAGAAGCGCTGGAAATAATCTGTGTGCCAATATCTTTTTTGGCCGGCAGTGGGCAAGTCAGAATGAAGTTGGCGCGGCTTTTCTCAAGAAATTTGGTGTCGCCTCATATGTTTTGAAGGTGAAAAAAGGTGACTGGATCCTGGCGCAACTGGTAATTCTACCACGCTCCATCTCCTCTCCCGAACACATGTCCCGCATCTAGGCCACCTCGAGGCGATTCAAGTTGATTGCTTTTCACGAATTCATATGTAAATCCGACGCTTTGGTCAGGCGTCAATTCCTTCGCGGGAATGCGAGCGCTCCACGTGTTTCTGGTCGCTCTCGCTATCGTCACCGTCTTGATTCTGGTGAAGTTTCAAAGGTAAAGTGAACTTTGCTTCGAGTTACTAATAATACCCTTTTTCCAGCTCTGATGCAAGGGAGGCAGACGATAATAATAGGACAGAACATCTGGACGACACTATTTTTTTGGGAAACAGACATCATGTCTCAGATATAGAGGTTCGACGACTCAACAAGAAAAAAATTTTTTTGATGATCTTTGATTATTAGTTCTTAAAGATTTAAAGAAAATTTGATACTTCAGAATAACATGGTTTTTTCATATAAAAGTTAGCACATCTTATCAATTTTTTCTTCATGGGGTAAGAAGACTTTAAAAGTTTCTGCCTACAGAGAACTCAAATTCCGCTGATATAGAGCTTTTTTCACACATTTACACATTTATTCAGTCGTCAGATTTTCTCACGAGAAACCAACTATCGTACCTGATTTCTCATAGAAAATTCAAAAAAATGTTGGGATTTTTTTATTATATCTGGATAAAAAAATTTTTAATTGATAAAAAAACAGTTTTCTTTAAATATGTTTCGCTATTTTTCTTCTAACATCTAATGAAAGACTCGCCAAAACTAAAATGATGACATCCGTTGAAAAAATCCACGATGAATAGCATTAATTTCCTGTTCGAAAAAAAATATCATAATTTTTTTGCATCTTATCTGAATTTACAGACAACTTCCTCGACAACGTTGTTGGAAAAAAACCACAATTGAGAGCCCGAGGACAACAACCAGAAAGTTTACCTGGAACACGGACAACCCGCGGAAAATTGCAGAAATCAGAGATTATCTGAAGAGAAACGATCCGTCGTATCAAAGTTGGATGCCAATTTTTGCTGTCAGCAGTAATAAATGATTTTTTTCGAAACAAATCCTTGTTTATTATTTTTTTATTATTTTTTTATAATATTATTTTTTTCATTTTTTTGGTAGAATTTCAGAGGTAACAATTAAAAAAATAAAGGAAGAAGAAGCCGAAAAAAACCTTATTTCTTCTTATTTAACAATTTTGATTGGTAATTGCTTTTTTTGAAGGCTTACAGCGTCGCGGTCGCGTTGAGCTTATTAAAATAATCGGCAAGAAAAGTTATTTTCATTTGCTTGAAATTTTTTTGAAAATCAAAAAAACTAAAAGTTCTTGAAAGCCCAATCATGCAAAAATTCTTAGTTTTTTTGAGCGAAAATGACTCTAAGTTTCAAAATGGCTATTTCAATGAATTTTGGTGTTGTTCTTCTATTTTGAATTTTTCATACTGTGTAAAAAAAAGTTTTTGCTCTAAAAATATTTCTCTTGATGTTGAAGAAATTATTGGAATCTGCAGAAAATTTTCCGACTACAAACTCAAATGACTTTTTTTAAGGTTTTCTGATTTTTCTTGCGAGCGACCTCCTAGGTTTTGGACTTAATTTGGGCTATTCCAGCAATAGGATTGTGAGTTGAGAATAGTTGAATTCACGAAAATATTTAGGAACTGCTTCCATTTGCAAACAAACAGCCAGTCCAACAAAATAAGGCCATAATACATTTTATACCGATATTTTTTTTATCCTTTTATTTTCAAAGGTATTTGATCATCCAAACCACTGGAAATTGTTATCATACTTGAAGTTTAAAAAAGAAGTTGCCTAGCAACGTTTGTTTATGTGGAAAGCTCTGTTTTCTCTTCTTTTCTCACACACTGCGGAAACAGGCAAGTGCGCTCGACGGCGCTCAGAGGCCCCTCGGCGAAAATCGCTCATATTAGCGTGAAAGTCATCATTGTTTTCAAGTTTTTATAAGCTAACGCTGCGAAATTTTCAATTGAATTGTCGTGATACATATTCCACTTGAACTCTTTTCTTGGTTCCGTTTCATGCCGACACTTTTATTCAATTTTAAGCTGCTTTCTTTTCTTTTTTGATATATGAACTGATTTTCGAAAATGCGACCTTCGCTCCATCGAAGAGATTTTTTTGTTTGCTGTTCAGCGAGCTTATTGATAATAAAAAACGTGAAAAAAAACTTGTCTTCCCTATCGTTTTGAGATTTTCGACTTTTGTGCTTTTCAGACTTTTCTCACAAAAAACTGTTCCCAAAATGGAGTCAAAACATTGCAATCAACATTTGCGATATGCGAAGATTGAAAGAGATGTGAGTTTATTCTTTTTATTACAGGATGATTTGGCTCTTTTCTCAGATATTTCTCGGCCTTTTCATCCTGTTTTTCGTGACAAATCTCGTCACCATAATCTTCTTCAAACGAGCTTCGCTTCGTCGTCTTTATGATCGGGTCGCTCATCGCTATACAGGAGGAGATCAGTCCGATCCTTTGATGGACTCCTGAATTTTTTCAACATGAAGTTATCAAGAGTCTCAATTTGCACATAATGTTCTCTTCAAAGTTATTCAACTTTTTTCTAACTCTTGTTCCGCATTTTCGAACACTTTGAAAAGCTGTTGTATACCACAATGTAATATTTGTTTCACTCTGAAATCGTTATTTATTTATTTCGTTAAATAAAAAGTTGAAAAAAATTGTTCGTTTGTTTGTTTGTGATATGAAAAGCATACTTCAGTTATATAATTTTTTTGTGATCAATGAAAATTTTTGCGATCATTCAAGTTTTGTGAACAATTGATAAAACATAACTTCGCAGTCTGAATCAAAATGGTCAAATTTACATTTAACAGAAAAAAATAGTTACATTTATCAGAAAATGTTCAAACGAAAGTGAAAAAAACGAAAAAAAATTACGTTGTATGAAAAATTTTTATAACACATCGATATTAAAAAAAAATACGCAGGCTTAAAATTTACGCATTTCCGTGAGAAACTTATCACAGTCGCGGGATTAAGTGAACCAAATTTTGGTTTTTTGGCCATCACCTAGCTGAAACTCTTAATACAAGAGGTGAATCTCAAATGAGGCAAAATTTCAACAATAACGAAGAAAACAATTTTTTCAATTTTAGATGTAATTCCTACGTGCTTCAAAACAAAAAAAGTTTCAAACTAGAATATTGATATTTTTTTCATTTTTATAAAAAAATGAGTTTTTGACCAACTATTGATAATATCTTTTTCATGAGCCAGATAGGTCATCTTCAAAGCAGAAATGAATCTGTGAATGGAAAGAAAGCAAACGTAGCCGTGCCTGCGCAGGTTAAGCTGAGACTGCGTGGTCGGATTAACTGACTTATGAGAAAATCAATGATTTCTCATCTCCTATTCATACTTGATTCTTTATGAAAAACCATCATTAGAGCCGAATATTATTGATCGAATTTGAAAACTTTAAAGTCCATTTTTTGACTTCATTAATATTTCCTGTATGAGCCTTGTTTTTCTGGCTTTGCGGGCTGAAGGAAGCTGTAGAATATCATTTCAGTTCAATTTAGAACATTAAATATTTAATTAAGCACTTGTGTTTTTCATAAAATCCATTTTTTTCTGCTTTTTTTGATGTTTATTTTATGTTTCTCAGAATTCGAAAAAGTCGCAGAGATTTGGGTGAATTCATTAGAAATTCTGATGAACTTTATATCATGCCTTTCATATGTCTTTTTTTGAGCAAAAAAATGACGCAATGAAACGTGTGAAAAACTGGATCATTCTCAAAAGCAACATATTTTTCTGAAACTTTGATATAAATTCATAAAGTTAGCTTTGGCTTTGAAATCACGTTAATTTGAGAAAAATGAGTTGGATGAAAAACTTGGAATACTGCACTTATTTGTTTTTTTAATATTAAACTTTTTGCTTATCAGATAATCTGGACGGTGATATCCAGGAATCTTCATTCAGAAAATTTTACATTACTGTGGTTTTAGGTGATTTTGGAGTCAAAAAAGAACTGGTGATTTACCTCAGATTAAAGGTTTTTTTTCTGACTTGTCTTTCCCGTTCATGAACTTTTTTGTATGTTAGTTAACTTTCAGCTAGCGAATCCCACAAATTGCAACTCTCATTTTTTTATCATTTTTTTCAACTTTATGGTGATGAGAAAGGAATTCAAAACACAGGTGAGAAATATCAGAACCCTTTGCAAAAAAATAGCCCCAGTTATATCTTTCTTGTATTAAAGTCTGGAAAAACTGGAACAGAAGAGGTAGGAAATCATAGTCTGAAGAATTGCGTGAAGCGTTTTTGTGCTCTGAAACTTGGTTTCCATACGTCACTCTGCTTTTGAGATCAATGCAGCTGGATTTCCGAACAAGTGCCAACGCGCGTTCCTTCAAATAGAGAGTATGAATAAAGGAGACACCTCTGGAGATGTCCAGTCCGGCCGAAAAAAGCTTGAAATACAGGGATCTCTGATTTCTGAGTTTGAAAAAGGATTTTTGAATAGTTGACGGTTAGGCAAAGCATACAGATACCGTCTGCGTATATTTTGAGTAATGCTCAAGTTAGGCGTTGAAGACTCGACGCGACAGAAGAAGATGACGTCATCGAACGTTTCCTGTCCATGGAACTTGCACTTCTTGCGGTCTGTCCACATCACGGCTCAATATCGCGACTCTTGGCGAGGACAGGGTGGGATTTGATACCTTCGATTCGTATCCCTGAAGAAGCAACACCTGCGATGAAGAGAGGCCGGAAAGGAAAGCGTCTTAGCGCATTAAATGGCTCCTCTCCCACACGCCCGATACTCAAACAAACGAAAATAACCGAGGGCGCTACAAGATCCTTCTTTGCGCAGGAAATTGCGCGTTCCATTTTGTGCTGGACACTTTCTGAATTCCAACTCAAGAAAACCCCATTTGAATGCCTAGCTTCTTTTTCCCCTTTCATGGGTTTTTTTTAAAAATATCTGGATTTTTTTCTCCACTTTTCACGTTAAGACAACTTGATAGGATTTTTCGTTTGAACTATTTGTATTTCCGAGATTTTCCTCCCTCAATGAAGTCGCAGCTAGGATGCTTTTTATAAATTATGAAAATTTAAGGTTTTTGTCCTGCTTTTCTCAACCTTCCGCTATTAATCTTCTTGGAAGTTAGATTTTTTTTCAAAATCTGGCTTAAAAACTGTTTGAGCTCCTTTAAAAATAGTTGAGGTTGAATAGAACCATCCTACCAGTTCACTTTCTTTTTTTACCTTAGAAAATCAACTGAAAAAAACAGCTTTATGGCAAAAAGAAATCTTGAAAATAGTAGAAACTCGTTGTCTTTTTAGAACAGGTTGAGTTTTGAAACAAGCACAGTTTTTCGAGAAACTTGTTTAGATTACCCAGCATAAGACACACTGCGCGTCATAACTATAGACGCACCCCCTCCCCCTTTTTGCAGTTTTCAAAAGATACGTTTAATTTCCTGTAAATGAATGTATTTTATGGCAGACCTTAGCTGAAATGACGAAAATCGGAAAAAGAACTACAGAAAACTCAGTACAAACAATTTCGAAATTCGTCGAAAATAGTTTTTTGACCGGCTCATAATTATAGACGCATCCTGGGCTAGCGCTCATTTTTTACTTTTGTTGGAACATCTTTTTGCTTATTTTAAATCAATATTCAAATACAAAGGAGGCCACAGCATTTTAAGTATATTTAAAACAAGCAATTTTATTTTTAAACCATGCGAAAAGCGAAAGAAATCCAATGGTTTAGAAAAAATGACCCTTTCTAAAACTATCAGGGTATTTATGTCTGAGTTCGCGCATGAAGTGGTTACCAAAAAACACCTAGAAAAATGTTTATTGGGGAAAGAAGTCGGCTCAAATAAGGCCAGGCTGTAAACAGGTTGTCTGACACAAAGATATTTTTCGTACCGCAGAAGAAGTTTTTCACCTCGAAATTTTCAGTTTATTGTACAAAACTTATTCAAAATGCTGTGATTATCTACTCACTTGAATATTGATTTAAAATTTAAAAAAAAAAGCGAACGAATTCAAGAACAAGTAAAAAAAAAATGGGCGCTGACCCAGGATGCGTCTATGATTATGACCCGGTCAAAAAACTAATTTTGACGATATTCCAAAATTTTTTGTACTGAGTTTTCTGTAGTTCCCTTTCTGATGTTAGCCATTTCAGCTAAGGTTTATAATAAAATAGGTTAGATTGTAAGAATTATAAAATAAATATGACGTCCATAAGTATGACGCGCAAGTTATGATATAGTTCTGCTGAACCGTAATAAACTCAAAGCCTGTCTGAGTTTCTTTTTTCTTTTTTTCTAACATTTTTATTAGTTTTTTGAAAGATTCCAAGAGAATAATTATCACTCAAACAAATTTCTTGAGTTTACAGTTTCAAGTTCGCGATAAACAATCATTTTGAAATGCCTAAAGGTCGGAATAAAGTTCTGCCCTAAAAAATATCCAACTTTTTTGGGTAAAGAACTATCCAAAAGTACATTCTCCCTCGTAGACAACGCATTGTGAAGAAAACAAAAGACGCTGTCTACCCGTGCTCCTGCATGAAATCGAGGCAGATGGCGCCAAAAACGAGGTCAAACGCGTAGTTTCAAATTCGAAAACTGCGTTTCGAAATGTTGTACTTCTGGACGACGGAGCTAGCGAACGGCAGTAGCTAAGAAGAACAAGAATTAATCATTTTCTTCAATTTCTAATTTTTTTTTTTGCGCTGGAATTAGATAATATTTTTCTAGATCTTTTCTGGAATTTTCGCGATCGAGCGGTGACTAATAGTTGTTTGTTGAATTTTTTTCTTTTAGTAGGTCAACAGCTTTTTCATACCATTTCAGTTAATCGTATTATTTTTGACTTTTTGACAAATCGTGAGATCCAAAAAGTCGAGAAAAATTTTTTTTTTTCTGCTGTTAATCATATTTTGCGTGGTTTTTTTTGCTTATCAACAAGTGTTTAATTTTCCCACAGGCCAGATAAACATTCAGCTGACGCCGAAAAACCATCAAAATACTTTCCTTTCCACTTTAATTTTCCATTTCCTACATTACGTCCTACACTCTGGAGCACTTAGTTCAATTTCTTGCCCTTCCGATTTTACGTAAAAAGCCTCGGCGTATAGCAGCAAAACCACGTTCTTCTTTCCAGCGGCTCGCTTCGAATTTCTGATAAGGTTTCGTTTGGTGAAGCGTTTTATGACCACCCATTTCGCGTAATCTCAACTGATCACACAGTTTCATTCATGCATCGGTAAACTTTGAGGGTCTATTCAGTTCAACTATTCCCTGTCATGTTTATTTTTGGTAGCTCCTTAAGCATTCTGAAAAATTTTAGGCTTTTCTGACCCTAATCGCGCACTCATGTAAGTTTTCAAAAGAAATTTGAGCTCCAAGTTTTGACTGCCTGGCCCTGTTTCGATTTTTTTCATTTTAGCTCTTTGAGCATTTTCCCGAGATTTCAAGTCCATTTGGGTTTCTGTAGCATTAAACATGAGCCCCGAATTTCGCGCACCCAAAAAGCTTTGATCCCTTTTTATTTTCTGTAAACTTTTATTCACCGAACACCACACTTTCAATTTTGACAAAATCTTAAAAGGAATTTTTCAAAAATATTCAAAAAGTTATTTTTTGAGTGGGTCAAAATCTGAACTTCAGCTGTGAAACGGTCAGATTTTTCGATAAATGGTTTTTACGTCTACCGCTTTTTATTTTTTTGATCTCCAATTTTTTCGGGAAAAATATAAGAAATACTAAAACTAGTGTGCATTAGAAGATATCTTTTGATAAAGACGTTTTTCAAAAAGATTCTTCTAAAAGCTTTTTCTTCTAGCAAAAATAAATCCTCAAGAATCAAAAGAAAACGTCCAGTGTTATAGCAGATTCTGGTTCTCTAACATCGCTAAAGTGTCCACTAGAATGCGATGAATCACGCCAGCGGCCCTGAGAAACCTGAGACTTCCTTCTATAGTTTCCAAGTATATAAAGTTTGATTTTCTCAATTTTCTGTGTCAAAATCTTTTCTTTTCGAGTAAGAAAAGCCAAAAATCCATTTGCTCGCCTTTTAAAATATCTCCCAGCTTGAGATTAGATTGTTTATGTTTTTCGTTGAAACCACAAATTAAAGTAAGTGCAGTCCTGTAATTTGACCCACAGCAGCAGAAGTAGTGCCAAGGTCTTCCAAAAAAAGTTTCCGTTGCTCTCATTTTAAATGAGAAAAAAACTTGCGATATTTCAAACAGCGAGAGTAGAAATCGACGGAGAAATATAAGGAGCGGAAGATTTGCCAACCAAGTATTGAGCGGCTCGCGGCCTTTTTTCTTCTTCGCACAGTTCCCACACTCATTTTTTGCATTGGAGAGTTTCCACATTCAAACCGTCTTTGAACCCACCGCGCATTGTCCCATTCAATTTGAAAATGCACGTCGCATTTTCCTTTCTTTTTGCCATGTCGCTATGGCATCTTATCGAAACCAATTCGTGATATTTTCTCACCTGAGTGTTTTTTTATGCTTCGAAAGCGACGAAAGTTGTTTTATTATGAGCTTTCTTATCTTAGTTCAAAAAAATCATGTTGATTTTTCATCGAACTACTAAAAATAAACGTCTTGACAGCTCAAGACTTAATATTAAAAGTCCTTCTTTCAATGGGGAATTTTTTTTTGTGTTTTGCTCGGTAAACTTGTATTCTATGGTCTGTCAGTTGAGCTCTCACTCGAAAGTTTTTTTTCAAAGCAAAAAAACTGTTTTTTTTTTGAAAAAGGAAAATGAGAAATGAATTTTTCTTCTTGGAAAAGGCTGTCTCAAAGCGTTTTGACCTTATAAGTGTCATGATTCTCAGCGAAAGGGACATACTTCCGCTCCAAATATCCTTTTTTCATGTCTGGTAGTCGTTCAAAATAAGTTTCTTCAAATTTCGGTTATTTTCAGCTAGTTAAAGTTCAAAAAATATATCGTGTGTTTGTGTCCTTCTGAGTTACAAGCCTTGAGCAAAATGGAAATGAATAAGATCTCTAGAACTCCTTTTGCTCTCATAGCAAAAGGTTAATTTGTAGTCAAAATCTTTTTTATTTGAATTTGTACCAGACGGATCGTGACAAAAAGAAGGCGGGATCCTGAGTCATGGCAGCAAATGGGCGAAAAAGAGGGGCGGTACACGGATGCTCAACGGAACATTCATTCCGACGCTTTGTTTTATTCATTTCCTCTGCCTCGGCGTAACTTATTCAACTTTGACATGTTTAAGTTCCGCTACGGATGAGCGATTTCAGTCGTATTTTCTTCTCATTTCCTAATTGTTCCGGAAGTTTTACAATGTATTAGCTTCATCACTCAGATCCGGTACAGAGGAAGTAACTTGCCCTTATTCAATAGTCATTTAGTGTCTGACTAATCACTTTCTTGCTCCCAGAGCTTGATTTTAAAATTATTTTGATAGTTAGTTTACGAACGCGTGTTTAAGGTTCACCCAGATCTTCTCAAGATTTTCTCGAACTGCTCTTCTTGAAGTCCAAAGTTTTTTTTTTGCTTTTAGTCAAGATATGATGTCTCAAAACGCCAAAAATCCTCCTTTTCTTTGAAAAAATTATAGCTCACAAACTTTTATTTATTAAAACCTGGCCAAAAAAAGAAGATGGAGAATTTTTTCTGAAAACTAATTCAGTTTCTTGTTTTTAAAAAGGATCATGTTATCACTTTTTTCTCTTTCATTTTCTTTACTTCAATTGATGAAAATTCGAATTTTAATTTTATTTTCTTGATCCGCATTTTTGAATCAAATAGTATAATTCCCACTTCAACTCCCTTGAGAGCCAGTAATATCAATTCTGAGCCCAATTTTTCGATTTCTCTCAGCAATTTTCTCGATATTAAAAAAAAAGAAGCCAAAAAGTGAGCTTTTTGGTTGGTTGGTTAGTGATAACAGCCACTCAAAGATCAAGTCTTTTTTCTCTTTTTCGAGTTTTTGGAAAAACTCTCGTCTGAGCGTTAGTTCATTTGTTTTGAACTAGTCTAAATCAAAAATAGTGTTGTATAAAAAAACAAATTAAGAATAAATAGATATAATATAAAGCGTTGCCGTTTTGTGTCATAATAGTGGACTGTTTTTGGAAAATGGAGAAATCATTTGCTCTTCCGAAATTCAGCAACATATTCAAATGAGGTACTTTGTTTTTAGTGAATATCGAAGAAGTTTTTCAAAATCAATAGGATGAATAAAAAGTGCAGTGTGAACGGAAGTTCAAATTCTATCCCCCTCCCCCCACTCCGAGGCAGGTGCAGTCTTCCGAAAAAAAAACGTTGAGAACCTTTGTTCGAAGCGTGTAAGTTATACGCAATTTCGAATTTCCCTAGTTTTGCAGTTTTTATGTCCCTAAAGGAACGCACTTTGCACTGACAGTATGAAGTTTCATATGGTTTTTTCTGGAGACGTGCTCGTTAATCGGCCAAAAAGGTATCGGCTTAAAAGTCCGGCGATGATAGCCTTGATAACGACCTAAGCTGACTTTTAACTAGGTCATTTTGTGTTCAGGAGAAAAACAGAGGCCTTTTGTGCCTTTTCATTATAAATTTTTTTTAAATTTGCTTGCAAAATTTTTTTTTAACTGAGGAAGTGGGGTTCGCTTGTTTTCAAAACTCATTAAATATCTTGATTTTTTTTGTTTTTATTCACTAGTATCCTTTTTCATTTGAAGATTCAAAAATGTCCTTCTTCAAAGCAACGAAAAGTTGTACTTGGAAATATTTATTCGTTTTTTTTTTTGGTTGTTACTTTCTTCTCATAAAATAAAGCTACTGAGCGATTCTCTGTTTTTCATTGTAGTGTGGAAGCTCTTTCATTTTCTTTATGCCAATCAGGATTTTTTAATAATTCTCAGATTGTTTTTGGCTTGATCAGAGTATCATCTGATAGCATCCAAGGTTCCGCGATGAAGGGTTTATTCCTCTTCTCTCAATTCATTTTACTCTTTTTCTATTTAGATTTCATTGAAATTTGATTCATAGTGGAAATTTTTTTACCATAGTTCAGAAACAAAAGTGCTATAAAAAGTTTCTAAGCTGGTCTGTTAGCTATAGTAATCGGCTCAAAAGCTAAACATAGTAACTTGGAAAAGAGCTTCTTTTTCAACTGAATATACGAAATGAATCATCATGCGTCCGAGCACCCTACCAAGGAGTTCTGAAAAAGCTGAAAGTGTTCTTTAACCGGAGCCGTCACTTCTTTCTTGCTAAAATTTCAAACAGTTCTCCTTATGTCTCCATTGGAAACCCCAACAATTTTTCGAATCTTTTCGCTTAAAAGGGCCGATTTTGGTTCCTAGTCCAAATTTCAAAATATTATACTCGAACTTACATTGGAAAAAGCCTTTCTCAACATCGCATCGCCAAAATGTCTTTGACCATATATTACCATCGCAAAAAGCCCCACTCACGCAGAGCAAATAAAAATTGCTCGCACGATGTTTTTTGCCCTCATTCAAATGTCTTTGCCATTAGTGTTGCTCTAAGCTTCTGACAATGGCTTTTCTAACATTTTTCTCCTAACACAATCAGATAATCGCTATTGTGTCTTTCCTCATCATATTGCAAAAGAAAATCTCAGGATCACACGATTTTGTTTTTTACTATTCTTAGATTTTCGTTTGGCAAGAAGGGCGCAAATGCTGCTCTCTATGCGCAATTCTTTGTTTGCCGATATATCAGAATTCAATGTATTCTTTGTGATTCACGATGCGCGTTTGTGCCAAAAAAGTCATTGAATTTTGATTTCATTGAATTACAGTTGGTTTTTATTCAAGGCATTTTTGCGCTCTCTATTTCTCTCTGCTATTTCTCTCTCAATAATCAAAAATTCATCATAGCAACGCATAATTTTGATTCAGAAATTTTACTTTGATTTCAAACTTGCTTGAAAATTCTTATGCCCTTTTTTTATAGTAATTTTTCACGGGATGAGCCAAGTCCCGTGCGTTTCAGCCCCATTGACATCGTTTTTTCAAACAGTGTTTAATTCAATCATTTTCAGGCAAAAATGGGTAGAAGTGGGGCCTTCGCGGTCTTACCAAAGCTTCTGGGCATCATTTCGTTCTCGTTTCTCGGTATGCTTTTTTATCTTAGTTTTTAGCAAGCTCAAAAAAGGAAAAAAAAATTGCATTCTTTGAAAAAAGCTATAACTGCCGCCATTCCATTTTTCTCTTCACGAAGCATTTTGGATAGCGAGATATTCTGGCTAAGTGTTCTCAAGATTCTCGGTTTTTCAAGGAATGACTAATCCTTCAGGACGCTTGAAAAATGTTCACGGAGCATGGACTTGGAAAGTAGTCATTTGAGCTTTAGAAGAGCAGTTTTTTCGATATTCTGAGCTTGTTCATTGTCTAAAAAAATGTGTTTCTCTGCTCACAAAAATCATAAAGATTCGGTAGACAGATTTAGACAGAAGCTGTAATAAAGATAAGCAAAAATCTTCAAGCAGATGACCAAAATTGCTATCAAATTTTTTTTTTTTTAGAGAGCAGGTTAAAATTAAAGCTCATTTTCAGTAAAGTTCAAAATTTATTTCGCACAATTGTAATCAAAAAAAATCTGGCAATTGCTGTTTTTTTTTGGGATAACTACTTTTTGACTCTAATTTAAAAATTTTTGCACCTCGGTCAAGTTCACAATCATAAGACTTTCAATTTAAAATTGTTAACCTTGATGAGATCTTGAAGTTTATGAGAGCCATTATTCGACACAGTGGGCTGAGATCGAAAAATTTTTTTTTGTTAAATTAGAAAAAAACTTCTACGGGCTATAGAGAAAAATAATCAGTTGGTTCTTTGAAAAAATTCAAAAAAGATAATACGTGAAAGGTTTGCAGTTTGGGGCGCGGTGAACGGGACTACCGACCAGACGATCCAAACAGCTGCTGGTGGGTGATCCTTTATGATGGGAGCTCCTTCTTTCCTTTGACCTTCTCCAAACCTCTCTTCTCTGCTTTCTCTTTTCCTCTGCACGTCACTCCCCATCCGAGCCGTTCGCACTCCATCCGATTGCTTCGGAGTTTCTCTGTTTTTATTTTGCGGCTATGTTTTGATAAGAATATGTCACACAATCTTGATTCTGATTCAGAAATCAATGTTTTCTTTTTCTTTTTGTTTTCGACTACATTTTTCATTAGGATGGAACAGATGATAAATGAGCAATTTTTGCTTTTCTGTGTGAGAAATCTCACCAAACTTTGTATCAAAGGTAAATGAATTAAAAGCCTGACTGGAAAAAAAAAGAATTTTTTCTTGCGACTTCTAATTCTTTGTACTTTATGAATTACATTTAATAAATCCGCCGAAATTATTTCCACCATTTTCGACTTGCTAATTTAAAAAAATATTTTTTTCTCCTTATCCGTCTTTTTTTAAGTTAGTGACACAGTTCAATCAAGAAACTTCAGTTCAAATCGGACAAATTTTAGTTTTGAATGAATAAACGAGAATTTTTTTGATGAAACTGAGAAAAACTTAAAAAAAATTTTTTTCTTTATGAGGATTTATTCGTATTTTTCCTTCACATCCAACAAAATTTACAAAATATTTTCAGTAGATTTCAAACTCGAGTTTGGTGACAAATATTCCAAATTTTTGACCAGCTAAAAAATTATGAAAACGTGTTGTTTGTAGCGTGTAGGGCAGATGAAAGTGCATTTATGCCAGAAAAACAACATTCTTGGCTGCTGAAAGTTTGGTCGATAAAAGGCGGAAAGGGAAAAAAATTGGTAGTCTCTTGACTAGTTGCTCATTGAAACATATGCTTTGTTTATTCGAGAAAAAATAACTCTGAGCTTTTTTTAATTGTGTGTTTGTTTTGCATGAACCTGGCGGCCGTTAAAAACAGGTGTCTGATTGGTATAAACTAATGACGTATTGCAGATACGAGCAGCCGTGATGGGGAATGGACGGAACAATCGACAGCGCCTGTGATCGTCGAGAGACCGACGTGAGTTTTCAGATTGCTTATTATGTAGAACAAATGTAATCAGTATAAACTTGGTTCACTCAATTTTTCAATATCTCAGCTTCCTAAAAAGAAAAATTATTGTGTTCAAACTTTTGAGTTGCGATTGATACCCATCAAAAATAATTCAAGATAGAACCGAAGTAACATCTCTTATAAAAAAATTTCAATAAAAAAATTGTTTTATGACAGTTCAAAACGCTCGGAAGCTTTTTTTTCAATGAGCCGATTTTCATAGCATATTGAAAAGTATCTGTCACTTGATCAATATTTTTTTTGCTGAAATATCCGACATAATCCAAAAATCGACTCGTCATTGTTTGTTTTTCTCAAATAGGACACCGACGCCCGATTTTTCACAAACAGTTGCAGTACATTTTTTTCAACTTTTTATTTTTTTGCTTCAGGTCTATTTAGAACATATTTTTTTTTAGATATAATTACGAAACTTAAGAGAACATAAATTAAATTGATAGCCTTTGCTGCGAAAGTGAAAGAAATAGTTTTAATAGAGTGTATGACGAGAAAAATTTCCAAGTCAACAAAAATTTTTTTGAAGTTAAAGTAAATAGTTCAAATGCATGAGAAAGATCGCACAATTAATTTTTAAAAAAATCTTTTTTTCATTTATTTTTTTCAACGATTTGGATTGCTATCAACAGAAAAATCCAATGCTGAACGCCTTGCTACCGAAAACTGCACGCTTTTTTTGGGTTGGTTCAGATTTTTTTGCCCGACCGACAGGAAGTGGTTCCCGCGCGTCAACGCGGCTCTAGAGTCTCCTTTCTAAGTTGCTATTCAAGCTTTAGTTGAAAAAAAGGGAGAAATATCGTAGGAAGGTATATATTGTAGAATATTGTAATAAAGAATCGATATAGGAAATTGTATTTTTTCGATTTTCCCGGAGCTAAAGACAAATATAAAAGTCCTGTCTTTGAAGCTCACTTATGATTACCAAAAAATTATTTACACGCTTCAGGAATGAATTCTCCCGACGCAACCTAAGCATGGTTATTATTTTATTTTTAATTTTGGCTATTTTTACTCAAAAGTCCTTCCCTTGTAAATACGTTGAGCTCTATGTGCGGTCTTGACATCATTATTAAAATCGAAAATCTCGAAACTCCTATTCAGAATATCGACAAAGACGATGGAGTTACCGGACGAAGCAGACTGGCTGAAAACGGCAGACAAAGAAGAAGTGGAAAAGGCCAAGCATGGGCTCGACCTGATCCACTTCGATCTCTCCCACACCGGAAATCCCTTAGTTATCCTTTTTGTACTCACCGTCGTCAACTTGTTCAAGCCAGGTATATCCCGATAAAGATATGCTCTCAGAACTTCCAAAAATGCCTAATTTTCCAGTTCTGAAATGGCGCTACGTCAACTCCGTCCCAGAAGCCGTGACGTTGTTGCTCGTCGGTCTGGTTCTTGCCGTTTTTTTGTTTGCCGTTTCTCACATCCAGGTTCTCATCCCTGGAATCAATCTATTGAATTTCAAAATTTTCAGCTAACTCTAACCCCAGACCTTTTCTTCGTCTACTTGCTGCCCTTCATTGTTGCCGATGCCGGGTTTTTTATGCGAAAGCGCATTTTTTTCGAAAACCTCGGGACGATCCTCACATATGCTGTTTTTGGAACAATGCTCAGCACTCTCGTGATCGGTGAGCTGCTTTTTCCAAGTGCGCTTGGATAGACTTTGAATATTTTTCGCGTGCTGCAATCAAAATATTTCTAATTCTAGAGAAGAGTACAGTCTTTTCAATTCAAAAAAAGGGTAATTGAAAAATGAACAAATCCTCCGTTTCTGTGACAAATTAAGTGTGGAGGTCATCATTCAACTTGCAGGACTCATTTTGCACCTGTTCTCGCCCTTTTTCGCCACTTCAATTCCGTTTCTGCACATAATGCTGTTCTGCGCGCTCATCTGCGCCGTTGATCCGGTCACTGTTCTCAGCACTTTCGCCGAAATCGACGCCAACGACACTTTGTTCATCAACATCTTTGGAGAGAGTCTCACCAATGATGCGGTCACGATTGTGAGTTATTTTTTTTTTAGAAATTTTGAACTTTATGGTTCCCCTGCACGGTCTATTCAAAAGTTGACATGTTTTCCGTACGGTCCTTTGGGCTCAAAAATCGCCAAATTGTTTCAAAATTGAAAAATTGTGAAATTGGCTGATGAGTAGTATGAAGACATCAAAATTCGAACAAATATCATTTTCAGGTGATCTATCGGACCATTATCGCCATCATAATGCAAGGCGACGTGGAACACACCACGCAGAGCTTCGTGACCGTGGCTGTTGGGGCTGTCGGAACCTTCGCCTACGTCTCTTTCGGCGGCATAATCATTGGAATACTGGGCGGCTACTTGAGTGTCTTCTTGATCAAGTTAGTTTTTTGTCTTTTTTTAAATCTGAAAACTAATAATGATTCGGAAAACGGCTGCCTTTCGATTATGATTATAGTTCTCTCACCACTGACTAGAGAAATGTCGATAAGAAATAGAGTGAAAAATGAAAAGGTTCAGACGAGTCTGTAACAGTTTTGACACAGGCTTGAAATAATTTTTTTACGGTACCTTTTTTTTACTTCTGAAAGGGCCTTCGACAACCAATAAATTAATTTTTTTGACCTAGTCAGTGTGAGAAATTCCAATTTTGAAAAAACGTGTCATTCGTATTAATTTTTTAAATTGTCTTAATCATAATTCCTTTCAGACATCTTGTCCAGCATCAAATTCTGCTCCCACTCTTCCAAACTTTCGCTCCGTACATTCTGTACCTGATCACCGAGACCTTTCATCTTTCCGGCATTTTAGCGTGAGCGAAACTTTCTTTTTTCAGCAATTTTCTCGGCCTTTTTTTCAGCTGTGTGATAGGCGCGATGATCATCTCGCACTACCAGCCCGGAAATGTCTGTGCGGAAATGGAGTTTATCCACTGCTTCCTGTCCAAAACGCTGGCTTCAAAGTGATTTCCATTCAAAACTTCTCAAAAGATTCCTATAGCACATCATTTTGACCTTATTGTGTCCTTGTTATGGGAAGGGTCAATTTTTCTGCAAAAAACTTTAGGAAAAATGAGCAGTAGACGCAAATCAAATGGACAAAGCTATACTAATTCAAACTGTAGGGAGTGAAGAGTTAGTCCTTATATGGTGAAGTCCTGCAGTTCGTTTTGAATTTAAAAAAATTATCCCACGTTTTTCTTATTTCATGCCATGTAGGATAAATAATAACAAGTTTTCTGAAATTCTGCTTCTTTTAGCAAAGTTGATTACCACAACGCAAACCTTCTTTGCAGCTCGGAAATGGTGATCTTCATCTACCTGGGATTTTCTGGCATCAGCACCAAACACACGTTTGACCCCGTCTTCTCTTTCGTTACAGTGGTCGCCTGCTTCGTGGTCCGCCTGATAGGTGCCTTAAAATATCTGACAAAATCCATAAACTTTCAATAATCGCGAGCGAAATTAAATGGTTTTTTTTTGCCTCAAAGTTTGATCAAAGTTGAAAAAAAGTAGGCACTATTCAAAAATTAAGGAGCTGTAGATTTTTGTCTTGTTGAAGTATTAATTGATCAAATTCGTTTTTTCCCCTTTTTTTCCTCGAATTATATTTCTTAACCCGATAGTAAGATTTGAATTTTGCAGTTGTTCTTTTCCTGTCTTACATCGTAAACCATTTCCGCGGCTTGGACAGCCTTATTCCATTCAAAGACCAACTTGTCATGGTTCACAGTGGAATCCGAGGAGCTGTTTGCTTTGGTAAGAACTCATCACATATTTCTCACTTTCACTACCTATCCTTATAGGTTTGGTTGCTTCAATCGACAGAAACGTCATCCCAGCGCAGGACATGTTTGTCACAACTACATTGATCGTCATTGCGTTCACTTCAGTTGCGCAGGTTCAGAGATTCCCTTTATTTCCATCATCACCAAGTTTTTCCAGGGCTGCACAATCAAGTCTGTTATGAAACTTTTGAAGATCAAAGGCAATGAGGAAATCCCGAAGAAAGTTGCGAAACCGAAAAACGTGAGATGAGAAAAATCTTTCAAACAGGAAAAGATTTTTAGTGGATTGACCGTTTCGAGGAATTTGATGAAAAGTACCTGAAGCCATTCTTCTGCAAATGCAAAGATCCCACGCAAATGTGTAAGTAAAATTGTGATTTTACGAAAACGCCCCAGGCTCGGACAAAGAAAAAATTATAATTTTTTTATAACGAAATTCTCATGAAAGATTATAGTCGTTCCCACCAACCTTTCTAATTAATAAAAAAACTTTTAAGACATGCCAAACGCCTCTTCGTTCCACGAGCTTGGACTCCCTCCAGCGGTCAGCTCAGCTCTCCGTCTTGGCGAACGCACCGAAGTGTAATTTTTTGTCAAATCTTCTTTTTGAAATCAACAATTATTACAGACAGCCTCTTCCTTCGCTTTCTGTTGCTCGACCCACTTTGCCGCCGATGGACAACGACGACTCCATGTCGCCGTACTCTACTATTGCTGCTCCAATTTCTGGACGTCGCACTCCAACTCAGGTTTTATATTCGAAGTAATCAGAATTGAGTTTGATATAAAATTCAGCGTGGCTCTGTCTATTCTCGTCACTTTCTGCCGATGCCGTCGCCAACTGCAGTCCCTCCAGCCGAGGAAGTGAGTTTTTGACGGTTTTGTACCAACCCCGCTCCCCTCGTTAGTTTATATACTTTCTCTTCAGATACTCAAATTATTTTCTTGTTTTGAGCAATCCATGAAGAAATCTCGTAAATGGTCTTGTGAGACCTGCTATTGAACGTTTTCTTAATCCTGAGGCCAATAGAGTATAGCCTTACTAATCCAATTCTCTGCACAAGGAACACATTTTTTTCTCAGGACTCCAACAACCCTTATCTCACGTTCCCTTACTGCAAAGGTCACACAGTTCGCTTCATTGGTAAAAAATATTTCTCGATTTTCCTAAAAAGGTTTATTTCAAGATCCTTCCGGTGTCAACGAAAAGGCTGCTGGTATTCCCTTGGTCGCTCGAACTCGTCATAATTCTATCGGAAGTGAGACATAAAAAACAATTCCCGTTTAGTTTTGCTTTCAAGTTGCAGCTGAAAGTCCAGCCAAAGAAGTCACTTTCATGGATCCCGACACAGATGTGGAAAACGCTCGCAAACGTGGGTTTTTTAAAAAAATTTTTCAGAAATAGGGCAAAATCAAAACGTTTCTCTGGTTTTTTCACTCATTTTGTATTTATTTGGAGGCTCGCTGTAGGGATATTTTATCATTTAGTATAAGTTCAAAACTTGTGAGAGAGAATTGGATCAAGTTAGCTAAAAACTAGTATCAAATAGGATTTCAAACCGTAACACCTTCACTGTGCAATCACGACGTTTTTAATCGATGCAAATGAATTATATTATCTCTAGCTTTTATTAAGAAAGAACCGCTTGAACTCAAAAGACTGTAAGTGGGCTAATTTCATACTTATAGATCTGAATTGTGTTTCTTGTATTTTTAAACTTGACTCAAGTACTTTTGAGCCTCTTGACAGTACTCAGACAATAAATCCGCTTGATTCTCATCATTGATAAGATGATCAATTTGCAGCAAGTCGCTTTGCTGTGAAGCCTTTCACTATCGGAGATGAGGAGGCGCAGCTTCTGACCATCGACGAAGAACATGCCTCGCCGAAAAAAGAAGGAACCCCAACTGGACACCTTGACGATCAAGAGAAGAAGAAGGACAAGAAGACCGCGGACAGTGAAGAAAAGGGAGAGTCCAAGGAAGATTAATGCTCGTTGGATAAGTATCCCGGCTCCTCTTGCCTACTTTCGCATATACAGCAGCTTTTTTATTTTTATTATACTGAACTTTTGTTTAGTTTTTTCCCTTTCCCATGCAACTATTGACATATCCCAAAAATTGCCTTTACTTTCTCGTGCAGATCTCCCGATCGAACGACTTATCCGTGTATCAACTCGGTTTCAAATGCTTTAGTCAACATCAAAGAGCATAATGTGCCTTTAACTTATCCTTCTTCTGAAACGGTTTTAACGATGGGTTTTTGATCAAAAATTTTCTTGCTTCTACTGTTTTTTTTTCTGTACTCTGTTAGAAAGTTTTGTTGAATAAATATTTGCTGCAAAACTCAAAGTTGAAAATTCAATGCGTTTTCAAATACCATTAGGAAAAAGGAAAAAAAAAAGAAAAATTAGTCAAATATGAAGGCTCCGGTGCTCGCTCTTGGGAGGGCGGAACGTTTTCTTCCATATTTCAGCAAAACAAGCTGAACTGTGGAACCTGAAAAAAGCTCGAAAACTAAATTGATTGGAAAGAATAGTACCTGTAGAAAATGATTAAAGGGGAGCAGCCTCTTACTACAATCGCCCAATAGTGAGATCCATACAAGGCTATCATTTCATCATTTATGCCAACCTGAAACGGTAAATTGATATAGTCTTTTGTATTATGAGTTCATAAGTTTAATTGGAACATAAACTATGACTACTGTTCTAAAAATACCAAGCTCTTATTTGCTAGCTGTCTATTTGTGGCGAATTTTCAACAGAAATGTTTATTCTTATTAAAAACAGCGCAGAAAGTGTCTTGTTACGTATTCGATGAAACCTCGAGGTTGTTTAGGAGTCTTTGATTCAAACTCAGTTCAAAAAACTCCGTCTCCCACTTTTAGGCTAATAAATGAAGACTCTAAGTTTTTAACTTACCTTTTGAGCTTCAAAGACGTTCATTAAAAACTGACAACAATTAATTAGAAGTAATGTGGTGATAACCTGAAAAAAAGCTCAAAGAGATGAAAAAACTTCAAAGTCGAACTTGTTTTCCTGGTTTATATCGCATCATCTGGACATCATTATCATCAATCCGAAGCTTGCCACAGACAATAATGAAGCCACTTTGTATCGTTACTTGCACCTTTATTTTTTTCCTTTGATTTCGAACGGGTTTTGAATCAAAAAATACCAGGCGGAAGATATTGGTGAGAAAAACGACGAGCGGTAGGCCTTTTGAAGGATGATTCACAAAAGAGAGGATACCGCCTGCAAAGTCATCCAAAGTGCGGCGTCCTTTTTTGGCGAATCTTTTGTAAATCATTTCTTTCGAAACGTCAATCAAATCGAGCTTTACTCGAAAATATACAAGAGTTTGAAGTTTATTGGAACGGCAGTAGTTCTCAACTTAAATCTTCGTTACAAAAAAACCGATGAACATTTTTTAAAAAAAGGTCAAGTGTACAGATTTCGCAGCCTCAGCAATAACAAAAAGCCAGATTTTAGTTGGAATATTTACTTCAGATAGAGAAAATCATAAAATCTCTCGTGTCCAAAATTAAAACTCCAAATACAAACCAAAAGCGTCATGAGGTATGAGTCAGTTCAACGAATTCAATTTCATTCACTGGAAAAAAAAACCTGTTCCGAAAATGAGCTCCCCGATGAGTCCTACTACAAGAAGTATCGCGTCCAGAAGCTCTGCACTATCGTCTTCTTCGTCGTCGTCTTCCAATGAGAACTTGAGCCACCTTGTTCTCCAGATTCCAAAACCACAGATAAACGTGGAAATGATGAAGAAGACTAAGTTCGTACAGGAAAATATCTTAATACGAATGTCATTATGTACAATCTCATGAAAACTGACCCAAATGGCTGTATCGTTTTCTCCCGAATATGCGTTGAATAATGCGATCGACACAATGGTCAAAATAACAAAACCAAACCCTAATTCAGAAAAATATTGACTGTTCAAAAATAAATCAGGAATTTACCGACGAATAATCCTTCGGCTGTTCTTGAGCAATCGATTTTGAGAATACTCCGTTTTCTCATCCTTTTCTCGACCTGGAAACTTGAAAACCTTCAAAAGACTTTTTGGAGGTACCTGTTCTCTGCGGCATCTCTCAATGTTCGTCCAGAACACAAAAGCGACTCCAGCACAAATCAGAGAATATTCTACTACACAAGTGTACCTGTAACAAAGGGATAGCTTTTTTAGGCAGATTAACCCACATGAACTCGTTGAAACCCGAAAACAAGCACAAAACGCCGGTACAAGAAGATTCCGAATTGTTACCAACCATCAAGACTGAAGAAAAAATTTTTTCTCAAAAAAAGTAAATATCCTGCATTCTCCAGCTGGGTGAACATGATGATGCGGCTCCTCATGTCTGATCTGCATCTCTCTGAATTAAAGTAAAATATCAATGTTGAAAATTTAGAAACCTTATTTCTCGAACGGTTTCAACCTCTTCGTATAAAATGTATTTCAGCCACATCCATAGGTTAGTTCCCGTGAGATGCATGAGACCCATTCTTGCAAGACTTCCTTGGCCTTCGAAGATGATCTGAATTTTTCTCTTGGTTATGATTTTACCCCCAATTTCATGAAAACCTTTCCATTACAGTAGACAAACCACATTTGAACAAAAATGAAAACTCCAGCCATAGAGTTCAAAATGTTTGCACTGAATATTTGAGTGAAAAGTATTGTTTTTTAGTTTTAAAAGAAATTTACATCGAACTGCACTCTCCTTCTGCTGAGCTCCAACCAAGTAGACAAATGAGAACAATTAAAGAATAGTATACCACTCCAATCATTCCGAACACTAAACAAAATTGAAAAAAATTAAAAAATTTTTTTTTTCACTGACATACGCATCCAAGTCGCAAGTACAAACTTCCTGTGAAAGAGTTTGCAAGAACCTAAAAATTCACTGAAAATCCGAATACACTCCAAATAAAAAAAACTCTATGAGAGAATTCAAAGGCATGTTTCGATAATATTTTGAAAACAAGCGATTCAACAAAGCTGACAGAAGTTTTCTTTCAATTCGTTTTTTTTTCATATTTTCGAATCAAATTTGATGTTTAAACGGATTGTTGATTCAATCTAAGTAAATTTCTCAATGAATAAGTCAGAAGCGTGACTTTGAAATTATCAGAACCTCCACTTCAGCGCTGAATCCTGAACTCATACGAGCACTTTTCCTTTTGGACAAAACTTCCAGATGATGACGCCCAACGAGATATGCACAGTAAAATATGAAAATGATAGAGCAACCGAAGAGCCAACCTTCTAGGATCTGAAACATTAAACAATTTAAGAGAAAGATTTCTCGATTTTATCGACCATGCTTTTAATTCCGGATTTTGTCGACATCCCTTCATTGGAAATAATGTTCGAGAGCTCGATTACAACTCCTGTTATAACTATGAATAAAGCGTAGAAACACGTGAACAGTTTGAACATGTAGGCTCTAAACTTTCCAGTTATTAGAAGTGCTAAATTCAAAGATTCGCCTTGACTCGTCGCTTTTCATCCAAAGTTGCTTTCGGAGAGGTAGGCGGTAAGAAATTTCGGCATTTTGAGATTCTTCGCTCGAAGAGATTGACCTGTCAGCCGTTGGACTTCTATCAATTAATTCTATCCCATCGTGCGTATGATTTCTACAAAAGCAAGCGGTTCTATGGGTACACAAAAAGCTCTAGTCAAGAAAAACTCATTTGAAACTACTTGCATAGTTTAACTTGTCTGCGCTTTTTTTTTATATGAAAATAAAGAGGAACAGAACGAAAAACATAAGAAAAAAACGATGAGAGAAAAACGCAGCTAGTAAACTGTTCCCAGCCTTCCTGTATAAACTATAGCTGAAATCAATAAAAAACTTCAAATCCTATAAGCAACTAGAACATTGAAAAAAGGAACAAAAAGCAACATTTCTCACCTCATTCTTTCAGATTAAACGTACAGCTTTGAAAAGAGCACCGCGCCAAAAATGATAACATTGCCAGCCCGCAAAGCAAATATACGTGAGCAACTGTTTTTTTTCCCCGTCTTGTTTCTAGAAAAGGAATTGCGAAAAAATCGTACAATTGTCTCATTTTTATGAAAAAAACTGAAGATTGACGTTAAAAGAAATAAAAAAACATTTTCATTACAGTTTAGACCTTTTTTTTAAAGGTTTTCATTCAATTTTTCTCGAGATTGACAAGAAAGTTCTTTTCACCTTGCCGTTTGAAATTTTCTGAAAATTAGCCATAACGCTTTTTGATTCACCAGAGAAAGGTTCCAAAAGTCTCAACCCGAACAAAATTCTAGTTTTTGGTAAAGGACATCTCAAAGTCAAAGAAACCCTAAAATCCATTCAAATGGGTCTTTCTTGGGTTTCGAGCTTTTATTTCTCAAAAACTAGAAAACTGTGTATATGGAAACTTTTTGGACCCTTGTTTGAAAGATCAAAGAATATTTTAGCGAAGAAAAAACTGTTGCATTTTCGTGCATTTGGAAACGCTGTTCAAATTTCCAAATAATTCATCCCAAACTTTGAACTGGGTTTTTGATCTGTTTTCTTGTTCAATTCAGTTTTTACCATAAAATCCTACACATTTACTCTGTCTAATTCTCTTTTCATGCTCTGATCGCAGAGTTGCTTTTTTGTTCGCCAAACTGTCGTTGGTCAAAAACGGCGCGTACATCAACGTTTCCTTCTTTTAACTGTAGAAAAACTTTGGGCAATCCGACGATCATCTGCTTCTTCCGTTGAAACCAAAATTCGAGTTAATACACAATCTTTTTTAAGACTTTTGGTGGTCATTCTGAAAAGCCGAATTTTTCAGATTGCTTCCGCAGGCTCAGAGAATGTTCAAGAAGATCAATTATCATTATGTGGAATTCAATAAATTAACAAAAATTAATTTCACTTCCAATGACCCGGCAAGCAACTACAAACTAGATCTGTGCTTTGAAAACTTGAAAAAAAACTCCGCTCATTTTTTTCCAGGATTTTCGTAGTAATCATCTTTATTTGCAAAATAACACCCTTGAAAAAAAAAACAAATATTTATATAAATCTTTTAAAAGCTCAAAAAGATAGTGAAATTGGTGAATTCAAGCCTATGAAAGAAAAAGCGGAAAGGCTTGACTTGTAGGCAATCTTTCTAAGAAAGACAGAAAATCATTCAGTTAGTACATAAAAATGCGGAGACCTTTTGTAAAATGGCGAGTTGTAGCTGGGTGCATGAAGTACATTCAAAATATGATGAGTTTCAAAATTTGATCTTTTTTTTTTCAATCGAAGCGTCTGACACAAGGCGAGTAAATGATAATTTAATATAATTTTTCCAGGTTGAAATAAAAAAATTCAAGAAGTTCTGTCACAAGTATGAAAACAGAATTTCCGAGTTTATACTACGTGTTCGCGTCTTGTGGTTGTTGTAGTTGTGGTTGTTGTTTGCTGTACGCCGTTTGCCATGTAGCTGTCCTTAAACAGAAAATTTGACTCACACGCTGGGAAGAATGATAAGGATCGGCAAAGAAAATCCGTAGTTCATACACATCTTGTGTAGATAAAACTGGGTAACAGAGTCCAGTAAATTTCTTCGACAGCTGGTAAAAACTCTTCGAAGACTTTTCCAGCTCGAAAATTTGTTTTTTTTTTCGATTTCTCGAAGCTATCTTTCATTAAGATCTTATGAAACTTAAAAAAAAGGTTTTTGAGCTATCGAAAGACTATTCTGAAGATTTTTCTTGGAAAACCACAGAACTTCTGCGAGAAACACTTTGCAATCATTTCGAGATGGAGCGTTTTTCATGGCACAAAAAGATAACCTTAAAGAACGCTCGACAAAAAACGAATTCCATGAGATATGAGAAGTTATAAGAAAAACTTATACCTCATCCGAAATCTCATAATTTCTCCAAAAAAAAAAAATTATTCGGGATCAATTCTGTTTTTCTGTGTTCTCACCTCGGATTCGGCTTGTTCATTCTGCCTCGCAGTAGTGTGCGCCAGGATTCCTGTAGGTTTTGGCTTCGAGGTAGACCATTCCTCTGACAAAAGCGCTTGCGAGGTCGATCCTTCCCTCTGCTTGCTTTCTCGGCTATAACTCGTGCTCGTATCGTAGTTGCCGTTTTCGTACGAGTTTTTCTTGAAAGTCTCGCTCCTTGAGGCCTCGCGGTTTCTCACGCTGAAATAAACTTTTTATAGGTAATAAAAGCGAGTAAAAATCACATTATGTATGAGATTATGAGGCATAGGATCAAGAGGAGCGCAATACCGAGAAGTACTCCAAGTACTATTGTCCAGGTACGGAAGGCGTAGGCAACTCCCTTAAAAGTTTAGTATTTAAGGGACTATTCTAGTGTGTTACCCCATTATTAGTGTAAATCACTGCTCCATTGCAAGTGCCGTTGTACGTGCCGTGGGTACAGACGTAGCAATCCGTGACCTAAAATCTACAGAGTCAGCCTGACCTCGGAATTTTATTTTTCAAGTTTTGCCGAGCCCTTTTTTCAAGTTCAAGCAATATAGCTATTTTTTACCGACAATGTCAGAAAACTATAAAAACTGCATTGGATGTCACTATCAAAGTAGAAAATCGAAAAAAGACAGCTAATCAAAATAACCGGATATGGAGTTCTAATCTGATCTGCTTTGAATTTTCCAATTTGACCGAAAATAAGATCGAAAAAACGTACTTTATTGCGTCGCAGTTTCCACATCGCAGACAGAATGTTGTGTAAAAATGAGTTTTGGTGGGCGGTATTCACCAAAATTTAAGCTTAAATCAATCATTCTCTCTGCGATAATGAAAAAAACAGAAATGCATTGAAATGATCTCGAATAAATTTCTCTCTTCGAAGAAATGAAAAACCAAAATGAATTTCTCGATGCGTTTGGCTGAGAATTGAATTTCAGGTGAATCATGCTATCGAAAAAAGCTTGAAAAAGCCATTTTGCCTTCTATTAGAGCAGCAAATATTTTTTAATTTTCAGTAGAACTACTCTGATGATTTTTTTAGTTTTTAAAGATAAAACCTGAGATCGGTAGGAGTTCCATTTGCAAGCCGAGTAGGTATTAGTTCTGTTGCTGAAGCAAATGACCGTGTTGGAGTTGCCGATATTGGCATTATTGCACTGGAGGTCGCAGTATTGACCCATCATGTTATTGATACATTGGACATTCAATGAAATTTGCAACCTAAAATTTAAAAAAATTTCTTTTCGCTTTCTAGGGCAATCCATTGTTCGCATCAATTTTGTATAACAAGACAAAATTGTCTATCACAGATAGCGCAATTTTTTACATGGTATGATTGAGTTCAAATCGGTAGTTCTAAATCGCGCCGGACCCGAAACGACTTGCGTGATTTTGTAAAATTTCAAGATAAACACCTGAGTCTCTTTTGCAGATGAATAGTTACAATTGGAACTTGACTTTAAATGACCCTTTTCACGTGCGACACGTCCTTTTAAAAGTTAAAGTAACACAATTTTTTCCCATAAGAAAGCGACATAAACTTACTGTGTCCCTTGTTGTTGACCAACAAGAGTTAGAGCTTGGGGACCGTTCTGACCGCTATTCGAGTAGTTTATCAAGTCCACGACAAAGGAATCAACCTGAAAAATGAAAATTTTCGGGGTTTTTCATTTTTCATCCTACCAGAGCAAGGTGATTGAAAAACAAAAGCTGGGCAGTTTGAGAATCCATGACGACGCCGAGATGTTGAACGAAAATGTCAATTGCAACCTAAAAAAACATTGAAACAAAAAAAAAAAGTTATCAGAGTACCGGCTTAGTGTTCATTTGAAATGAATATGGAATCGTCCAGTTTCCAGAAGTGAGAAGTCCGTTGTTGGGCATCGGATAAAAGTCCGATTGAATGTACTGGATTGACTGGCTGAAAGATAAGACGATGGAGACGGAAAGGATTTGGTTCTTACTCTTAGTATTTTTTTACAAGCAGAGCTCTGAAATGACCTGTACTCTTATAACTTCAGTTTGCCAGCTTGTATCCGCTCTATTCACCACAATTTTTAAATTCTGATCAACATAGCTGTCAATAATGTATGCTCCATTGAGCTGAAAAATTTTGAAGTTGAGCTTATGTTTGACATTTTTTTTCCTTCTTTCGAATCCGACTTTTTTGTTTAAAAAAAAGTCAGTCAAAGCTGATGTTCATATCCTTCGTCGGTATTTCGTTACAAATACGCTTTAATAAAGGGAGGATCGGGCGTAAACGCGTTCGCAAATAACACAGGATTGTTGATATTGCGGCGCGTCTTATCGAGCCTGAGCTGCGGCCGCATGATCGTCATAAAACGTGTTTGCATTCTGCTTTGATTTGGTCAAAAATATGGCTAAAATTTTTGCCTACCTAATTTATTAATTAAAGATCTAATTTAAGCAATACACGAAAGTACAGTTACGTCCAAACTTTTAAAAATTTACAAAAAGGCGCTCTTCTCAAAATTAGTATATTTTAGGTTCATTCATTTAACCAAAACATAACTGCGCATTCGAAAAAATTCAGCAGAGTTTTTTTTTAAAACCAAGATGAAACTCCAATAAGTTTGATACGAACAGGATTATTTGCTTTGATTCATAACTTTATAAAAACATAATTGATTAACTATGCAATTTTTTTTTTGAATCGCACAGAAACGTACTCAGCGGCAGAAATGACGATGACAAAGCTGAAAAGACACTGGTTCTGCTGGTTAGCCGGGATGTAGTTGCAGTTGTTGATAGGACACATACAAGTCGTTCCATTCATGAGGTTCAGATTGGTGTTGGCGTACGAGGTCAAGCGGATGTCGACTTGAGCTCCCAGAACGGAGCCGCTTGACTAAAATGAGGGAACTTTTTGAGGTTAAAACAGTTCCGTTACTCACAAACATGACTGGACTGTTCACGACCACCGATCTACCAGCTTGCTGCTGGTTTCCTCTCTGGGAATGAAAATTGATTCCAATAAAAAAGGACACGAGAAAAACGAAATTTATAATTCACTAAACCCTCAGTTCCCCTTTTTCCTTTGAAGTTTTTTTTAAATCTGTTTTTATGACTCGAACTATGGTTTTTTTTTTGCGCTCTTCATCCGACTTTGCAATGACTTGCGCAAGGTAGAATTAGAAGCGAAAAAAAGAAGTGCAAGCTTTCAAAAAAAATTCCTCTCTTGAATATTTTTCAAGGTTATTTTTTTATTATCTGGTGGTTATTAAAATATCTAGAAACTTTTTCAATTCAAACTATTTTCAAGTTGTACAAAGTACAAAACCTTGCTCTGGGAGAAGCATTTTTAAAACACACATATTGTATCATTCCTTGTTGTCCTCCTCGGCTCTGGAAGCCCGAGGCTCCGCTGCCGTATTGCTGAGAAAACTGATATCCGGCGTTTGATGAGCCTCCTTGAGCGTTTATCCCAGCGTTGTAGCCATATCCGGCTCCTTGTTGAGCCGATCCTTGGATGCTGAAAATTTTCCAATTACATGAATTCTGGAACTTCGAAAGGGGAAAAGGGGCTACAGTCTAGAACTATTACTAGGGAAAGATTCTAAGGCTTTTTGTTACTCACTTTTCTTGGACGGTGATTACTCGTTGCTCTTTAAATTGGCCTCCGTAGTTGTTGCCCGGTACGACAAACTGCTGCGTTTGATACCGACTAAACACGTTTTTGGTCAGTTTTTTTGCTTGCTATTGTTGTTTTGACTTCTGCGTGTGGGTTATTTCACAAAAAATAACAAGCTTTTTGGATTGGAATTTATTTTTTTTCTGAAATGGGAGAATCATTGAAGTCACATCTAATCAACTAGAATAGATTTAATTTTATTTCATTGGTTATAAAAAATGCTGTATTATACAAGAAACAAATGAAACTGTGTACTTGAAATCTTACATCATCTTAAAATTGTTAGGACTTAAAAAAGTTTGTGGAAGGTTAACCTTTTTTACTCAATGTCGGTTCTTTATCAAAATCTAAAAGTACTTCTTGTTGAACAATTTGAGTAAGATGCTTAAATCAATGCGTAAAAAGGTTTCAGGTGCCTGCGGAGACATTAAATTGCGGACAAGGTAGCACTGCAAAAAGTGCAGACCTGATAATGAAAAAAATCAATTGCTCAAGAGCATTCGGTCTCAATGAACGTATCGCCAAATTTTTCCACTTAGCAGGTTTCAATGTTCAATCCAAAAAAGAAATGAATAGTGCATGCTATTTTCCGCTAGCTTATCAGAAAAAAAAGAAACTTCAAGAATGTGAGGGAAGAAATACATTTCTATTGTTAAAATGTGAGTCAAGAAATGAGGCAAACAACTCAAAAAAGGTCCAAGGTATTCAAAAAAGCTCTCTCAGTCAGAAGCTGTTAAGAAAGGGCAGATAAAAAAGAGTAGACGTACTCTGAAATGGAGCGCCAAAAAGGCGCCACAACTCTTTCTCTAGCATACACTATTTTGTCGTTTTCTCGAAGCTAGATAACGTCGGAATAGTGTGTGTCAGAGAAATAGTCGTGGCGCTTTTTTGGCGCTTCATGTCAGAATATCCATCAAAATAAACAGAACAAAAAATCTACCTTTGCTGGTTATTGGACTGCTGATAGCCAGAATTAGACTGTGCAGCTTGGAAGCCAGCATTCGACTGTGCACCTTGATAGCCGTTGCCATATTGAGCGTTTTGGTAGGTTGCCGCTTGGTACTGACGTTGTCCTCGAACAGAAGCGAGCAGGACGAGACAAAAGGCGAAGACGCGACGTCTGTAGGACGCGCCTGCGTGCATCTCGTACAGTCGAATACCTTATCGAGCAAACAAGGTGTTATCGTACGTCTCCCCTGCCATGATGAATGCATGCGTCGCTAACCTCGCTTCGTCCCTTCTCCCGACTCTGAGTCACACGCGCACACTCACAAACCATTCCAGGTTCCATGGCTCAGGTTAAGCTCCGTTGGAATATTCACATTCCAATTATGGACAGTTTTTGTTTGGAGGGAACTTCACAAGAGATTATTTTATTTCTATCATTTCGAAAATCAAGCAAAGCATTTTTAAAATGAACATCTGAACTCCAGACTACGAATTGCTCTTTTTTTTTTTAAACTCTAAAAATCATTCCCTTGAAAAAGATTTAAAAAAAGGAAATTTGAAAATTCGATAAAACCTTGGGAAAACAATGAAATGCCAAATTACCTCATTCACCTTGAAATAAAGTTACAAAATCTAAAATTTTGTGCAATATATAGTTGGAAAAGCGTGTTTTCGGCAGCCTAAAATGATAATTTATTCATCCACAAGATGAAAAGAATAATCAAAGAGGAATGCCGTTTTAAGGTCACCCTCACGAATGACTTTACCAGATACGGTATACAACAGATAATCATTATTGATAAATTACACGTGTATTGAAGGTCCATAACTCGACTTTTTCCAGTTTGATGCAATCAGGAAGTTTTTTATGCATCTGAATTTTCATCAATCTATCAGAGCTTTTTGAAGCTTCAATTTTATGAAAAGTCTGTGGCATTTTTTATTGAGTTCCCTGTTCTTAAAAATAAAGAGTCGGAGGATTTCAAAGTCCTGGATTATTTACGACAAAAACAAGAAAAGCGGAAAGAAAATTTGCTGAACTAAAAATTCTGAAGAGTTTGATGGCCACTTTTATAGATCAAAAAAGCTCAAGAATTTTTTTCCACTTTTTCATTTCAAGTCCTCTGTCTTTGTGTTTTCAATGTAGTCTCTTCTTCGATAGACACCGAGTGGAAAGCTCGCAAGAGCTTGTACCTTTCTTTTCGTTACTTTTTGTAAAAGCGTGAGTCATTGAGCATATAAGTCTCAAAATTTGAGTTCAGAATTTCATGAATCATATTCAAATGTGTGGGTGGATAAAAGCTTTTTTCGGCCGAGTGTAATAAGAAAAAAATTTCTTTGAAAATAATTTATTTCCATTGAATGAAACTGAGAAATCAAACACGCGCCACTCTTCTAGGCATAGGCTCAACCCATTCATCAGCAAGAGTATCCTGAAAACTCGTTAAGAGAGTCGCAGGAAAAAGGACACTTACATCGTCGTAACCTTGATTTTCGAAATAATGATCATCCTAAAAAATAAATAGATAGCGGAAGTGTTACACTTCGCTGACTCACAATATAATAAGGTCGTCTAGATCTTCTTCCGGAGTTTCTTGAGACTGGCCGTGATTCACGAGACGCTTTACTATTTTTCGGCTTATTTTTCTCTTCCTTCGAAGATTCATCTTCTTTCAACCTGAAAGTTATCACTTTTTAGTGTTCATGATCAGAATACATTCTACTATACGAATTTTCTCATTTTTTCAAGGTCTATTTTTTCTTCGGGAGATTTCCCCGTAAAAATTCGAAGCTCATTAAATATTGTCAGGTCTCTCAAATGAAGCTGAATAAACTAGATGTTACAAGAATAAAAGAGTTCATATCCGAACTTATTGTTGGAAAAAAACCGCGAATATCACTGATGAATGCATAAATTAATTGATTATTAATATTTTAGTGATTTTGCTATCATTTTCCTCTTCTCAAACCCACTCCTTGCGACGAAGAAACAGCCAACCCAACGCAATTATCAATAGAAGCAATAAAATGGCGGAAAGAATGGCCAGGCCGATCATGCTCCAGAAGTAGGCGTTCTCTTTCGCCTGAAAAAAACTTTGAAGAAAGAAGGATAATCACAAAGCAAACACTGCTCCCGTTGCAATTCGTAGATGACATTACAGTTGTGGTGCTTGGTGTGGGTCCAGTATATCCGTTGTAGGAGCAATCACCTTCAAAATTCATTTTTACCTTTTTTTCAATTTCTTTGACTCATTTTTTAGGAAGGTGCTGTGTGAAATGAAACCGAACTTTTTTTCTTCATTTAGCTTTGACTCAGGGGCCCTTCACCTTCTTAACAACCTTTCCTAAGTATGTGTATAAATAAGGTAACAAATATACAAAATAGACTATACTTTGATTGACGTCGTTTTTGTCGCAGCAAAGTTTTCTTCCGAATCCATCACACGTGTAGCAAAAATACATGTCGTTGACTGGTAAGCAGTGTTGATCGCAATTGAAACCAAATTCAGTTGGGGTTTCGCAAAATCGAACAAATCCGCATGTCAGGACCCTTCAAAAAGTTTTTTTTCTCATTCACCACGACGAAAAATTAATAATTATACGCTTCAATGTTTAGCTTTTCACGCGATTTTTATTCGGCTTTTTTTCACAGTAAGTATCCAAATGAACAAGTTTTGAATACCAACCATCCATAAGTCACTGAAAGTGTGCGGACGTTGATGGAAACGCTGTTTTCATCAACGGAATCTTTGTAGTCAGTGAAAATAAGGAACATGTCCGTGATGGGATACGGCGAAGTTGAACATCTAATTGAAAAGGAAGCAGCTACTGAGACAAAACTCTGAAAAGAAGGTTTTTAAAAAAAGACCAGATAAGTTACCGTAGCAGACGGTAGAGTGAACAGTGTACTGTTGTCAATGGACATTGTGGTTTTGACAGCATTTTGTTGCAATTTAGAGAACGTTTGGAGAGCTGAATAACTAGGAGCAGAAGAAAAATAGTCATAGGCTCAAAAATGGATCTCACTTGGAATCTGTCAGGTAGACCCCAAAGTCGGTGTCGACGCCTACGCAATTTGGCAGAAGCTGGGAGATGGGCCCATTGAAGTCGACGAAAAAATGGTTGAGCTGAATCTGGACAAGGCCCAACGCACAGATCTGCAAAAAATTCCCTTGAGTGAGCCCCTCGAAAAAGTGTTGCTCTCTTCCTCCGACTTTGGTTCTTTTTCTTCTTAGGGCAATCGATAAGAGGACAAAAAGAACGCCAAACTACTTCACACGTTAACTTCATTCTCTTGATTTCTCTCACTTTGGCCGTTGTGAAAATATTCCCATATCGACTTTATTTCCATTGCGCGCCTTTCGAAGTGTGAAAAATAAAGAAACGTGGCTTTTTCTCCGACTCTGCCGTCAGTTTTTCTGTACATTATGTGTTCAATCACAACATATTGGTGTATTTTTTTGAAAAAAAGCTAAAAAAATTTTTTTCATCAAAAAAACCCAATAAACGTGGTTGCCCCTAGCTTTGAAAAATATACCACAAATCGCATTTTCGAAATCCTCAAAAAAATTTTTCAAAAAAAGAAAAAAATAAATTCCTATGTCTTTGAGTCAATGAATTTGAAATTTATTTGAAAGCGACAGTTTGAAAAAAAAAAAAAGAAAGTTAGACTTTCACTACGAACCACAAAAATGAATTTTTGGGCTACTCTAATATTATTCAGTCAAAAAAATCTGAATTTACAGTAAGGTGTTCTCCAATTACTTTCTCAAAAATTCTTTTTTTGAAAATGAATAGATGCTTTTTTTCTCACTAATAAAATTGGAACAACTTAAAACGACATATTTAAGAAACTCGAAAGAAAAAAATATTTTTTTCTCATAAAAAAATAGTTCCTTCGGCATTTTTTTAGAAAAATTTTTCAAATATTAAAACTTGCGGGAAGTTTGGAAAGTCTAAAACCCTTATAAGTGCTAAAATTGATTCCAGTCTTGTTATTGAGGGGTTGACTAGCTTAAAAATAATCTCGTTTCAAAGAGGAAGCTCCTTCGAAAAATTTTTTGCGTACAAGAAGAAAGACCTCACAGTGAAAAAATAAACTTACGGCAAAATTTAATACAAGAAATATATTTATCATAGTTGTCGGAGCATCGCGAAATGCACAAGCCAAGTGTGATAAGCGCCCTTTCGTGTTTGCTCGCTATCAATAAATATTTTCGGAATTACACACGCATTCAAATTTTGATTGTTTTGCTCGACGGCCATTTCGATTTGATGTCGTAAAATGTTTCTTGCCCAACAGGTGGCAAATCACCAAAGGTGCTCTAATGCAAATGAGAACAGCTGATGTTTACGTAAAGTTCTTTCTTTCCGCCCTTTGATAAAGAGCTTAACTCAAACTTTCATTTGGAATGGAATTCAAGCATCAGAAATGTAAACGTGAAATGTCATTTCGCCAACACATTATTGCTCCGCTGACCAGCGGCTCCTATCGATTTTTTTCTCATTTCGAGTACTCGCGTTATTTTTGGCGCCGCCTGCCATTCTGAATTTTCCATCGTCTATATTCATGTTTTCATTTTCGTTCAAATTATCTTTTTTTTCAGATGAAAAAAGAATGAGCACAACTCCAACGATTAGGGATTTGGTCATTCCAAAAACTTTCTCCAATGTCAACGACGCTTCGAGCTCAGGTTTTTTCTCCTATGTAGGGAAATAATACTTTTTTTATGAATAAAGGTTAGAAAATGTTCTATTTATTGTCACGGTTTTACAATTTTTTTAAACTGCATTCACAAAAAAATGCATTCTTTTTACATACCATCTTGCCAAGTTCAAAACTTTATGAGACGTTTGAAACATTAAAAAAAACTACAAAATCTTCGAGTTTTTAGAAATTGCAAAAGCAATATAAAATTTCAACTTAATTTTTGTTAGAATAGTTATCAAGATTTTTTTGTATTAATATTATTTTTCAATTTCCTGCTGAAAAAAATTCCGAAAAAAATCACACATTTTTTTCGAAGAAAACTTAATTTTTAAGGAAATTCTTAGAAAGCACAGTTTGAAATTTGAAAAAAACAGAAAAACTTGACAACAAGTTCAAGGAAACTTCCAGCAACTGTTTTTAATTATCTAACCTTTTCAGGCGCTTTAACGGGTACACCTTCCCTTGAAAGTTCCAAATATGGGACATGCAACTGTGTAGCCGAGGCCATTCGACGGATGATAACTTTGCGAAAAAATGGGACGGACGAAGGTACACACTTCACTTCATTTATAAAAGAAAAGTTGGTTTTTCTACAGAAAATGGGTTTATGTTGGTCAACAACAACGAGGTGAACTGGGCCAAGTTGTTTATGGAGTTCATTTTGGGATCCGCGTATTGCCAATCATCGAAATGTCAAGGTTTGTGCTCAATTTTGTTTTACTGAAGTTTCCTTTTTTCAGCCCATTCCGACGACATGATCTGGTACGTACACCAGACGAAGCTTTCTGCATCCTTTTATCTTCAGGGGGTATTTTTTGGTATTTTTCCGTGAATAAAACGTCGAGATATTCCAGCAAAACAGTTTGATTCAAGTTTTTCGGCGCCACAGCAAGAATCAGCCTGCTCCTTGTGACGAAAGTTACAATTGGGAAGAAACTTTTTGTCTGAACTTCATCATGCAACAGGTTTCAGATGCCCTTTTTTCCAAATAAGAACATTCTTTCAGCTTGATTTTTTTGTCACGTGCGCTGTTTGCACAAAAACTGGACCGCAAAACCTTCAAATTATCCGAAAAAACCGTCAAAGAGTTGGTTTTCAGATCGTTTTGATTATACGAAGGTTTCTCAGGTTTTCCCATCACCAAGTAGGCGTCGCATGGACAGCAAAGGTGAGAGCGAAGAAATCACCTATCCAAAGCTCTACTTCGCAATCGACGGATTTGATGAGGTTTCCGAAAAAATTTCAAAAAAGCACATCAAAAATTTTGAATTTTTATTCGCATACGACCTGGTGTTCCTTTTTTCTTTGAAAGAAGGAATTTTGATTATTAACTTTTTAGGTTTTCCAAGACGTCGTTGTCCGAGATGGCGAATGCGTCTGCGTTGAATTGATTGCCAGAGATCGTCAAAGCACCCGAGAAGCTGTCATTTTTCTCGGCTCCATTAGATACGAAATCCTGAAGCAAGTTTATGATACTAAGGTTAGAGTAAAATTTCAACGTCTTGAAAATTTCATTTTATAGGCCTCTTCAACTTGGCACTGGGCTCAAAAACTGATGAAGCAAGGCGACAGGCGACAAGAATTCGTCCGTATGCGAGGCCCACAGGGAAAGGTCTGTTCACTTTTTATAACAAAAAATGCAGAAAAACTCGAAAATTCAACGTTTCTCCCGTCGAAGGTTTATTGGACTACAACTAATCATTTCCGCCAAATATAAAGCTACATGTAAAATATTTATCTATTAGGAGGTTCAGGGATACGCGGAGATGGCGGTTGCAAGAGTGGCGAATTGTGGCTACGAAACGCCGTTGAGTGAAAATGCCATGGATTTCTCTGATCTTCCAGGGGTTTTTATTATCTTTTTTTATGAAGAAATTGAATTAATATTTTTTTCTGATGAAATTCCAAACATTTTTTTCCGTTGGAAATGGAAAAAAAGTGATAAAATTGAAAAACATGTGATCCGTCCATGCTGATGTGGAAAATATTCGAGAACATTTCCTACATTATCGACAAAATGAAGGGTCTTGAGCTAGCAATTGATATAGTGAAGTTTCTTTTTTTTAATTCTATGAGATGCTCTGAAAACGAGAAAGCAAAAAAAAAAAGAATTTTTGTTTAGTCAATAAAAAATAAATATCCAGTAGAAAAAAAATTCAGGTTGAGCAGAATATGGGTAAAAGAAGGATGTCGGAAACAAATTTGGCTGGGAACAAGATGTTTGCTCCGCGTCCATCCGTAACGACTCCTTCGCATTCCGGAAGGGGTCGACGTTGGCAAAGTGAAGCCGATACCGTCAACCAGTACCCCGAAGTCGAAGGGACTAATATCGATGATGGTAAGTTTCTTTTTATCAAAAAAAAAAATAGAACAATGGGTTTGAACCTAGTTCAGTATTAACGTGTTCATCTGAGAAACGGAACATGTTTCAGAAAGCCTGACTGAAAGCTGCAATAACTTGTTAAACAACTAATAGTGTCTTTTGAAAATCAGAAGGTTTGCAAGCAAATCTTAATATCATGTCAATTTATTATTTTTTCTTCATCGATCGATTAGTTGAACGGCGTCGAACCCACTGTGAATCTGAAAAGTTCCAGTTCAAACATTTTTTTATTTCAATGCATTCACATTTTCAGAGCTCGAAGAAGGAGCGATGAATAAACTGTGGTCAATGCGCGGCTTCGGTCAGGCCTGGCACTGGCTCCGGGAGAAGAAAAGAGCCGAGTGCACGCCTCTGAACGCTCTTCTCACCTACGTCACGCTTCCTTGGAACAACATCTTGAATGGTAAGGAACTCAGTAACTTCCGTTTTTTTATTTAAAAAAAGTGAGAGAGGATCTGTGGTGTCCTTGTGAATAAGATCTTTGAATGATTAAAAAAAATTGGAAAAAAATGTGAATTATCAACTCTAGTAGCAGATGTGTTTAAAAAGTTCATACTATCGAGCTCTGAATGGATCATTTTTCTTCAAAACGGCAGTTAACAAATTTTTCAATGTTTTTTTTTCAAATTTACGTCTTACGTCTCTTAAAACCACGGCGAGCATTTCAAATTAAACGCCCACAACATTCCAAAAATACTACTTCTGGTTTTCAGATTTGCTATCTGATCATCGAAAGCGGCCAATTTTTAACCTACGAGTTTGACCATTGAACGTCGATCCGAACCCGTGAAACTATCAAATACTGTAAAATTATACCCATTTCTCTTATTTTTTTTTTTCGAATTGTGTACACTTTCTCATGTAGATTTTCATTCATAGCTTTGTTTCCTTTCTCGCTTTAACTTTGGTATCACTTTGAGAAATTCTTCAACTTCAAAGTGGCCAAACATCAGTTGCGACGAGTTCTGCCAAATTGATTTGAAGATTGTTGTCTGGGTATCAATTACTTGATTTAGTCAGTTTTTATCAACTTCCTTCCCACGGTCTCCATGATTTAAATCTAATCAACTTTTCTGATCTCCAATCAAATTATACGTTCCTCTTCTCTGTCTACTAATTTTTTTGTACATTTTTCATGTTTTTTTGTTTTTATAATAAATTTTTCATTTCAATTTTTTTCGAAAAAGCAATATTATTGTTTCGAAAATTTCACATTCTTGGTAAAAGTGGCCTTCTCTCAACACGTTTTTCGAAATCGGCACGGAAAAGTACACCGAATGATTTGAGAGTAACCAATCGCCGTCGCCATCTTCACACATCAAATCGAATTCAGGCTATCACGTTCTTTTGCCTTCTCAAGTTGGTCAAGTTGCTCTCTGACAGATTTTTCTCTCCTTCGCCCTTCATTCTCAGAGAAAAACCAAGTCTGTTACAGGTGCCGCTTTTTAAAGTTTGACTTGCTTTGGTCTTACACGAGAACTTGATAAACACGCCAAAGTTCTCCCTTTTCTTTTCGATAGCATTGTTTTTATTTTTCCCGAAGGAAGCATCTCAAAAGGTGTTTGAATGCCTCACCAGCACGTTTCCTTACTTCTCACTCTTGCAACATACTGTGTGGTGAGTGGAAGAAAAAGTACAGTTATTCAATATTAACGAATTTTTAAAGCTTGCGCAGTACGATTCTGTTCAATTCGCTTCTCCCCCAGCACAAGAGCCTTCTTCAGAATACGCTCAGGTTTCAGGATCCCCTGAAGTTCTGAGAGCTCCTCCAACGCCAAAATGGGTTCAGGAAGTTGGAGAGAATCTTGAAAAAAGGTTAATTTTAAATTTACAGGCTGTCGAAGGATCTGGAAATAACGAAAACGTAGTGACCGATGATTTTGCTGCAGTTATGGCCAACATGAATCAAGTTGCGCATAGTCTTGGGATAGGTATTTGGTTCTGAAATTAAAATTCGCAGCAGAATAATCTTATTTTTTCAGTCAGTGCGTGTAAAGAATAATAAGAGAAGGTTTAGTACCACCTGACGACTATAAGTAAGATCTCAACAAATTAAAATCGAACGGTAGACAATTCAAAAAATAGCTTTTTTTGTAGTGTCGTTTCAAAGACTGAAAAGGACTGGATTTTTGGAAATTTGTAAATTATCCTGAGATCAAACAATAATAAAAAATTATTCAAAAAAAAGCGTAGCTTCAACACTTATACTGAAAAATAAAATAGACTTGCGTATGATTGAAAAAGTGTTCAGCTTGCCCTATAGACGTCGTTTTCATCCTTGATGCCACTTCTTCCGTGAAAGGTGTATTCGACAGTTACCTGACCTACATCACGAAGGTTTCTTAGAAAAACGATTTTTTTCTCTATTTTTTTATTATTTACAGGTGATTGAAGGTCTGGAAATTTCAGACGTCCAGGATCGTGTGGGCGTTGTTGTTTTCAGCAGCGCAAAGAAACAAAAGCTGAAGATCAAACTTGGAGAATTCAACAAAACTTCTTCGTTGGTCGATGCAGTTAGAAGTTCGTGATAAACTTGACGTTTTTATTGTTTGTTGTCTTCCGATGCGAAATTCACTTTCTTTTCAGAATTACCTTTTTTCTCGGGTGTAACATCAACGGGGGCAGCGTTGAAATTCGCCGCCAAAGTTGTTGACAACCGCAGAGAAGATGTTGTCTTGAATTTTGTTGTTCTAACCGATGGGTTTAGGTACTTTTCGAAGTGTTCATTCTGTTTTACAGAAACATTTTTTTTAGTTATGACATTGTCGATGAAGGTGCCGGTCTTCTTCATAGCGTTCCAAAGTCGAAAGTTTTTGTGGCATCGTTGGGTGACAGCTTCTTGAGGTGAGACAGTCCTTGGGGTTTTTTGAGTTGAACGTGAGTTCAATGTACTGAGAATTTCAGAGGTTAAAGTTTTTTCAATACATTTCCGATGCAGTATCCTGAGGTTTTCAACCAAAAAATCACTATCCGAGAATGAAACTATCCAAATCGTTTTGAAATATTTCAAAAAAAATAAGTCGGTTTCCACGGCTTAAATTTTTGGTTCCTAGTTTTTTTTCTGAGTATGAACTGTAAAAAAGTTCCAATCAGAAACTGTTTCAGAAGTGAACTGGAGACGATAGCCGGTAATCCAGACAACATCTTTTTTGGCAGTACAACTTATGCAGCGGTAGTCAAAAACATGAAAAAATGTTTGACAAATCAGCTTTTCAACGAAGATGTGAGTGTCTCTAAACTTTCCGCAAGTTTCGCTATATTTGAATTCAATTCATCTGTTGATTTTTTTCTCAGAGACTCGAGAAAAATAAAAAATTGCATGTTGCTTTTTTTCCTACAAATCCGATAGTTTTTGTAGCGTGCGAAAAATTGGACCTTGAGGCGCTTCTTAAAGCTTAACGTTTGATTTGAAAAACTTCAAAAAAATTATTTTCAGATAGAGACCTCCACAGTACATTTTGTGAAAACTCCGAAAGATGACCAAGGCCGTTATCTTATTCCGACCCCCATAATAACTGAAAACGTCGTGATCCATTTCAACGATCATATCGAAGGAAGTGGCAGCGGTGATAATCCGCGAGGTTACCTCGAAACGAACTTTACAAGTTAAATTTCATATTAGGTAAGGGAATCAACAATGACGGGCAGGAAATGACGTTTGTCGTGAAAAAGTTGCCAACAAAAGGTTGACCTCAACTTAAAAAACCTTATTTTCTCTGAATTCAGTCAGCTGCAAATACGATGTGGCACTGATTTTCGACGCTTCCGGATCTCTTGTGCATAACTATGAAATCCAACTAAAACATGCAAATGATCTAATGGATCGGCTACTCATTGCCCCAAACGCTACACGAGTATTCATTTTATCTGAAAATTTTATAGAAACCATGAATCAATTTTAGGTGGCAGTCATTGAGTTTGCTGGGAAAAGAAGAGCCCGAGTCTTGAACACTTTTGAGTGAGTTTGAAAATGTTGCCTTCGAAAAAGACTAATTTCTTTCAGCGATGTGACCGAGAAGGGAGCTCTGAAAAAATTGATTTCTCAGACGCAGTTTCTAAGTGGCACAACTTACACAAACGAAGCTATTAAGAAAGCTGTAGGCCTGTTCAAGGTTTTTCTGCATTTCGACTAAAGGGTACTTTTAAATTTTGGTCCAGGAAACAAAAAGAAAAGATGCCAAAAGGGTGATGATTTTGTTCACGGATGGATACAGTGCAGATGATACCAGCGAAGGTGTCAAAGAGTTTGTAACTGTTGAATAATTCAACGTTCTTCAGGTATTTCTGAGCTGAAGAAACTCGGCGTGACGGTTCACACCGTTGGGATAACTATCGATGGTATGAGAGTGAATATTGGAGAGCTTGAAGTGAGATTAAAAAAAAGCAAAACAATTGAAAAGGAAAATTTCAGGAAATGGCCGGAAGCCCCAAAAGATTTTACGATGCGAATATGTTCAGCCGGTTACTTGAAACCTTTCCTTCTCCTGTCACCTGTTCACCGTAAACTCCCTTAATATGCTTTTTCGAAATGCCTTGCGTAATTTTTTATAAGCGGAAAAGCTTTTATGCGCTTTTAAAAAACATATCGCAAGATTTTCTGCAGACAAGACCATCATAACTACATTGTCACTCATCAATAACTGCACATATTTATTGCAATTTCATCAGACTTCATAAAATTATATTACGTTCTATGCTAAAGCATTATGACGTCAACCGGTAGAAATCGGAATCGCAAGGAAGGAAAACCACAAGGCTGACTAGTATAATGAATCACAGAAATTTTGCAAGCGACTAGAATAGAAATAATTCGAAGCTGATCGACTATCTTTTGAGAAAAAGAGTGACAAGAGAGGCGTGAATAATCGTGAAAACAAACAAAATTATGTACAATTGTTTTTGGCGCGCATTTCGCTCCTCGAAAAAGCCTTGTTCGAGAGCGGCTTGAAGTTTCCGGAAAGATGTCTCGCCGCTCTGTTGAAGTTCCTGAAAAAAAATATTGAGGCAGAAATGAATTTCCGTGATAAAATTAAGAAGATAGTGCAACATTGAAAGTGGAAGCACACCTTGCTTGCGAAATTTAAAACAGTCGTCGATTATTGCGCCAGGTACGCAAGCAACAGATCATACGCGTAACGGGAAAAATTTTAAAGGACAGTTTAGCGCCGCACTCCGGTGCTCATGCTTTCTGCTTTTTTTCGTCACTTTTTTTCGTTTGATCAATTTTTCGTGATGAATAATTTAAAAACTTTGACTAGAACAAAAAAATGGATAGATTTTTCAGATTTGTTTGTCAAACGAAAAAAATTATTTTTTTAAATAATTGTGAATAAACCAAATTTGCAAATTTCTGGATGAGTCCCACAAAAAAATTCTTTTTCATGAAGAAATTTTTAATGAGAAGTCAACAATCCATGTTTTGAGGTATTGCTGAAACTGAAACATATCTTAAAGTACCCTTAGTCGAGCCGCAAAAAAAGTAAATCTGATACCGTTCAGCAAAGATTCTCAGCTCATGTCATTGAACTTCCTTTTTTAACTTTTTCTTTCGGCATCAATTTCTGATTTTATAAAGTTTTCCCGCAACCTGTACAGAATATTTTCGCAAAAAAAAACTTGAATTTTCGCACCTTGACAGCCTTTTCCAAGTCGCCTTCGTCCCCGCGTTTCTTTTTCCTTTCGATGTCCACACTGGCGTTGGAAACGCTGTCATAAGAATCAGCGTGGGTGACCTACGAACAAACTACAATTATCACAAAAGCACGCATATTAGGCTTCACTTTATTTTTCTTTTTCAAAACGACTTTTTCGGTTTTGTCGATTGTGCGAATGATGTAGTTAGACTCGACTTGTCGCAGATCATTATTCGTGTCCCAGGGACGATAGCTGAAGTTTTTCGTCTTTTCTCGAAACATTTGAGTGTCTCACTCTGCGTAAATGTATTCGTACTCGTCCCCAACTTTCTTGAAATACTTTTGTTGATGGGGTACCCCAGACTTGGCTCTTTCCCTTTGAGCGTCTTCGAGTTTGGTTTTCTCAATAGTAGCCTGAAAAATTGCCCTTTTCTGGTCAAAATGTCAGGTAAAAGCACCTGTTCCTGGTCCTCGTCTGCTATGGCTTCGCTGACTTTTTTCCAAAGTTTCACTGACTCGTGGTCCAGTTGATCTTCGAACTTGATTTCAAAACGAGGCAAACGCTTTTCATAAGTTTCAGGTGTCACTCGCCAGAGATCTTCCGTTTTCTTCTGCAGTCAGAAAGTAAAAAATGATAAAAGATGATGAAACTACATCGGCAGTATGTTTTATTGTAATATGCTCGTCCCAGTAACCCTCAATCTTAGAAATGGTTTCGGATCCATATTTGATGTGCCCCGAAATCTGAAATTATGTTTTCGTGACACAAAAAATGATTGCTTCATGATCACCTTATTCGGTTTCCCTCCAATTAGAGGCTTCAGGTGGAATTCCAAGTCACCAGAGTAGCCCGTCTTACTGCACTCGATTTTGATCTTGAATTTTGATTGGATTTTTAAAACGCGTATTCGATATTTTTCTCACCTCTCCTCCATGTTCCATCGTGGCAGTTCCAACCAAAAGATTTTTACAGTAGACGTAAGGTAAGTCGAGTGAATAAGTTTCTCCAAGGTTCAGGAGAGTTAAGCTACAACAATAACAACTTCCTTTGGTTATTCCAATTCAGATAAACTTTATTTTTCCAATAAGAAGAGCCGCCATGCTGTTTCCGTAGAACTTGCTTTTAGCTAAGATAGTCGCGTTGATGTTGAATCCAACTTTTCTGTTGGTTATATAAAATGAAGTGATAGGTGGGTGATGGGAAACCTGGAGTTTTGCATGAAAATTAAAAACTGACGTGGGAGTCAAACTTGTTCGGCGATGTAAAACGTTGAGCTTCCGTCTGGGTGGTCCCATCGGCAACGGAAAGATTCTCCGAGAATCGGATTGTACGGTTTTTTGAGTCCTTTAGGCTTTTTGTAAAAGCCGGAAAGTACGTATTTCATGACTTTTATCATACGTTGGTGCGGATCTGGCGCATTTATTGCTCTATAAATATTTTTTCTTATGTACAAAATTTCTTTTTCTTTTTTTAGCAGGAACTTACTCGGACAGCATGTCGGCATGATAATGGAAATCACTAAGCTTCTCTAGATAGGATCGCGGCTCCAAGATAAATGTAGGCAAAGTAACCTCAAAAATAATGATGAAAAATGAGAAAAAAAAATTATAAACTTTGGACAAGTCCATTCCGGGGCGAAGTTGCTTCAGCAAAGCCCAAATAATGGATTTATTCTGATCGTTTATGTCACCAGACCCCGTACCGAACTAAATCATCTTCAATTTTCACACTTTTTGGGACGCTCACAGTCTCTTTGGCGCTTTGCACCCAAGCACTCTCTTCGAAAGACCCGTCATTTTCACTCGTTTCAGATTTTTGACCATCATCTTGCTCAGCTTCATCGATTTCTGCAGAAAATTGTCTTGAGCTGACATCGATAAATATCCGTACCTCGGAAATGTCGTTCAGCGTCAGTTTCAGAACGTTCTTCTCGGGTCTCTTCGTCAGAGTCGAGATCATTCGAAGTGGGTTGATCATTTTCTTCGTTGTCCGTTCCATTTTCATCATCTTGTTTTTCTCCCAACTGAAAAATGGAATGCGAAAATTGGAAAAAGAGATTTGAAAACTTTGTTCATCGTTCTTTTCAGAAGCCCGGTGCACTTGAAAGAGAGTTCCAGGGCGTCCATCCAACAGCGGCCCACCTAAAATAAGCTTGAAATAAAAAATTCATGAAACATTTTTGGGGTTCGACCTGGTCGCTTGAAGCTCGGCAAATCAGATGAGACGTGTTGAGTGGATTAAGGGAGAAACTTCCGTAGGACTGTCCCAAAGGACCACGGTTTCCCCAAATGCTCATGTCCATTGGCTGAAAAATTTTTTTCACATTTTCAAGAAAAATTTTTTTCTTTTTTTGGACTTAAATCTCTGCGAAAAAAAATTAATCGAGAGCTTTTTGCCGGAAATTTTTTTCTCGCAAATATTATCAAAATGGTAACTAATAAAGTAGGAAAAAAATTGCTATATTTCGTAACTTTTCTACTGAGTCACTTCAAAAAAATTCTTAATTTCTTCCTTATCATTTTTCTGTAGAAAACTTTGAATTCCTACATAATTTACGATCAAACCTACTCAAAGTATCATTTTTTTCTTAGATGACTACGCTCATAGATGTGAATGAATAACAAAATTTCGAGCAACTCCAATGATTTTTAAAACAGACTAATTTCTTTAGTTTTGACAAAAAAAGAATTTTTGATAGGGATAGTATTACCTTGCTGTCGAAAAACTGAAAAGAAAATCTGCTGCAATAAACTTGACATATTTTCGCTTCAATAATTTTAAAAACCGAACATTTTTTCTTCCATCCTCTTTGAAAGGAAAATCGATTGGGGTGTAGAAAATTGCTTTCAATCGCTCCCATCTGCCAGAAAAGCAGTTGAAAAAATTGCTGTTTTTGTTTCGGAAGTGAACAAATCTTCCCTGGGACCACAAGCGAAAAAAAAAACTGTGGAAAGCGTTTGAAATTGTCCCGAGGGAAGGAGATTGCTTTGTGGGCCCGATTACATTGACGGAAGAGTTCTTTCAAGAAAATTTTAGAAATTTCTGAATATTTTGCCGACAAACCTTGTCCGTTCGTAAAAAGTTGAAACCGAAAATGAAAAAAAAAACAAACATGATAGAGCTTGAAGCAAAAACCATCCTTCTTCGAGGGCCTCTCAATAAGCTCGCAAAGATTGAGAAGAACGGTTCCTACCCAATCTCCCTAAAACGTTCCAGTTTCTGTCGTAGACTCATAATATGAACTGACCCTATCAGCTTTCTTGTTTTTGTAAATAATCAACAGTCCCGGTTTCAAAACGCAGTAAAACCTGTTCCATTTTTTGAGAGCGCCTCTGATCTGAAACAGGACAGAGAACTGAATGGACTCGATTTCAACTAATTGACCTTCAGCCAGTCTGCCATGACCACGACGGTCGGGTCTTGCAGAGCGGAGACCAGTTCTTTTGTGATCCTCCTTTTTTCATCTCGATATTTCTTTTTTTGGCGCTGAAAATAGTATTTTAAAAAAATAAGCGCAGCTTTTGTAAAATTTTTCCTTCTGTGATGCCAAAAAATCAAGTCGATTGCATTCGGGCAAATAGCAGATAAAAAAGTAATTCAATTTCGCCATTTTCCTATGAGAATTTGCCAAAAACAAGCAAAAAAGGTCATTTGACATTGTTCAAAACAAAAACTTTCTGCGAGATTTGATTTCCAGAATTTTCCTTTAGTATATCAAAAACAAGAAAGTTTCATAATATGAATAAAAACAATTAAAAGTGGGAAGATTTCAATACTATTGTCTAGAAAACGATTCAATCTGACATATTGCATTGTTTGTTTGCTCGCTAGGATCTTCAAAAGAGAAGAACATGTGCTCAATGAATCATCATTTCAATTCCTACTCACAACCAAAGTTCATTTGTCAAAAAAGTTCAACAATTAAACCAATAACCGGTGCATTTGTAATGTAGAAAGGGTTTGGTAAATGGACTTGTTTTTGAAAAAAAGAACAACACAGCTTAAAATAAAACTTACATCGGTTTCAAACATATTCTGAGCTTCGAGTGACGCAAAGAAATCACCCAATACCTTGTGAACTTTATTTGAGGGGACGCAATTGCAAAGCATCAGAAATCTCTTTCGTAAACAAAAACAAAAAAGTTCCGCTATAAGCCAACTGACGTAATTTTGGGCCGTAAGGCTTTGAAAAGCTGAAATAAATGGGAAAAAGGGTACCTTTAGTGATTTTCGGGAGAAATCGTCCTCGTCGACAGGAGCCGACATGCTCCAACAGACGAACTGAAATGCCGATGGTCTCTAGGCGTCGAGCAAGTAATATTTTGTCTGCCGACGCGCCTGAGTGTATGCACATCATGCCTCGCCGTCTGCACCCTCCACTCACCCGCACTGACGCCCCCATTCTTCAACAAAACTTTCTGCAAGAAAGCACCAAATAACGGCAACTGAATAAGGCCTATGGTTCGATCCCGAAACTTGCTCTTGGCTACAACAAAGCCGAGAGCTTTAATTGGAAATTTTTCATCTTGATGATATGCACAAAATTTTTAAAACTCGGGAAAAATTTCCCGCATAAAAATAAATAAACATGTACATAAAAATCGACTAAATAAGTGAGTAGAAGCTGGATGCGCAGAATTTTTGTCTTCATTGTTCTCTCTTAAAAACTCATTATCACCGTTGAATTATGAAGATACAAATAAGAGAAGTATTGAGGTGAAGATCATCTACACCCTTGTTTTGCTTCTCTAAGTTTTTCCAGCATGTAAAAATGTGAATATAAATAAAAGATTGATATGAAAAATTCCCTCACTGTTTTTCTTGTCTCCGTGAAAAGAAAAAGAATTTGAGTTTCGAATCGAAAAAAATTGAGTCTGAATCAAATTCAAATAGAAGAAATTTTATCAGAGTCTAGAGAATTCCATAGAAGGCTTTAAAAAAACACTTGTGAGGTTGAAGGATTATCGAAATAATTGGCAAAAAAATAATTTCAATTAAAATTAGCAGAAAAACGGATACTTCACTTTCATTTTCTTTAAAAAACAAACATTTGGATTTAATTTTTGAAGTTTTTTGATTTTTTCGCTATGAGCAACTTTTCCGCCGTGAGTTCTTTGTCCTAAACTGCGATCCTTGAGGTCTTGAATAAAATTTTTCCTGCTTGTTAATTAGAAATTTTTCGCCTTCTCAAAAAAACACTTCCCTTCTGTCTCTGACATGAAAATATACTGGTTTGTTGAAATTATCCTGGAAATTTACTTTGACTCAGAAGTAAAATTTAAGGAAGAAATTTACTTTGACTTAGAAGGAACACATAGAAGGGTTTCTTAACAGTAATAAAAAAAAGTTGAAAAGTTATTTCTGAAAAAAAAAGCAACTGATTCATTCGAAATCCGACTATCAAAACCTACATGGCAAAAGACAAGCTCAAAGCTTTCAAGCTATTTTTATTTCTTGTCCCAAAATTCATCTGAGAAAATCTTCAACTTTCATTTTGGGAACTTTCTAGAACCTATCCAATATTCCCCACTCTACTTAATGAATTTCTAGGAGTTTTCGAGCGGCTGAGTTTACTTTTTTTATATTTTCTTCGAGTTGTTGCACTGCTCTTTCAATAATAGGTTTCCTTGACATAGAGCTTTCCTTATTCAAAAATCACGTATTCTTACAAACTGAAACGTTTTTTATTTTTTATACTTTTTTTCAGGCATACCAGTTTCTATAGCTCTTTGAAATTTTTTCCATTTTTCGAAGCACTTGCATGTCCCTGGTGGCATTGCACTTTCCAAACATGCAATCTCGCCATATGGTCTTTTTTATTGTTTTATAGGCTCTTCTTGTTATTCTCAAATAACGGAATGGAGAAACATGAAAAAAATGGGAACATCCTTTTTTATGTTTTTTCTGGCAGTTTTTTTTTCGCCTGTAAAAATTCACCAACGAAAAAAAAAATCAGAAATAGAAGACATGAGAATATGAACTATCCGTTGGCAAGAAAAAAAGAAAAAGCCACAAAAAGGTTTAGTATTAGTAACCCTTTTTGTTTATGATGATCTTATCTTCTCTTAAGTCCCTTTTTGATTTTTTAAAAAAATCTTGTCAGCCTGTCGAAGAAGTTTTTAAAAAGTTCACTGTAAAAGACCTTCTGCACGCACTTCATCAATTTTGAGTTTCGGGATAACTGATTCATCAGATTTTGCCTCCCTTTTCCATCAAACTCCCTGTAATCGACCGAGATTTATAGATATAAACTTTATTCATATCAGATTCAACGATTGTCCGGAACAGAAAAAGAGGTGCAAACGAAAAGAGATCTGTTTCACCACCCATAGCGTAACTGGCGAGTTGTTGTCTTTGTAACAAATGAGGATTAGTTGTCGGGGACGGCGTAATTGGCTCGCTCCAAGATTCGCGCCTCTTCGTGCGGCCGCATCCAACTGATGGTCGGAGCACTCATCTGACTTTCCCGCCTTCGTTTCGTCGGTGCAGGTCGAGAGCAGTAGAATGAGCCCTGCAATTCTTGGTTCATAAGAAGGTGGAAAAATTCGATCATTTTCTCCCTCAGATTTAAGATGATTCGTGTCAGTTCTTCATTCCAAGCTGTGCTCAAAACTGCAGGGGTGGATAAAATGATCATCTCACCGAAATGGTTTGAAGCCAACAAAAACTTCTGGATTATCTCAATTTCCAAACCCATGACAAAAATTTTGCAAGCCGTGCTTTTTACTCTAGGAACATGCGAAAACCGCGACAGATAAAAAGAGCATGCTTAAAAGTTTTAGCACATCTAGGAAAACGCGAAAAAACTACTTGATGCAAAAAAAATGAAAATAATCTGTGAATTCTTTGTGTGTGGAAAATTGGAACCAGTTATGCTAAGTTCAAGCCAAGATTATTCCCAGAAAATCTGCGAGCAGCAAATTAATTCAGAAGTAGTATGAAGAAAAAAGTATATTCACGTCATTTTTCCTGAAATGAGTGAATACATTCCATTCGAGAAACCGCTTTGATCACACTAGAAACAGAATATCGAGAAAGAAGCAGAAAACATGCAAACCACATACACATACGTCCATTTGGTCGAGGTCGATGCTGAGATCAATCAGAGGAGGGTCATGCTCCAGGAAATCTGTGAAATGCCATGGAAAGATTGGTAGAGCTCCCGGCGCAATTCCAGACAAAGCCTGGTCAATCGTTTTGTCCCAGTTGATTTGATCTGAAGAGAGAAATCTTTATCAAAACTCGAGTTTTTCAGAGCAACATATTCATAAAACAATGTTTCGAAAGAAAACACTAGTTTTCAGTTTTTTTTTTCTCCTAAAGAAAGGCCTCACCGAAGGATTTGTACTGAAAGTTGCTAACTTTGAATAGTTAGCTCTTCAAAAAAAATGTTCTGCTAATTGAGACTTTGATAAGGTTGTTCATCTCAATGGGAGGGCAAGAGTTTTAATAAAAACTGAGGGACAATCTCGGACGTAATACGGAAAAAAAAATCCTGGAAGACTCACTCAGCTCAAGTTTTAAGTTTCGAAATGGAGAATCTCATTTTTGGGTTTCAGTTATAAAACTATTATTGGAGTCCGAAAACCTCCGAATAATAAAACTTAAAATTTCCAGTATCAACGTCACAAAATCAAATTTTTTGAGATAAGTGATAACCAAGATTAACAACGCCTCAAACTGACTGATAAGATGATCTGACATGCCGACCCGACGACAAACCGTACTAATAAGGCCACCAACGGACAAACGCCTTCCTCCGAGCCACACCGTGATCTTAATCAAAAGTTGAGTTCCTCAAAAAACAATAAAAGTTCGGACCCCTTTGACATTGGTGACTTGTCGCCCGGCGTAGTGCACAAGTCGGAAAACGTCGGCTAGTTGTTCAACTAGAGCTGTAGTCAGCCACAAGCCGATCGTGATATAAATAAGAGTTGGCAGTAGAAAATCCATTCTTCTTAACAAAATTTTTCTCATTTTTCACTTTTTCTCAAGATTCACCTAGGAACTATGTCGCCTAAGCCAATAGTCGTTAAGCTCCTGCAAAAAAATTATTTAGCAGTTTTTTTTAGAAATAACTTATAATGGATCAAAAGATCTTTTTTAAAATGCAGACGATTGCAGAAATCAATGATACGTCACTTACATGTAGGAAAAATAAACACTGTCGAAATAAGTGAGTTGGTCTTCCCATAATGGTATTACCGCGGATCCTATCGCTATGAACAGGACGAATAGAAGTGCTACTAGGAAAACCTGAAAATTTTCTGATTTCAAAGTCTTTCAATACAACTAAACCTCGCCGAGTTCTCTCAAAAACCGTTGTTCTCCCGGTTTCTTGAGCTCTTTCTTGTAGACCTTTTGAACTATACTCATGATCGCTGAACTTTGATTTCAGTTTTTTAAAGCTTCCAAGTTTAACCTGTTTTAGAAAATCTGCCCAAATCAGCTATAGTGATCAGAAAAAGAGGAATCCCAAAAGCCCCATAAACCATTGTGAAAATTTTGCACTCCTGCGTGGAAGGAGTGACATTACCGTACCCTGAACTTTATCGTCAAAAATCGTTATTTTCCTTCTCACCTATAGTTGTCAAAATTGTGAAAGAAAAAAGTACACTCGCCGGAAAAGTCCAGCGTTTTTGAACGACCTGAAATAGAAATGTGGGTTATGCTGCCTCTCTGCCCAACCTTCAGAGGCTCGTTGTAAATCAAATAGTTATCTAAACTTATATGCAAATATGATATGTTTTTCAAGAAAAACCGTAAATGTGCGTCAATATCATCTACCTGAAATTTCATTTTTCTTTAAACAGAAATCAAAGACACTCACATTTTTAGTCGAGGCTATTTTTTCTATGACTTCTTTTTTCAGCCGTAAAACGTGCTCTCTGAAAAGATAAAGTTTGATATTTCTACAAGGTTATTGAATTTTTTATACCACGTTCATTCTCAATACAATCGTGTAATCCATGGTGTTATTTTTTTTACGATTCAGCCAAAAACTATAGCGAGGTAAAAACCTTGAAGAAAAACATCCGAAATTGAAATGAAAATTTTTTTGATGTATGTACAGTAATGATGGCGCAATCAAAAGCAGAACAAGTTGGAGCTAGCTCAAAATGACGCGAATTTTTTAGAAACATCCAGAATCAAGGAAAAATTTTGACATTCATGGGCAATCATACCATTTTAATTAAAATCTTCTTCTTCTTCTTCTTCTTACGCCTCTGTACCGCTTGAGCGGCGTCGACGCCCCAAGTCGGTTAGCCGAGGTCCTATCCTGATGATAATCAGTGGACTGGCTCCAGTGACATATCCGTCCTTGTGTGTGACGGCTGGGGATTTCGAAGTCGTGGTTTCCCACTACCAACATTTCTTAAACCCCTTGGTTGGGTCGGGGCAGGGATCGAACTTGTGACCCTGTGGACCGTAGACAGGCACACAATCTGTTGCGCTACGGAGCGCCCCCATTTTAATTAAAATCATATTTCTCAGAAAAAAAACAAACCGCTGCAAATCGTGTAGATAGACCTCATTGTCACCTTCCATGTAGTGAAAAATGTAGGCTCCAATGAGGACGTACAGAATAACAAACAGGTAAAGAGCCAAGTGAGCAGAAGCGATTCGCAGGACGCTCCGCATTTTCATGATCGCTCTCTTCGCTGAAAACTTCACAAAATTTCCGCTGTTCTCGTTCGAAGAAAAAGGATTTTGCGGGTGAAGATGAGATTTCTGAAATCGTTCAGTCATCATTCAAGTGCCCTTTTCAATCTCATGGCCAGAGTAAGGGGAATCCCAATGAAAAACCTATATGAAGTCTAATGTTCTTTCTGAGATAATGAAGCTTCATATATAGAAAGAAAAATTGATTCTTCCCATTCACTGGGATGTTTGATAAAAAAATTAGTCCTCACTAATTAGAATTTTGAATCAAGAAATCTTTTTGATTGAGAAATAAAAAAATCATTTTACTGTGGAAGTTATGCTGGCTTCGTTTGAATTATTCACATAATTCAAATAATATTCCACAGTTTCATATTAATATTCATGCACGAAGTTTTTGAATGAGAGTTCTACAAAAAAATAGTTTGTGGTCTTCTCATCACTATTCCAGAAACTTGAACTTTCAAGCTTTTTTCGTCAAAAATTGATAATTGCTCTAGTTTCAAACTTTTTTTAGCAATAACCAAGAAAAACAATTTTTAAGCTTTTTCAAAACGTTTGACTTCACCTTGATTGATTATCCTTGTTTACTCTAACTAAAAAAATTCAATGTTTCAAAGTTGGTTGAGTAGAAACTTGTTTTTCCGATTTCGAATACCCATGGCTATTTTGCTAACTTCATGAAAAAAATTGATAGTTGAAATCATGTCTTGGTAAAATAATTAAGCAAAAAAGAACGAAATTAAGGATAGATTCATTAAATTTTCTTACATTATGCAGTTCAGAAGTCGACAAAATTTTAAGATTTTTGGAAATAAAACTAAAAATTTTGTGGAGGAACTCGGCAAAAGAACCGAGTGAACTTGCAACAAAAAGTTTCAAGTGCAAGAAAGGATCTAGGAACGAGCTTCGGACAAGATAAAAGAGTTGCGACAAATACGTATCTGATGGACGTGATGGAGAAGACCGCCATGTTAAAAAACCTTGCACTATATGTAGGTGGCTGAAAAAAGCTGAACACGCGGAAAATTGTCTTTTTGTTTTTGAAAGAGTCGGCATCGGAAGTTAGCTTAGCGAAAAGTACTATCGCTTTTTGAACCGACTCCTTCTTTGCCGTCGCAACATAATCTCTGATGAATAATTGTTTTGCATGAGTTACACTTGTTATAAATAAAAAGCTTACGCTTCAAATTTATTGGTTCTCTTTTTTTTTGAATGTTACGATCGAGAAATGGAATTGGAGTAAGAGTTAGTTCCGTAGAGGTTTTGATTGCGGGTTTAGAGTTCAATAGGTGTTGAGAATATATCATTTAAGATTTCTTTATCGAATCTTGGGACTTTCTATAAATTGAAAAAAAATTTTGACTAACTTCAGAAGTTTCAAAAAACTTTCTACGATCCCGAATCGAGGCTATCCGGTTTCAATTCGTGCAATTTTTTAGTTTCCCTCAATTTGATTATTTGGTTTTTTTAAAGTATAAATCTAATAATCTTATAGATGGAAGTTTTTTTTTGCTAATTCATTTTCAAAATTCGAGTGGATATTCATTATATTTAACCTCAATAATCTTCCCTAAAAATAAAGGAAGTAGAGAAAAACTCCTCTCAATGAAAAAGAAAAAAAATCAGGGAACTTGCGGTTCATAAATTATGATGCTGCCAACTTGCAATGCTTTCTTTTTTTCTTATAATAGTCCAAAAACTTTCTTTTTTTAATTCCCTCATTTTTGGATAAAAGTGATAAGAAATTTGCATTGGGTGTTTCCTCAGAGGCACTGGAAATTAAAGAAGCAGAACGTCAAAATTTATTCCAATGTACTGTCACACTTTCACCCCTCCAAAAAGCTAGAATATTTTTTTAAACTATAGAACTATTTCCTTCTCACTATTTTGACAGGAAACATTCTTCGACAGCAGTTGTTTATTTGGAATAAATTTTCTATCAAAAAAACATAAAAACTCGTTTTACTACCGAGCTCTTACATCTGCACAACACCTGACTCAAGCCTTCAAAGTTTCGAGAAAAAGCATAAAATTTTCTGGTTATTCCAAAGTGGTGAAATACTTTTGCTCTGAAATGCCTGCCTAATGAATTGATCCATAAAAAGCATAGAAAAACGCGCCGAGGAGCTGGTTATTGGCTGTGAGAATTAATATGCTTGGATCAAAATCTTTTTCTATAAAGGAGGTTAAAGTTTTGGAGCTGAAACACAACAAGACTTCATAAGAAAAGGCTGTGAGAATGGAAATTCGAGAAAATTGACACCATTCGAAAAAAAAATTGAAAAGGAACGGCTTTTGCACAGTGGAGGGTATTTCATAGCGCTCCTTGAAAAAAACTACCGAAGAAAAAAACCGAAAAACTTTCAGGAGCATGGATGAAAAATGTTGTGGAGCGGCCGAATTCCAATGAAAAAAAAAAGGGGTTTGTTGAAAATGATACTAGATAGCTTCTGCTTTTTCAAGTTGAAAATGGATTTAGTTTTTAAAAAATAGTTCCTCATCCAAATTTTTTTGTTCTATTCCAAAAAGCGTTCTGAAGACGCACAGGGATATTTTTAAAATTATTCAGATTTTTTTTCCGGAATTTTTGAGGGATAATTCGCGAAAAAAGCCTTACGAACTTGTATTTTTTCTTATTTCGGTTCCAAGAGGATTTTTGATGAGAAAAACAAGATGCGACAGTTTTTTTCAAGTGGGACGAATATGCTCAGGCGCCGAAAATTTCCACAAAGTATGACCGACAAAGTTTCTTCTACCCTTCGGAAAACAACTATGCACGTTGTATTCAGAGTTCTTCTTTGGGATTGAGCTAAGTAAAGAGCAAAAGAACAAGGAAACGCGAAGAAGAATGAGCAATAAGGTATGAAAAGTTAAGAAAATTGACACCATTTTGAGGGAGCAAACGAAAGAATGAAGGCACAAGAAGAGGGAGGGCTTATACGTACCAACGTGTCCCCGACGACGGATGACGGTAGATTTCTTCACGCAAGGTCGCATTTCAGGCTCACCGCGCCGCTTCATTGCAACGACGTAAAAACCTCGCTTCTTTTTGGTCCCGTGGACTCGGGGCCGTTTGAAATCGAGATTCAAACGCCGGCGTCTATTGGATAGGTGGTAATGTTCACACGAGATATTGTAAACCGAGTCATCCAGGACGGACGCGCTGCAGAAATGCAAGATTCTCACTCCTGCGCATCTTTTTCTTCTTCTTCTTTTTCCTCTCCCACCAACACCACCAATTCTACTTCATGAGAACAAAAAAAAAAGTAAAGTTTGGTGCAAACGAAAGTTTTTGTCAGAGTTTACACGTTTTCCAAAAAGACTGAGGATTGCACTCTGAACTTTGGTTCCATTAATTTTTTCAAGCCTTTTTGGAAACTTGTATCGAGTTTTGAGTGAATCGAAGATTGTTCAAAAATCATTGTTGAAGTGGATGTAGGCGTGAGGAAACGAAAGAAAATAGCATTCAAGGATTCCTTAATACTGTGCTTTAAGTGTGAATATTCAAAGAAGCGTGGAGAAATCTCAGGAGACGAATTTTTGAAAAAGAATGAACTTCGTTTTAACACCTTATGCAATACAATTTTGAAAAATATAATGTCAAAACTAAAAATCTAACCAATGTCACAAATTTCAAATTTCCGAAATTTCGAGAAACATCTTATGAAAAAGGCTCGTTAAAACAATCAAAAGAGGATACTTCAAAACTTTTTTTGGAACCCTCAAACCATCTTTTTTTGCCCGCAACAGCAATTTAAAAACAAAATCTAAGAATTTTAGGGAAAAAAATATCCATTTCAAAAAAATGAACATAAATTGAAAAAAATAAGTCATTTCCAAAAAAATAACACAAGTAGACGTTGTGAACGCTCACAAAAACTTGCTATCCTTTTATGAAGACAAAAAAGCCATCAGTCTGACTGACTAGTTATAACTAATACTTTTGGTTATGCCAGTATCTCGATTTCAATTAAAATTACGGAAAACGAGTTATTTTTCACAAAAGCAATGACTTAATGAATTCACACTAGGCGAAAACTATTTACGAAAAATAACCACTATTTTCAATAATTGGAGGCGAAAACCCAGTTCTCCCAGTATGTATAATCCTTGTTCATGTGAAACTTTTTTTTTAAAATCAGGAGTTGATTTTGCCTGTTTTATCAAACTCGTAACAAAAATAACAGCTGGGCGGATCTCGCTTTCTTTTTTGAAATCAAGAAAAATTGGGAAAGTAGAGAGACCAAAAGAACTCTTCGAGAAAATTGAAAATTTTCTGAGGCTGTGTTTAAAAAGATCAAAAGTTCACATTAGCGTTCGAACTTTTTGAAATGGAGAATGAGAAAAAAACGACCATTTTTTCTACCGATACCAAAAAGTAATTAACGTAAAAAAAAATCAAAACCTCATGCTAACCAATTTGATTAAAAAAATTTAATGAATAATTATTGATGAGCTTTTTGGCTTGCTGAACTTCAAACTAAAGTTCAAATAAATCATAAAAAAATGAAAAAAATATAGTCGGAGAAAAAAATAAATCCAGTTGACTTGATAAAGCTATTTAATCGTGAACAGAGCGTTGAATAGAAAAATTATTCAAAATCTGACGACTCATTATGTTCAATTCACTATTGTTGTCGTTCATGAAAATAATCGAAAAAAAAAAGAAAAATGTCAATAAACAAACAAAAAAAACATGTGAGAAAAACTTCTCATCAAGGAAGTGTCGTCGATTATGGGCCGGGTACAAAAACAGAGGATCTCAAAATGCGTTGAAAAAAAAGACGAAAAAAATTCAATACTTTTCGGCCAGGTTTTTCAATAATTTTTGGTGGTCGGTATCTATAAAATATAGATATGATAAAGCTACTTAAAGTTTTTTTTTGGAAAAAAACCGTTTCGTATCAAGAACTTCCAGCCTCTACAAAAAAATACATTTTTTTATTTCGTTCTTTTTTTAGCCTTGTTATCGGAAAAAAAAGAAGGAAAAAAAGTAATCCGTAGAAAAATTTATTCCATAAGTTTAATGAAGAAAATATCATAAAAAAACAACATCAGCATTGATTACTGAGAAGCAAATGAATGTTCAGAAGAAAAAAATTATAAAGGTGTCAATTTTTTTTTTTTTGCGTTCAAATGAAGATCAGAAAATAGTTGGGATGGATCTCTTTGAATTAACGATGAATTGTAATATTGTCGTTGTTGAATGAAGTCCTCAGTCTTGAAAATAACGATGAAAAAATTAGAAAACTACCGTTTTAATTCAGTTCAAAGGGCTAAAAATAGCTTTTTGACTACTTGAGCGGTAAAAAACAACTAGGGTGATAAGTAATTTGGGCTGGTTGCCGAAAAGTCTTGCAATTTGCTCACCCAAGGGATTACTAATGTAGCCGGTCGCCTCCTCTCGAGGACACCCGGCTTTTTCAAACAAGACAGAATGGACTGAATTAGAAGATGGGCGGATGCCTTATTTTATTAGGAGCAAGAGAAAAAAAAACTCGACTCTGAAGCAGGTTATAAGTGTGTCGTGCATCATTAAAAACCCATTGGACTAGTGTCCACCAGCCATTTCACCGCCACGCCTGGATCCAATTCTGTTTGCTGAACTTTTAGTTTTGTTCGCGCCATTAAAAACATTTTACGCTGAGTTGCAAGCACACAAGTTTTTGAAAGAGTTCCCAGTTGGTGAACAATGAAAATCCATGTTTCTCAAGTTTTTGAGTTCTAAATTTATGCATAAAAGCTCCGTTTTTGAGCGGAATCAAAATAATTAGTGAGATCGGGAAGAATTGGAAGTTCAAAAAAAAGTTTTTTTGAGATAATTAATAAAGCGATTTCCATATGTGAAAAATTTTTTTGCTGTTTAATGTTCGAAAAAAAGGTTTTTCGTATTGAGAAATTTTATTCCTATTTGTAATATGTACATCAAATCAAATTAAAGGGGCTAGACACGGATTGTGAGAGGAATCTAAATGAATTATAGGAACATGAAGAAATTTTGTGATTGAAGATGGTAGAAAATCAAACAGAGTCGTATCAAGCATCATTAAAACTGTTTTATGATGAATTATGTGATTAGCCGGCTTTCGAATGAAAAAAATCTAAACGAAAAAAAAACTATAGTTTCTCGAATATCGGTATTACAGAAATTCCTAGTTTTTTCAAAAAAGAAGAAGAAAAAGCGCTTTCACTTATTATCCCTTTGCAACTCACCTAATCCAATAAAATGAGCAAATAGTGAAAGTTCAGAATTTGAGGGATTTTCAATTTTTTGTTACTCTGAAATACTTCTATCTGAATCCAATTTTAAAGTTTCATAAAAATGGAACGGAAGAATTGTCTAAAGTTCTATAGTTCTCAGATCAGTTCACATTTGAAGTCCGGAACAACTAAAGTCGCCGGATTTGCGCACTCGAATAAAAAGCTCACATTGTGCGTCTGAGCGTATATAAGTCGTCGACGTGACCACGGAGTGCTTCTGGAAGACCATGCTGGGGTCGGGGCACCAGACAAGGCAAAAAAAATGTTTTTGTCCAGTCGTAGGTTCAGCTTCGAGGAGGAGGAGAATGAAGGAAGTGAAGTGTTACTCAATTCTTCCTCTGCACCCAAGTTTTCTTCGCTAATTGAATCGTCACACCGATTGGGTGGGCGTCATTCTTATTGCTCTTGTTATTGGAAAGGCTATGAGGAAAAAGAAGTTAAAAAAAGGATTTGCAACACAAATGTGCGGTTAGCCGCGTTTTTATTCATCGGGCTTGCATATATTATTTCATTAAAATAGTGAAACTTCTGGGATTCTTTGATGAAACTTTTTGGGATTCACATCAACGCGGATCGGCTCAGTCATTTGCTTGTAGTCTTCATCGAGATTGTCGGAAACCTGGAGACAGTGGCCGTGATTTAAAAAAAAAGCCGGTAGCAGTATATTTCGTTTACAAAAGTTTTGAAACAAAAAAAAAAAGACAAAATCTCAATTCTCGCAATCGCATACCGTTTATTCGTGACTCCGTTGAGAGACATATTCATTAACACCGATTTGCGGCTGGTTGAGCCAATTGGAATAATATTTCAAAACGATATCAAAATATCATGCGATGACTCAGACAAAGCCACGTGTTTTTTTTTCACCAAGTCAACCGTGAAAATGGAAGTCTACTATAGACAACTGTTAGTAAAAAATTGCTCGTTCAAGTAACCCGAAGAGTTTGAAGGAACTCTCAAGAAAGTGCAGACTCCGAAAAGGGCAGTTTTATGTATAATTTGGCACCCTTTTCGGAAAATAAAGCGGCCACTTCGGGCTTTCAGTTCTGCTGCGTCATTCGAAATTGATCGAAGCATCAGAAAGATAACTGCTCTACGTTTTTTTCCACGCCTTTCGCCCACGCAACACACCTAATTTTTTCCTCAAACGACGTTTTTCAAAAAATCGTTTGGTGAGTGGACTTTTTTTTCAGCTGATCTGAGAGTCTGCACGTTTTTTTATGTTGATTTCTTTTGATGAAAGCTAGAGAATCGAGGAATGCTTCCCCAACCGAGATTCACCTTTCCCTCCCAGCTCAAGACAAGAATATATATTTTGAAATTGCTGGAAACGTTTTCCGACACTGTTCTGCTATTAGTAATAATATATCCTCTCCGAATGGTCCACATGGCAGCGGTGACTAAGATGTGCATTGCCCTTTTGACACGCAAAAAATCAATAAGATTTCGGGCAAAAACAGTTTATACAAAAATCTTTTGTTCTTCCTCGCTTTTTGTCGCGAAATGTGTGTCGCTAGACTGCGAGTAACGTAAACAAAAACAACCCTAGGTCAATGATTAATTTCTTTTCTCAACTTCTTTTTGTGATGTCGTTTTTTTGGGCTCGCTATTTCTTGATTTTTCAATCTATCAGAATATTGGTACAATTACATTATGAAAAAAACACCTTTTTGTTGATAGTTTATGTAGCTAACGATGGTTGAACTGTATTCAATGATTTTCAGGACCATGCCAACGGTTCCAAGCGTAGAAGAAAGAAAAGCGTTCAGATTCTGTTTGGAGCTGTTAGCTGTAGCCCAGATTAATCAACCGCTCTCAATCATTTCCCAGCATCTTCAGATGTTCAATCGCGGTTTGATGTCTTCAACTGTGGTGCTTTTTAATTTTCGAAAATCCTTAACTCAATTTTTAAGGAGGAAAGAAGACTTATGGTTCAGTTTTCTCAGGAACATGCTTTTTTTCGCGATGCGCTAGATTCCTACTTCATTAGAACTCCGGGGCCAAATGGTAACTTTTTCGTAACTTTTATCTGCAAAAAGTTCAACAACGCCAAGTAAAAAAGAAGTATTTCAGATACTCCGACGCCGCGACCGCGCCCCACTCCACGCCCAGAACCTCGCAGGCGATCTAAGAGAATCCAGGCTCAGAAGAACGTTGCAACCAGGAAATCGCTTCCTCGAAAAGCCAAGACGTCGGCGAAGCCAAACACTGGCAACGGTTCGCGCAGAGCCAAAAAATGAAATTTGAATGCCTATACTGCATTCTAACTGTTGTTGCTTTATGTTGTGTTCCCTTATTATAATTTTTTTAAATTTATCTTGTACCTATAAGTTGTTTGATGAACTTTTCATTTTAATAAAGAGTATTGGAAAATTGACGTGAAATTGCTCCCATTCTTACCAAAAAGTTTGGAACTTCGATACCATGAGACGAAATAGCTTTTCAAGTCAGCACTGGAACGTGTGTAGAATGTCTTCATTTCCAGAACAAAAATATTTTTGTGAGGTGTTTTATTCAAACAGTTTTTTTCAACATCTGTTCGAAAAGAGTGGCCTCATAAGTAAAAATAATAGTTATCCTTTGAACTCCTTATTACTGCTAGCTTTGCATGTTCGTGTGAGGGCCGGCTCATCAGCCTATCAGCACCCGGCCCGGCCTTAGGGAGGTCTAAAGCAAAAATGACCGAAAAGCTCAAATTTTATTCAAGTCGAATTTCAAGCGTTTTTTTTACGAAGAGACCTACAGAACTATGATTTAACGAATGAAAATAGTTTTGCGGGAAAATTTAATGAAATCTAAAATTTCATTCCAAGCCCGCGCAGACTTTTTACAAAAATAAGCCTCATGAGTCACAAAGATTTCGAGCGACAACTACTATTACAGAAGTTCTTATTCTTTTTTTTTTGCGAACTGTATTAGGACCCGCGTAAACAAAAACATCCAAAGCTAAATGAATCATTTCTTGTCAAAACATCTTTTTTCGAAGTTTTTTTCTTTGTTATCGTTTTTTGGTGACTGTTCAGCTACTTAATAATTCATACATGCTCTAGGATCCGCACTTTTGGACAGCACTTCCACCAACTACATTTTTACTTTCAAAAAGCATTGCAAATCAACCTTTTTGTATCGACTTTTCAATCGACTAAGGCTTGTTAGTGAGAAACATGATTTCGAAGTTCCCAATTTTTCTCAAGTTTTTCCACGAAAGGGGTTAAAAATACGAGTAAAAAGTGTCTAAACTATTGTAGATGCGAAAATACTCATTTTTTGACAAGGAGAGCTTATTTAAAAAAAATCGCCTTACGATTTCCACTCGAATTTTTTTTTCTAAACAAAAATGAATATTAATTTTCCAACTCAAGTTTAATACCAAAACAAAAAAAACTACTAACTTTTTTTCACTGATCTTCAAACCGCGAAAAAATGTATCCATTTAAGACGACGTTTTAAAAGGACAGAAGAGACAGTCTTTTATTGAGCAATGCTATTTTTCAACAAAATCTTGAGATGAAAAAAATGCTGTGAAGAATATGAATTTTTTTGCTATTGAAAAAAGAATCTTCCAATCTTTTCTCAGGTCAGCCGTGGATGAAATAAAATGCCATCCCGCCATCGATGATTCACTACGATTCTGTGGGAGAACTGTCTATACGAAAATCTTTCTTTCCTTTTCGCATATCGCTACGTTTCTCAGCTAAGAGCCGCGTAGACAAAAGACCCAATGTTCAGTGAATCACTTTTCTTTCATAATTCTCCTTCGATTTATTCTCCTTGGTGCTCGATTTTTGATTTTTCAGTCAAATCAAATCTTTCAATTTTGTTTAGTTCATTAACAAACATTTGCTAAGCATCAAGAAGCGTCTTTCAATTTCGTGCTCTTCCTAAGAAACATTTTGTCGTTTTTAGGACCATGGCGAATGTTCCGGTGGACAATGAAGCGAAAACTGAAGACTACAGAAAGCATTTTCTCGAGCTGGCAACCTCGGTCGAACTAACTGGACCGGATATTGTTCCCCAAGCTCCTCTTTATCGCTTTTTTGGTCTCGTGAACATCTATTCTGAGGTGAATTTGTTCAGGTTTTATAGAACTTTTTTTGTTTAGAAAGACAGAATTGTACTTGGAGAAGCAGTCAAACGTACGACATTGTTTTGCAACGCAATGCGAAGCTTTCTTGTCGATCCTCGTTGGAGCGAGCGTGAGTTTTTGCGAATTCTAATTTTGAAAACCGTTTTTCCTGTTAGATAAAACCAAAAATATATGTTCAGTCCCTGGGAATGTGCCCCTGAAGCGTCTCAGACGATCTGAGCGGATCAAGGCCCAGAATTCGTCGGCTCCTCCGAACACTAAGAAGCCGGAAACCGGCAAACCTACTTCGCGTAAAGCTAATAAGTAAAGCTTAAAATTGTGGTACACTCGAAGAATTATAAAAATTTGACAAAGTTTTCCAAATTTTCCTTGCTTTGATTCAAATATGTACAGCACCAACATTTACATTAATATGAACTGAATTTTTTTCTATTTACTTTTTTTAGTAAATCATTTTTTTCTATACCTGCTCATTTTTCTGATCATATATATACTGCGTATCATTAAAATGATTTTTTTACCAATTTGTCAGCTTTTTTTAGTAAACTGCCCCCATTTACCCATGTGATCCACATTAAAAAAATTATAAATTTTTCTTCTCAATCTTCCATTCTTTTTTCCATGACTTTTTAACTGTACTATTGAATATTTTGTGATATAAAGCGTGTCTTCAAGATAAGTGTTTCAACTCACTAGTTAATTTTCCTTTATTCTAATTTCTGATGCTTTAAATTTCGACCAATAAATATTGCGAAATCGAAGCTCGATGTATTAACAGGAAAAAAGTTTTCTTAAACCGTTGATACCAAAGTTTCAAGTTGAGTTTTCTGAGCTCACATCGTCGTCTACACAAGGTTCTGAAAAGTTTACATACGATTTTTCCTTACTCCGCCTCTTTTTAGGGCTACGATAGGAGAAATACAAAAAAATGTAATTTTTTTCTTTGTAGTCCAAATCGAATCAAACAATTTTGAATGTTGTACCCCTAGTATTTTGCTCGCGAGAACAATACAGTTGAATGAAAATGAGCGAAAACCTTCTTAGTAAAATAAAAAAAAAGAAAGTAAAATTCAGAAAAGAAAAAAAATAGTTTGAAATTCTAAGTGTTCCATGGAGCGAAATTGCGGTTTGGCCTAGTTTTTCAAACTGACTGACCGACCGACTCTTCCAGCATGCCAGTTGTGTGAGACAGGTCAAAACTTCTAGTTACCTCGTGGCGCGAAAAGGAAGGTACACTCGATACCAGACGACTCTTCACAGCTCGACGTTTCGTTCTTTTTTTCGCTTGACGAAACTATTTTCCATCTTCAATTTTTTTTTTTTTTTTCAAACCCATTTTAGGAGACTTGTTCGTGGATTAGAAATGTTTTCTGAAATATACATGAGATTGAACGAAAAAATAAAGTATAAATATAGAATCTCACTTACTGAAATCCCATAAATTTCTGGAGAGTAATTATTGAAAATTTTTTTTCAAATAAATGCCGAAAAAAACTCAAACTGTGTAAACTATAATTTTTCAATGTCATAGTTTTTTTCATCAGTCATTTTTCTCAACACTCTAATATTTTTTTCACGCGGATCAAAAGGCTTCTTCGCTAATCAACTTTTTTCCAGGAGAATGTCGTCGTCACCAGAAGAAAACCAGTGGGACAGCTTCCAAACAGAACTTTTTTCCACGCTTGGAAATAGAGATTCACCAGACCCCCCTCACATCCGATTTTTACAATTCTGCAAATTGTTGATCCTTACAATAGAGGTATGGCTTCTTTCATACATTTCCATTTCAAATTTCTGTTCATAGGATAACAAGCGGCGATTAATGGATATCTGGGGACTCGATCCTGTCACACCCAACGTCACTCCAGCAAAACATAACTTGAAACCAGGTTTACTCTTTCATGGTATACATATGAAATCCTAAAGGTTTCAGATAATTTAAAAAAAACTTATGAGAATATGGGGAAGCAAGTGTTGATTTTCTTTTATTTGGAAACAGTTGGTGCGCGCAAATTACGGAAGCAAGTTTTGACGCGCTCATGTGTTCTTTCTTGCTTATTGAACTTGTCGAACCTTGGTGTCAACGACTATTTATCAAACGGTTCAATGAGCTTGGAAGACCGCTCACGGAGTGGACGACCGGCCACTGCTACATCCGCAGAAACTACCAAAACGGTCCGCGACCTTATCCGTCAATTTCCAAGAAGGCCTGTGAAGGAACTATATAATTCCATTGGCCAGGTGACACTTTGGCCTTTGTGTCTTGTTGGAATAAGCCATGGCTGGTGTCCAATCTCGTTTAACAGTGGTGCAAGAAGGAGCATTCTGGCTTCATCGATACTTCAGAACGACCACGCTATTCGCCGGATCTCAATCCGCTACTCTGCATAGGACGTTCTAGACCTGTGCTACACGGCATCAGAAGATCGAGCCTTCGAAGGCTTCCAAAATCGGTGTCGACTACCCTCCACCACGATCAACGCGTTTCCAAAGTGCTTTCGAGTCGGTGGTATGAAAAAAACACCAGCGAAAATTCAAACGGCGACTTTTCCGATTTTTTCATATCGCTAGGAAACTTTCCGACGGACACCTTTCCGACGAAACGTTTTCCGACTTTTTTTCTCGATAAAATCTTCGTTTTAAATCTTCCTATATAATGTAGATAGTTGGTTCATGATTAAAACACAAAAAAATTCGAAAAAAAAATGCTTGTAGATGTTTTATAAACCGAAAAATACAAGGGAAAAAAGTCGGAAAAGGATCCGTCGGAAAGGTGGCCGTCGGAAAGTTCCCTAGCGATATGAAAAAATCGGAAAAGTCGCCGTTTGAATTTTCGGTGGTGTTTTTTTCATAACACCTTCGGGTCTACATTCGCAATAGTGTTGACCTTATTGAAAACATTTGATGCTATTTTGTTTTCATTATTCTAAATAAACTTCCCACAAAACTTTGAATCAATTCGATAGTTTTACGGTATTTTTACTGTCAATTTATTTGCTTCCGTAGTTTGCGCGCACCCTGTGGAGTTATATTACATCGTTAAAACAAAAATAGCTTTCAGAATATATCCAGAGAGCGCAAAGTTCAGATAAAATTTTTCCTTCTAAAATCATTTTATTTGTTTGTAGAGAGTAGCCAAATCGGGACAACATATGATATTTCTCAATAAAAAAAAATTTTGAGCGATAACCGAGAAAACTGATTGAGAGAACAAATAATTGGGAGCACTATAAATTCATTTAGAGCTTTGTTCAGTTGAGTGGAAAAGATATATATATTTTTTTTGCAGTTCTCAAAGCCACGCATGAACCCCAACCGCTTGGTCAATCCATCCGATCATCATCTTTGAGTCAAATGTTGCCCGCTGCTCCTAAAAACGAAGCACACCGAAGCGTTGCTGCAGTCTCAGGTGCAAATTTCGTTTTATGCGGAGCTAAAAAAAATGAAGAAAGAATTTCATCAACGCCCTCCGAGTGAACATTTCATTTCTGAAAAAAACAAGAAAGTTCAAAGTCTCGCTTACGAAAATTTTCAATGTGTAGGACAAGGGCGCCGATTCCGAAAATGCCGTTCAAAGTTAGCGCCGTATTTTTTTCGTTTTGTTGCTGATATTCTATTAGTTTTTATCAATTTTGTACTAGAATCGAATGAATTTTGCGTCATCTGTTAATAATGATAGTTTATTTACTGCCGTTATTTTTTTAATGATAGATTTTAGGCACACTTTGGTCTGGGTAAAATAATTTTTTTCTCATTTTTTTGAATTGCGAATAAAAAAAGAAAAAAATAATTCCTTGATTCTCAAAAAAACAAGAAACGAAACGAAAAAAACAATAGATAAGAAAAATTATTGCTTGAAACGATATATGAGTGAATTTTTGTGTGGTTGCAAATTTTCTGTGTGAGATAACGCAGGGTTTCAAATCTAGCAGGCTTGAAACTTAAAAAATTCGTTTTTCGTAGTTTGGGTTTTTCGAAAATGTGGCAGAAAAGTCCATATTAACAAATGGCGCAAAAATATCCGAGTCGAATATGGATGTATACTACACAATTAATGAACAATGATAAAGAAAAAGCAAGCAGTTATAATTCGAAACAACGGCGCTAACCGATTTGACGCCAGCGAAATCAGCGCAAACGTAAGCGGCGTATGCATACGCGCCGCCTACACGCGACGGCGCATTGCGGACCGGTGTTTGAATGGAACTCTTAGAATCGGCGCCCTTGTCCTACACTCAAATTTTATGAGCCGTTTTCATCCGATTCGATTCGTTTTAATGAGACCATGAACCAGTGGAGAATTCAAAACAAAAAAAAAATGTTTGTGAAAGTGAATATGATATTTCGAAAAATACTTTTTCAGCTAACTTTTCGAAACCGCGTCCAAATCGTCTACGCAGGTCGGCACGCATAAAGGCCCAAAGTAAGCAGATACGAAAGCGAAAGATTTTGCCTCGCAAAGCCAAACAGCCGTCAAGAAATGTGTTTTAACAAATTTAATAATTTATCTTTCATTGTAAACATATGAAATTTTATTGTTTCAACATGTATTTGTTTTAGGGGAAAAATTTGGTGCGGGAAAAGTCGATTTCAAAGAGTAATTGAGAGTTTTGATCCGGAAAAAAGAGAACAAAAAAATAACTTGTAAACCTTTATGAGTATGTGTATCATTTTCATTGGCTTGAGCATTTTTGCTAAACCAAATAAGCTTCCCATGAATGACCGGGAATGAAAAAAAATAATTGCTACAGTTTTCTGTTGAATGCTCTTAGCCATCGCTTAACTGTTACCTTTGACAAATTTAGCGATAAACATATAATCTTACTTTCTTACTCCGATACTTAGATGGTCCATCTTCGCTTTCGAACTTTTATTGATCGAAGCGTGGATTACACGTTTAGCAAGAGGTCCTGTCTTATGCAATCGGTCGTCCAGTGTTCTCCTGGTTGACTGGTATTCTTGCGAAAAAAGTTCTTCTGTTAGCGGAAGCAAGCCGAACTGCGTGACAGGTGTACCGTTAGCCGCCATGGCGTTGCCTCCCCATAACCGCGTAGAGGTGGTACTTCAAGGGCACAGATATTCTGTTGGAGTTTACTGTGTCCTCCTGACTCCTCATGCTTCGCGGAAATATGAAAAAAACAGCTAATGTTGGAAGAAAATTTTATAAAAAAAAGAGTGTATTCATAATTTGAATTCTATTCTAAATATTAGATTGAAATTTCTCTTTATAATCAACTTCAATACTAAAGAAAAATTAACAAAGTTCAAACAACGTTTTTGACACAGCCTAGAGACTTGATTGAATATTCTTCATCAAACAGCCGATTTGGTGATTTTCAGCAGACGAAACCGATGGATGTCACAGTTTAATCAACATAGGACAGAGGCCTCGACCAAATGTTCTTGGGGGATCATTACACTTGGGAGGATTGATCCATCTAAGCTATGCGTTCATCTCTCATAATCAATGATTTTTTTTAGTTTGTTACTTACTGAATTAAGATTTCATGTTGAGCTAGTAATTTTGCTTTTGCTGAGACCTCTATTCTTACCACAACATTTACCGCTTTGAACTCTGTTTTTCTGGAGGGAAAGTCTTTTGAATTGAAGTTTTTTCATATTTAAATCTGCAATTTCTGTAAAAATTACATAACGGAATGACTTATTTGTTTAAGAACAATTTGAAACATTCGTGAAAATTTTTTTCGATGTAAATTTTTATTGATTCGGACTTGAAAATGATAACAAATTTCAGAAACTTGGCAAAAATAACGTTAGATGGTTTCTCACTTATTTCAGCTAGGGAAAAAGTTTGAAGGGAAAAAAAAAACTTGTGCAGCTTCCATGAAGAACTTTGAAGTTCTGCTTCCAATTTTTCAGCCTGTTCACCATTGATAAAAAAATTTTGCAAGGTTGCTGCCAGGATCTTTCATGCAAGAAAAACATTCGGCCGGAGGCACTTTTTTTCGCCGTGTACCGAGAAAAATGATTATGGCGCGCCACTGCGTTATCTGATGAACTTTGTTGTAAACTATAAAAAAAAGTGCGAGGCGCCTAGCTGTTCAAGACTTCGACGGGTCTTGATTTCCGCAGATTTCGCCGCTTTTCCGTTACCGCCGCTCGTTATGATAGCCGTTATCAGCTATAATTCCCTACGTTCGATGCGTGCGTATTTGATGTCACAATTGAAGTGACCATTTCTATTTCAATTCCTGCCCTGGCCCCAATCGTTCGCGTCTGGGTGCAATTGGAAATATAATCGTCTAAACTTTGCTCTGCTGGCGTTTGTTCCAAAAGCTTTAACCTCAAATAAACAGCCGCGGGAATCGGTGGTCGTAACTCTTGATCAAAATATCTCTCCTATTTATACTCCATTTACCTGTATCTTGAGAAAATAGCCGCTTATAAGTCTGAACTCTTCTTTTTACATTATTTCGATAATTATTTAAAGACCTTTTATGAAGTTTCTTTGGTCAGTATGGGAAGAGAACCCTTTTAATCTTAGTTTAATGTGTTCGAAATCAAAAATAGCAATATTCGTTCATATAAGTTTTGCCACAACTCCCTTTATTATCTGCTTTTTTTGCATGCTATTTTTTTGTACATCTTATTTTTTTCATATTTAAAACAAAAAAATGTGTGCGAATTTCCTGTTCATTTGAAAATGAGGAATAAATAATGAAGTTATCTATTGCTACAGAGGTAATGTTGAACGATTAAAAAATTCATTTTTAATACTGGAAAAAATTTGATTCGAAGAGTTTTTTTTTTTATCGAATTCGAAATTACCTTTTGTTTCTTGATACTTTGCCACGCTAGATAAATATTTTCTTCTCAATTCTTCAAAAAAAGTTATCGTCTATCATTTCTGTTCTCACTTAAAATTAAGTAATTGGTTTCGTTTTTCAGGTGATAACATATGATCGTAGCGTTATGACAACTTCTAAGGATGACCGAAAAGACGATGAACTGGTCGAGCAGCAGCTGGAAGAAGCCGGCTTCATCAAGCCTCCTGATGGTAAGAACTTTCTTAGCTACTCTTAAAGAAAAGCATAATTGATTCGAAAAAAAAAAATTAAAAAAGAGGTCATTCCATCTTTTCTAAGACTAAAAGGAAAAAGTTTTTAATAGTTTTTTTTCGATCGGTGTAATTTTGATTTTGTCGAAATGCGTTTAAAATTTTCATCCAATCATTTTTTTCAAAAGGTGATCGACCTTTTGCTCGTAGGATAAATTTACATTGAAACTCCAGTTTTGCACAAACTATCCAAATGTAACTCTGAGCTCTGAATAATCGATCTTTTGTATTTTGATACCTTTGAACGAGAAGCAAGTACTGCGCAATAAAACAGATAAGAAGCTTATATCACTGGTTTTGGTCTCTGAATAGATTATCACATTAAGATTTCACGCGCAAACCATCTTTGAGGTTATGCAACGAGACGGCTACCAATAAATCATCGTTATCAGTGAGAGCTCTTATCTTAGTTTCAAAAAAAAAATTCGATTTGCAGATGGAGTTCTAAAGAAACATTGCACCACCATTACAAACTTGAAAGAAATTCAAACGGGCCCAATTAATTCTTTACAAACCTCCAAAATTGTTGGCTGAATTCATTAAATAGCAGTGCTTTTGAGCAAAAACACAAAAATGATAATGGAAAACTCAGGAACTCAAAGAGTCCGTTCACCGCTCGAAAATATTTTTATGCAGTTTGATGGATGATCTCAACTAAAAGTGAAATTTTCGACAAAAACTATATTCAGATATTTTCAAATCCTGTTTCAAAGTTCACGAGAAGGGTCTTGAAAAACAATTCCATGTTTAAAGCTCAAAAATATTAGTGATCTTTATATATTTATACCCACTGAAGGTATGAATTATGAAAAATCGCAGAGTCTCGATCCCTATCAGCAAGCTAGCCTGATATGGTTTGACGGGGCTTTTCTGTAAGCTTGAGCAGTATGACTTTTTTTGGCATTGAAAAAAGTTTGAAAACAGCTTGAAATACTGAGTTTAGTTCACTTGGCCCTTCTCGGCTCCGAGCTGAGGCTTGTTTGTGATGAATTGATTATCATTTGGTTTCCCGATATTTTTGCCCTTTATTTCAGGTGGTTATGGTTGGCTGGTCGTTTTTGCATCATTCCTGGCAAATCTCATCGTTGACGGCATCATTTTCACTGTGGGAGATATTTTGCTCCCTCAATGGATGGCCGATTACAACGCATCGGCAACTTCAGCCGCTTTGATCATTTCTATCCTGAGTGGAACTTACTTGTTAGTAGGTTTGTTTCTATTGAGGTCGCTCATGTGTATACATTCCCTTGCAGGACCTATCGCGTCCGTTTTGGCAAATTTGTATGGATGTCGAGCAGTCGTAATTGGAGGAGCCATTCTATCTTGTATCGGTTTCGTGGCCTCTGCAGTGACTCCACAAATATATTACCTTTACATCACTTTCGGCCTTATTGGAGGTTCGATAAGGCTTGGGATTAACGTCAATTCTGCTTTGTCAGGTCTCGGATTCGGGTTTATTTATTTGCCAGCAATTGTCATCATTGCACAATACTTTTCTGAGAAGCGATCCATGGCAACTGGAATGGCCGTTTGCGGGTCCGGAATAGGAACAACTATTTTTTCAATGGTTTTTTTCTCAAAATAAAAAATTCAGTAGGAACGTTTCAGTTAAACCCCTTCGTCATGTATCTTGTGGGGAACAATTGGAGAATTTTCTCTATTTTCATCGCGCTGGTCACTCTGCTCTGCATAATCAGCGCCATCATTTACAGACCGATCGAGGCGACGGCAGATCAAATCGAAAAGGCAATAAGCTTCTAAATAAACACATGAAAGTCTGTTTTAGGTCGCTCAAATCGTGGAAGAATACGAGCAGAGCCACCCTCACGATAAGGAGGCAACTAAGCTGGGAAGCCATCATCCTTCGCTAGACGCCAGTCATCCTTTCTTATCAACTGTAGAGCTTAATACGGCCGCCATGAAAGGAAACGTTTGTTCTTTCAATCAAATCACATTCAACAGAAAGCCATTCAAGGTGAAAATGCTGTCTCACAAAAACTTGGTCGACGCGGTTGCAAAAGAAAGCATTCGAGATTTAAACAGGCCTTTGTCAAAAATGGATGTTTTTTACTCTGGATCTACGCAGAACTTGAGAGAAAGAACTCGGACAAACTCTGGTAAAAATATTCAAAATTTCATCTCCATCGCAATTTTCCAGTTTCTATGGGTCACAGGAAAACAAATTCGATAACGGAGGACGAGCTCGAGATCAAACAATCAAATATTTATCTGAGTCGTGCTGGTCTGGCTATAGATAGTAATGGAACCCCATCCCCTAAGACTTGGAAGAGCAATTTAACAGAAGTATGAATAACTGCAAAAAGTAGGTATCAGAAAGCGAGAATCAAATTCCAGACCCTTGGCGCGCTTTTGGATACCAGTCTTCTCTATTCCCCATCTTTTCTGGTTCTCGCGTTTTCCGGTCTACTGACCCTCTCTTGTTTCTACGTTCCATACAACTACATCGGAAATCATATTGATAAAGTGAGGAGAACTCAAAATCAGAATACTATTTTTATGATTGGATTTGAGCTTCCCGACGCGACTCCCGCAAAAAAAGCGTTGATCATCTCGCTCCTTGGTATCATTAACATTTTTGCTCGAATTGGTTGCGGGTGGAAGAATTTTCTACGATTTCCTTTAATTCGAAGTTTTCAGTTGGATAGCAGACCGTCCACAAGTTGATGCTTTATTTGTGTCGAATGTCGCCATTATAGGCGCAGGGCTTGCGACTGCCGCAGTCCCATTTTACTCGGCTTACTGGCATTTTGTAGCTTTTTGTCTGCCGTTTGCTTGTGGAGTGGGTAAGTGTCAATAAAATCGCCAGAATCAAAGATAAAGTTCTAGCTTGTTTCGCCGCTCTTCGCTCGGTAATTTGCCTCGACCTTTTCGGATTGGAAAAACTTTCAAATGCTTTCGGAATACTTTTGACATTTATGGGCGTTGGTGCAATCGTCGGTTCTCCTTTAGCAGGTACACAATATCAGAGACCTTTTTAACATGCATGCAAAGTCATTTTTACCGTTCCTACCGGAATTTTCTATAAATTTATTCGAACACTTGATGGACCAGGCTGCTTTTTGCGCAAACTTTTTGTTTTAGAAAAATGAATTATTAAGTTTTTCGTCGGTTAACACTTCAACATGAGTAGGAACGGTGAAATGACTCAACAGGTCAATTTTATCATTAGGTTAACAAACATAGGAGTTATTTAAAGAAACTTCCGTTGTGATGATTGAACAGTGGAACTTAAGAGATTGATAAATTTGGAAATAAAGACCCATCGCATATTTTTAAAGTTTTGAACGGTCCGAAAAGAATTTTTACGCAGTGTTATTTCAAAAAAAAAAAATCATGATCCAAAAACAAAATCAACATCTTTTTTGAACACTTAAAGAAATCATTACAAAAATTTTCCATTTTGTCAAAAATCAATTAGCGTTTTTCAGCCCTTTTGAAAGATGTAACTGGAAACTTTGACGTTTCATTCTATATTATGGGAGCTTTAATGGCCACGAGTGGTGTGATCTGTCTCCCTCTCAGAAAATTGCGAGAATGGGAAGTGAAAAGGTATTTCTATTCAATAATTTAAAATTTTATCTTATTTTTAGGGGTACTGAGAAGGACGCCAATCTTGCTGTCGAATTGCAAAGCTTGAAACCATAGATATATACGGAATGGGTCTGTATTAATGGAAAAAAATGAATTTTTATTTTTCAAGCAATCAAAATAAAACATGCAATAATAAAACGGTTTGATAAAATAAATGTTGAGGGTACATTAATTAGAAAAGCAAAAAAAAAACCAAGGCTCATTGGAGTGATTGAAACACCTGTATTTCAAGAGCGAATAAATAAAGAGAGAAGGGAAAAAAGATGGAATTTCAGTCAGGATCACTTTTCTTTCTTTGTCTCCTCCTCGATGGCTGGCTGTTCACCCGTCGCATTTTCAAGCGAAGTTCCGAACTCGTTCATTCTGGTGGGGTCAACGCGGTAGATATAGCGTTGGTAGAGGTAAATCTAAATTTCGAATCTGTTAGAAGGACGGAAATGTCTCCAACAAACCAAGAAAATGATGTCGTCGCGGAAGCATCCGATGCGGTACATGATAGGCATGCGGATGACAAACGCAAAAAGATCGTCGATGAAAGTGTTGACGAATTTGTAGGTAAGCATTCTCCAGGGCAAGTGAGCCACGGACTTGAGCTTGTAGTTGATGAAGAGCTGCAAAACATATTTAGTTATTTTTCCTCAATGAAAGGAAGATGGAAATTTACTTTTTATGTACTGTATGAAAGTTCGGAAGCTACAACCTGCACAACTTTTTCACAGAAAAATTTTTCTGGTTTTGCATTGAGCTTTAAAGTCGATATTTTTATTGTTGAATGAAAGTCAGTTGTATAAACCGGAGCTTTTGACGTATTTACCGAGTTTAAAACAAACTGTTCGTGTCATATTTTCAGTCTTTCAAAGGTTTTTTCTATCATTGGTGAATGTGTCTATCGCAAAAAAACCTGGGGAGTCATAGTAATGAAGCCGAACATGAGAAGATATCCGTAGAGCATATTCAGTACCCAGGAATACCATCCTTTCTGCTCGACGTATAGAATGGAGTAGATCGCGTATCCGACAAGCAGAGGGAACAAAACCCAAGAAAGGTACTTGAACGCCATCTAAAATAGCAAATGTTAATAAAAATTTGGACACTTTTTGACAATATTCGAACCTGATCATAAACTTTGGTGTCACTCTCTACGTAGGATCCCTTGTCGCTGAACTTGACTCGAGGCAAGACTCCGAGAATAGGATTAGCCCAATCAACCTGGAAAAGTCTCAAGTTTGTTAATTGTTTTATTTTTATAAGTGTTACCTGGACGTCAAGAACCTTCGGAATCTTCCAGCACTCAATGAGCAAACCGATTCCAACGCTCACTTTCACGACAAAGTTGGTGTCATTGTCGCAAATGTAGAGGAAAACAATCAGAGACTAAAACATATAAATTGAGTTTTTTTTCGAAATATCTTCCATTAACCTGGAAAATGTTGAACAAAACGGATCGGACAGAAAGACCGACGAGATCTTTTCGAGACCGCCAGAACTGAATGTCGTTTTTGAAGGCCAAGAACTCAAGAACCGTGTGTAAGATAGAAACGACAACGGTCACACCTAGAAAAATATTCGTAAAAAAATGAAGGAAGATGTCATTTACCGAGTAAAATCGGATTCGTTTCGAGAAGCGCTTGTTTGACTGAGTCCTGATCGTCGTCATCTTGGTCGACCGCCAGAACACTGCTCCACTGGGATTTCACCTGGAATATGCTCGTGAAATTGTTTTGATTTTCGAAATTGCCTTTTTTGCTCAAGGAATTTGACCTTTGTTTTTGATGAAACAAAATTTTTGCCTATATGAGAAACTCCTGGTGTTGCGAGGCGTGACATTTTGTTACATTAATTGTAATTTGCCTCACTGCACAAATATGATGATAGATTCTAGAGGAGAAACCAAATGTCTTTATGAAAAACTCTAATCTTTTATTTTGAATCGATTATTTTCTTTCCCTTCCAGTATTTTCAAATTTTCAAATTTGGATACTGCTGCTAGACGTTTGCAGCAACGCGACCGTTACGCGGTGGCTCGCCGCTGTCAGTTTTCACTGTTTTATTTAAAGATCACGCCGTTTTTTTTTCACCCGCGTTCTTCAATATAAGAAAACGGCACGCACTTGTTGACTGGAATAGAGCTGGTACTTGAAAAGAGACAGTGGCTGATAGGTGACAGTGAGGTTGAGCTCCTGAAAACAATAATTGGAATTACGAGATCATTGCGTCATTCTTGCAACTCTCTGTGATCAACCCTGATCTGTGAAACCAGTGTTTCGGTTCGAAAATCCAAACTAATGAAAAATTCCTTCAACGTATAACTTCCGATAAAGGAAACTGTTGCAATATAAGAATCATGGCGTCTTCCAGAAAAGCCATGTTCAAAAAGCTTAAAGATTTCAAATTTACCTTCACAGTTTCGTTCACGGGCATGTACTCGGATCCAAGGTTCCAGTAAGTATTGAAAAAGAGAATCGGCAGGTAGAAATCTCCCACGGGACTGAACTTCACATCGGCGCTCAGAGGAGCAGGAAGGCTTCCTGGATAAAAAGTAGAAATAATTTTCCAACACGAATGAAAATTCACCTGGTTGCCAGTTTGTTTGGTCGTCGACCAAACTGACACTGATGTTAGGATGCCAAAAGTTCAGAACCTTAACAATTTATTTTATAAAAAAGTTTTTGTGAACCAAACCTCATATTTCATAACTTCAGCCTTTTCCAAATCTTCCTTACTCTGCTCGCTAAGCCCTGTGAGAAGATTTGACGTCTTTTTGTAGTACTTTTTCTTGTACTTGTTGAGCTGGCGGACTCCGTAAACAACCTGGAACAAATAGTTTGAAATTGATTAGAGAAATTTAAACATAAAAAAATAATCGGATCCATAGCTTTGAATTTGTAATACTTTTTAAGAAAGTCATCCTTCTGAATCTTTTGTTTGTCTTCGAAGAATGCCTGATATTATTGGAACTGGTTTGATGAAAACTCATCAAACAACAATAACCAATTTTTATCTCAAAAAACCAATAGAAATATGCCTGAATAAACATATAATCCAATCTTTTTTATGCTTTTTGTTACAAAGCTGCAATCAAAAACCTGCGAAGAATTCGTATGTTTTGCGAAAATCTCCCCTAACTTTGATTAGAAGGAAACAAGTAAAACCTCGCGTTTCACGTAGTTCTTGTCAGTGGGATTTGGCGATTGGCCGCTTTTCACGATGAAAGTGTGCAAAAAGACAGATTGATTCCGTAGAAGAGCTGGCGGAGTAGGGAACTTCCTGCTGAACACGTAACTTCCATCCTGAAACCAACTTCCAGGTCACTAAAAAACTGTTGCTTTTCTATACCTGATTGGGCCCGTCGTTCCAATTTCCGTATTCAATGCCTTCGTGAACCCACAAAGGAAGAACGTTGAAGTTTGAGAAACGGTCGCTCTGAATTGAGAACCATTAAAATTGCACCTAGAAAATCGACAAACCGAGTCATCCAAAAAGATATACAAATCAAAAAGTTGTCCAGGACGAAAAAGATTTGGGGCTGGATTGCCTTTCACATGAGGAGCTGAAGTGGAGTTTGCTGGCGCTTGAGGACCGGAAAATCCCTGGAATTAAATTATTTTTCTTTTTCGATCCGTGGAAGCTGTACCTTCATCATCGAAGATATGAAATAAATAAAAAGAATTCTTGATAACATTGATTTGATAGTTCCGAACCATCCACCATTTGCCTAAAAATGAAAGTTTTGAACAGGAAAATTGGAGAAAACGAACATTTGCCCCTTCGGCAGCAGGGACAGCCGCCGCGTTGTCGGCCATTCTGAAAAGATTGCAATTGAAATCAAATAAACCAAGTCAAATTGAACAAAAAGAGAAAGAATAAAAATTGCATCAATCCCAAAAATAAGGTAGCGATAAGAGCCTTGCGCAACGTCGACCGATTTCGAAGGTCGAAGTGATGTGCGATGGAGCGCGTTTTCGTGTCCCCTCACATCGATAGGTGGGCGTCATGATCGTAAATCTTTGTACCTATTTTCATAAGGATGTGAAAAAATTATGTAGTTTTTTGTATACATAATGTGAATTGCCACATAAAGAAGTGGCTGGAACATTGTTTGAAATTCATATTCGAATATCTTCAAAGTTTCAAAATTCAAGGCAAAAGATGATTGTGTTCCAATTTGCAAAAAAAATAAAATAACTTTTTATCACAGGTTTTTTTCAGAGAGCTGTAGGTTTGAAACCTTCTGAGAACAATAAAATAAAATCATTTTAAAAACTTCAACATCTTTTATAATAACAGTATGACGCAGAAAAAGGAAAAAGACAAGGGAAGACGACGTGGAGCGGGTAACAGGCGCGAACAATCAGAGCCTATGAAAAACACGCAATTTATGAGAATAGGAGAAATGAACCACGTCGCTGGACAACAATCTCCGTTCGCGCGCAAACAGGAGAATCTTCTAGAGCCGAGCGCGCAGATCAAAAAAGTTGACCAAAAATAATTTTGAGCTACCGTACCGCGAAAACGGCTCGAGTAATGATATTCAGCTTTTTTTTTAAATTCTAAAATCGTGTTCCACAACATATTTGATTTATAGAAAATTTCACCCTAACGCTCATTTTTTTTTCCAAGTCAGCCTTAACCCAGATGGCGCAGAACAAGACTTGTACGCCTAATGCCATTCAATTTCATCTCTTCGTTTTTTTTTACTCAAAACTCAAAAATGTATCTTCTGAAAATTTAATCACCGCACCCTTTTTCTTGCTTCCTTCAGAGACATTTTCATTTTCAGCTCAAAGAGAATTGATATTATTATTCGGTGTTTAATAAATCAACTCTCACAAATTTATTCCGGCAGAGAACATCTTAGTCATGCAATTATAACCCGAAAAAAATTTGTTCAAAAGATTTGTGTAAGTGAAGTTATGGAGAGGTTGTTCGCTTTTTTACGTTTCTCTGGCGGCTTTCAAAGGAGGAGTGTTGAAATCTTTCTTCGTAGCTCGGTTATCTCTCCTCGCCTCTGAAAAAGGAAGTGATGATGAATAGAGAATAGCCTATTTAGAAAAAATTTTGGTCACAAAATATCTACAACGTACGCTTCAATAATTGCTAGCTTGAACCAATATCGAAAAAGGGTTTTTATGCACAAAAATAGTCCTTTCTACTTTAGATAATAACGACTACGAAATGTCTTTTTTTTTGTGAGAAAAAGTAACATACAAGGCTGTGGAACATGCACATGGCTGGATATTCGTCCTCCCCATTCGGACAATCCGCTTTTCCGTCGCACAAATCCGAGTACCTCAATTCTTCAAGTCACCGAGTCTTGAGAGAAGGATCATACTTGATGCAAGGCCAATGGGTCAAATCTTCTTGTTTTGGAGAAGGGCAGAAGTACATCCGCGGCATGTACTGGTTATTATCATTGCAGTCTAAAATATGTTCTTCAAAATCAGGTCGAAATATGAATTGAGGTAACGAATTTCGTAGGCTTAGAATTAGTCAAAGGACCCGTTATTATTTTCTCGATAGTTCGATTTTTCTTACAAAGAAAATAACTTGATTTGGAGCACTCTGACTTTGAACCGGTGAAAAAAAAAACCGATCTTCCCGGTTTTAGAAATTCAAAGCCTCACATGATAAGCTTCCCTATTGCAAAATTTTTTTTTGCGACGTTACAATTTCACTAAAAACCAAAAGGTATCGTTTCTTTATTCGATTCATAAAGAAACAATTTCGGCTGGGAGAGAAGTTTGAGAAAAGAACGTTTTATAGTTGTACTTTAAGCTTAATATAGGTTTGTTCTCGAAAAAACAAAAGCAAGCCCAAAACTGAAGTACGCACGTGAAAAAATTCATGGAATGTATGGATAGTAAATTTTCAGCATGAAAGGAAATCGATCTTTATTTTGAATTCCTAGAACTTTCTGCAAGTAAGAAGTCAATTTTCTGCTACATCAACTTTTTTGACATAAGAAAACTCATATAGATCTGGAACAGAAGACTGATCGTCCAATGGTTTTCTATCTAAATAGACTGAACTGGGGTTTATAGAGTTCAAACCTTCAGTTAAGGATCTCAGCAGACAGGTTTTTTTTTGAACGAATGGTTTTGAATTGGATCGTAGTTCGGTTCAAAAACTTTTGCTGATTCTTAAGTATCGGGGGTTTATTTTTAATTGAATCACGATTACGATGACCAAAGTCATTCAAAAAAAGAAAAATCGTTACACATCGGTCTGTAGGCCATCATCTGGCGGTAGAGCGTTCCTTGCTGAAAGCAAAATTTTTTAGGGAACAAAGAAAAAAACGGTACCTGGGCCGAAATTGGCAAAAGAACGAAAAAGAAAAGAAGAAGGGATCTCTGAGGTCGGACGCGCATTTTCACCTGAATAAGAGCGAATGCACTATACTGAGTGCCTAGACTGATTAGAATGACTGCTCTTTCAAACCTGCGAAAATCTTTTGTAATTTATCAGACGGCTTTCAAAGCAAAAGAAAAGCAGAGCAAAATAGTCTGCCCCTGACGTTTTATACCCCAACTTACGTCAAAAAAAAAACGCGTGGGCGATATTGTAATCAATTAAGCCGTGATTCAAAAATGTTTTGGAACAAAACTTGAGTAAACGGCTGTGCATTCCAGAAACTTGTTTTTTTTATCACTCATCGATGCTCCTATGATAAGTTAATTGTCTCATAATGAGGCTCTTAATCAGCTAAATTTTTATGAGTAAATACGGCAATGAAAACATTTTCATTCACATCAAGCGCTAATGACTTTATGAACGTCCCAGGGGCGTTTTTATTCTGCTATTGGGTTCTAATAATGACGTTTTTTAAAGCTATTCCTAATCACACAGTTTCTTCATTCCGATAAACTATTACTAAATAATAATAAAACGGATGAAAGTACTGCGAAACACATTTTAAGCTTGCATGTGGTGACAAAAAAAACAATTGTATCTTCAAATAAAAAACAACATTTGCAGAAGACATTCACCGGTTATTGTCTTATTCCACGAGATTTGTATAGCAAAACGAAAATAGTTCTTTTGTTAGTCGACTCTCTATTGATGACGCGTCCGTCTTTGAAGATTACATCAAAACAAGAGTTTGGAAACGGTAGTAGTTTTTGGAGAAGGCCTAACGTTCACAAAGCTGGTGAGCAATGAATGACGAAAAGTGATGCAGAGAGATGAAGTTAAAACATTTTATCTTCATCTGTTCAGACGGAAAAAATGTTGTTCAATAACTGTATGTTCAAATATTATGTTTGTGATATTCAAAAGAGTGAGAAAAACTCTCTCATCAAAAAGTCTCAAGACAAAAGCTGTTATAACTTGAGTTCAAGTCGTACAAGACTTTTTTTAAAATAAACATTTTTTTCAACAAATGCATGCGAAATTTCAAAAAAATTTTTGCTTCAATAAAATTTTTTTCCGTGTTCCCAATATGAAATCCAGGATCTACGTGTAGTATGAGGTGTTGGCCAACCTTATTCTACCCCGTTAGGATTACTACGCGCCCGCAATTGAAATAGCAAAAATACGAAGTACTGACAAGGGAAGTGTGTGAGGTGAACATCGCAGACCTGGTCCAAACTATAGTTTCAGATAGTCCTAGGTATGAGTACTCAAAAATAAAAAGAAATATTTGCTAGGCGCCCATAGGATAACAAAACACAGTCCGTCGAAAATGTGCGGAAAAGGCTCAGAAACATTTTCTTTGGTTTTTCAATTTTTAAAACGTCTACTGTCAAGCACTATATCATAAGAAACACGAGAAAAAACCTTTTTACACCGAAAACTCAAAAAGAGTTTGATTTTGAGCTTTTCCTGTACATTTTTGACAGGTTATTTCTCAATACCAAATGGCGCTTAGCAAATAATTTTTTTGTTTTCAAATACTCATAACTGGGATTAACTACCACAGTAGCTTGAGCCGTACGTGAGCGAAAAAAAAAGCAACCCCAAGCTTCTTCTCGAAGGTTAAGTTTATAATTTGAGCTGCTGAGCGAAAAAAAAATGGGAACAGAAAAAATGATGATCAAAGTGCAATACAAAGCTGTAGGGCAAAATTTTCGTCAAAAACTTAAAGTATGTTGTTCCAGATAGTGCAAATGTTTTTTTATTTTAAAATTTCAGAAAAAGCTTTTGAATATTCATAAACATTAGGCTCTTCGGTACCGAAATTCTGAATTAAAAATTTTTCTGAGAGACGGTAATTTCATGCAAACCCCAAAAAAAAGAGTTTCGTTTGAAATTTCTGCAGTTGCAAAGGAAGCTCTGTTGTTTTGGTTGCTGCTTTACGAATTTAGGGTAATTTTCGTTTTTTGCTCATTACAGTATTTAATCGTTGAAAAGTTTATATTGTGGAAAAAAGTTCATATCATTTCCAATAACGCTTTCCAACAGCTTTTCGAGCGAATAATTGGAATCCTCTGCTACCCAAAAAGCAGCGTGGCAAAAAAAGATGAAAGAATGGTGAGCGCGGCGAATGAAGCCATTTATCCTTTGAAGAACGGTGAACTTTGCGTTATTCCATGGTATTTTATTTTCACCACCTCCGGCAGCTCTCCGGCCTCTCGTCAAATGTGCAATTTTGTTCCGCTGCCCGCTGCTGCTGACAGCAACGACCGACCTATTTCAACATTGGCTATTTTGTCTGTTTTTCGTCCATCATTTATTCTTCGTCTCAGCTCGAGCATTTAATTAATTCCCTTTTGCGTGTTTTCACCTTATGATTCCTAAACTTGAGAGGTCCTTCAGCAAATATAGCAGATAACGAAAACGATATGATCTGTACTTGCAGAATTCATAGAAGCTGATTTATTTGATTCCTGTTTTAATTGAAAAACTCCCTCAGCATTATGGGCTTTTTATTGCTTATCTTGGCACTTATCCCACAAGTTAAGATTTCAAAGTGATTTGAATAACGGACTGTTTTAAGTTTCTATTAGTACATGAACTTTGTTTTTTTCTTTCTCCTGCCAAGTTCTGAGAAAATTTATTGAATTTTTTTAAAGTCGTTTTCGAATAATGGTATAAATCAAAAAAATACTAGCGGGTTCAGTTCACATGTAAATCGATAACTTCTGAGCTTTATAAAGAAAACTTCATTAAAAAAATTACAAAGATTATCTTTCTATTCCACGATCAAATTTTCTAGAAGCTTCTCAAGTTTTCTGAGTATGGCTGCGGTTTGTTTTGACTTATAGCTCATTATGCCACTTGATTAACATTTTCCCTTTCCTTCTTTTTTCCTTTTCGATACCTATGCCAGAAAGTATCAAGGAAATGACTTATGCTTACAAATGGTAACTCCATAGGTTTTTATCTTTAATGATAAAACAAATACCAGCAGTTCTACGAGAATATCAACTTTTTTAAATTGAACATTTCGAAGTTTCTTTATAAAATATTTGCAAGCATATTCTCTTTTCAAATCTAAAAATTTGTAGTTTTGTCTCAGAGTTATTATTAAAGTTTCCCTGCAAAAGGATGTTGTGGATTTTGAACCTTTGCGCCTTCTCTTCAGAAACTTGTTAGTTTAAAGCCGCATCTTTTAGTTTTTTTTTGCATTTTGATTCTTGAACTTTTCAAATTTGTCCATTCATTTCAGGTTGATTTTTTTCAAAACTATTTTCAGATAATCTTTTTGAAAAAAAAAGAATTATTCGTTCCTGTGGGCTCTTTTCTGACCTTAAGTGATTTAAAATTTACCCATAGGTATCATTCAGATAACCTAACAGTCGGTTCAAATAATACCCTTACCAAATGAATAATTATTGTGAGTAAACTACTTATTATTGATACGAAGAGAGCTGTCTTAACGTCAGAAAACCATCAATTAATGTCAAGATTCTTGGCGGCACAAGATGTTATCCCAGGAAAAAAAACTCGACCGCCTTATCCATCACTTTCTTATGAATTATTTTCCCGACGTGCAAACTAGGGCTGTAGCTGAGAAGTTTTTCTTTATTTTTCTCGTTTCCTCACGAAAATTGGCTCTGGCGTTATAGTTTGTTGCTTTTTTTTGCCCCTCATCTAGGAGTTTATTTATTGGTTTCGCTTTTTTTCATCCTGTGGTTTTATCTAAAAAGAAAAACCAATGGAACTTTGAGCTAAACAGTTTTTGACTATGGATAATCTTTGAATTTCAACTTGCACGATCCCATGTTTTCGCAAAAAGACGCTCGTAGGAATTTTTTTTAATCCGGAGATTTCTGTATGCTTTAAAACTTCTAAAAATGTCAATTTTCAGCCTATTTAAACAAAATCTTAAGCCAGTTCCAAAATAAAGTTTTCAATTTTGCTCATTCTCAAAAGTTTTTCTCATTTTCTTTTCAAGCTTCCTTGTCCTTTTCATCCATTTCATTACGCAAAGTAGTTTTCATTATTATGTGAATTTTTTGAATAACTTCCTCTTTGACTAGCCGATCAGCAATCGACCTTTAAGGACATTTCGCTTGCGCATTTGATGAAACTTGGAAAATGAGAACACATATTTGAATAAAAGTTCCAAAATTTATTGAAGCCTGAAAATTTTCTCTCGAAGCTTTTAGTTCAAGACGTTCAATGCTTTTTTCGGTTTTCTTTTTTCTTGGGCATTTGACATATAATTGTGCAACCGCTTAGTTTTTGTTTTCGTCTTTTCTGTTTTTCTATACAAAGACAATTTCTTTTTTCTTGGACCTTTTCGGAAAAGTTTGCCAGCCTACTTTTGATTTCCCTTCATTTTCCGAGTACATGATTTAAAGTAAGAAATATAATTCTTTTTTCGAGCGGGGAGAGAGAAGATTTTTTTGAATTTTTTGAACAATGGCCTTTTTATAAAGTGTTTCTTGACGAATTTCAGTTCAACTCTGTACTTTTTTCTGTTTTTTTTCCTCTTTTTTTGTGTTTTTGTCTTGATATTCAAGTTCATTTGAGGAAACAACACATATATACAGTGTATTTTTGGGTGACTTGATGAGATTAGGGCCGCACATCGGAATGGCTCGCATGTCAGATATCCTTCTTCTTTTTGCTTACTTCTCTCCCTAAGTGAGCGAAAGAGGATTCTCAGACAAGTTAAACGTTTTCAAATTGCCGCGGAAGTTGAACTAATAAATTTTTCAGCTTGATTGAAGGAAACTTCTTGTCAAACTCGATAAGAGATGAGAAAAGCTATTTTTGAAACTTCAAGACTTTTTCAATTGTTTTAACAGTCCATAATCTTGACGAAGACCTTTTCAATTAGCATTTTTATATTTTTCAACATTTTGAAAACACACATATGTTTCATGAACGACGGATTTTGCTTCAACCTTGTCAAACAGTGCAAAAACAGTTTTTCGCTGCAAGTCTTTTATACATTCATTTAGTCAATCTACATCCGTGA